TTGAAGGATGACTAATAGCCACATTTCACATACTCTCGTACTCGCTCGTTTCTTTTGTCTTATTCTTTTGGAGTGTTTCTACACCGAACATTGCTTTGAACGTTCCGATCCCAGTCGGCCTGAACCAAACAGCGAGGCTACGGAATCCTTGGTAACCGTCGCAGACTCCATAACATTGACTGGCTTTGACGGATGATCGATGGAATAGGTCAAATACCATCGTGAGAGCGTTTAGATTTGCGGTGTTCATTTCTATGAACAAGAAGTCTGAGCACTTGCCGTCCTGACCCCTGTAAAAGTACCCCTGAATCCACCAGCGGCGGTATACGTCCCCTGAAACCTCACATTCCAACTTACAACTGGCACAGCTCTTCGAACAGCCCCTCCGTTACATACAACACCGGCACTGACTCCTCCATCCGTCAATGCAGCCTGTGTAATGCTCGAGCTTGTTCCGCTTCCATCAGGCTGGCCACTTGACCTCCCACTGATACCAGCCTCACAGAATGAAGCTGCAGTACTTCCGCTGGTGGGCTGACCACTGACATTAACGGGGATTTTCATGGTGGTGATAATCTCCGAGCGAGCTGAAGCAYCATTCGACCCAGCTGCACACACGCCGCCCGTCAAAGCATCCTGGGGTCCGCCGTCCACGACGAGGTTCTGTCTGGCGTTCTCAACGTTTGCTTCAGCAGAGATTTGAACCAGAGCGGTTGTTGCCGTCACTGTAGCGGTTGAGTTTGATGATCCAGAAGTAGATGTGCTGGAAATATCCTTCAATCGTTGAATAGCACCACCAGCGCTATCGTAGGGTTAGTAAGAACCTCTGATCGCCCAGTCTTTTGAGATGACATACGTTCCAGCATCACCATCACTGAATGATATGGCCTGAACTAAATTCTCGGTGGCAGAGAGGGAGATGTTGGTGTATGAAGGACCACCTTTCAAGGATGTAGAATCGCTGTCTGTCTGAACTGCTGTATTATCCTCGGCAAAGAATCCATTGTTTGTGTTGGAAGTGGTTGTTTGGGCAGCTTTCGTCGCAAAGTATCTATCGATCGAGGCGACACCTTGCGAGAGCTGGTTGTAATTGAAAGCGTAGTTGTAACCTTGACCCTGGAGATATTGCTTCAAGGCGTTGGCATTCTCGAAGCTCTTGAATTGGGAGTCCGAGATTTGTACATTGATGTTGATTTGCTGCGTTTGTTGCCTAACAGCGAGAAGCTTGGGTGAACTAGGAGTTGCGAGAGCTGTTGTTAGCAAGGCGTAGAGTGGAATGAGAGTTGGCAACATGATGTCGGGTGCCTTGAGTGAGTTCAAAGAGTCTCGTCGTGTAGAGAAGCGTCCAGAGAATCCTGAAGTGATGAAGGAAATAGTGCACTTTATACCTTCCCATCTGAGTATACTGCCAGTCTTCCCGCGGCGTGGGCTTGACATTGGGACTCTCAGAGCCAGGCGTCTCTGCTGCAGTAGTACCTTAGTGTAAGCTTCCGCAAGTGGATGCCACTGGTTGAGCTCCATGGCATGCTCCAGCCGTCTTGGAAAGCATTAACATGGCTAGATAATGCACCAGCTCCTACTGGCACGTGGGCCGCAGTAAAATAGTTGATCTAGGCAAGTTCCTGAGCTTCCAACAGTCTTCCCGTCGATAGTCAATTGCATAGTTGGCTGCGAAGCCGGATGGTGTGTTACCCAATGAGGGAAGAGGTCCATATAAAGTTCAGGCCTAGAGCTACTTCATGCACAAATGTCAGTTAGCCGTCTACCCATTGGATAGACTTTGTGGCAAGAATCCGCAACATGCCAGGAGAGTAGAAGCTAGCAGAGTATAGTATCGTCGATCCAGTGCTCTTCAGTCGACAAGGTGTATGTCAAGTCAGTAATAGCCCATACGCTGCGCTATATGATCAGTAGATATACACAAAGTCCTCATTCYCACGATCAGTCTTGTCCAGAAATGCCTGATCTCCGATTCTTGGACGTTGGTGATTGTCACCCTCGTCGAGCTGGTCCTCAGAATTGTTTTGATAAGTGTCCTGCATGCTAAGATCCTTGATCTTTGCAGGCTTGCCGACTTTGACTCGTTTACGTTCCTGATCAATGTCAGATGGGGTGGTTGTGAAAGTCAAAGAGGAACACTCACTTGTAGCTTATTCAAGAACATCAAATTGCCTGCTTGGAGGACTACGCAGGCGGCTAGAGCACAGAAGATACCCAGGACTGCCCGCAGACCTGGAACGTATTCCGGAGCATCCTTTGAGTTGAATAGCAGCGGCCTGTACGCGTGATCAGCAAGTCTCTATCCGAGCGGCGACATATTGCAGATACGAACCCAATGATGTTGCCTGCAGATGATCCCGCGTTGTAGATCGACATCAGAGCACTCTTCTTCGTAGTCCCCGCGGTGTTTCCCACGATCCAAGCTACAATCAATGGATTACCGCCGAATAAGAAGGACAATAGGTAGTATCCTGCGAGCAGAGCGCCTTGGTTGCTGTCTGTGTGCTTGATCGTGTAGAGCATGGCGAGGCCGGCAATGACAGGTATTGTCAAGATCAGAAGGATGATAGACTTGCTCCGGAACTTTGCGGCTGCGTAGGATGCGAAAAGGATGACAATAAACTGCAGGGCGCCGAATGGCATGTTGAGCAGAGAGGTGAGGTACTTGTCGAAGCCCAATCCTAGAGCAGAACATGTCAGCACCATAGGCTGAGTACATCAGAAGACCTTCAAGACGTACCTCCGATAATGAGGGGACCAAACGTGTTGGTCACACTAGCTCCCACGTTCAAAAGAAGCGACAGACTGACCCAAAGGTAGGTCTTTGGTTCGAGTGCAAGCTCCCCAATGTGAGACCACTTGAAATCCCGAGAACCAGTACCCGTCTGGTTTGCTCTCAAGCGCTCGATAGCTTGCTGCTTCTCAAATTCGGAAAGGAAGCGCGCTGAAGGAATATCGTTATCGAGCTTCCAATATACAAAGGGCGCGGAAATGATGGTGACCAGGCCAACGAATAAGAAGAGACTACGAGGATGTCAGCAATGGCTTTTTCCTGGGCAGAGTAAGTGATCTGTACATCTGCCAGGACTCAAGTGTTCCAGACTTGATATGTCCCAGACCATATGAAAGTGCACTGGCCGCGATAGTTGCGAGTCCATTCGTGCTATACCAAGCCGCGACTCGGAGGGGTTGTTCAGCTCGCCGATACCACTGGGAGGTAATGATGCTGAACAGAGGCAGACAACCAGCTTCAAAAAGTCCAAGAAAGAAGCGGGCTGCCAGAAGACCTCCGTAGTTGTGGCAGGCAGCCATGGCAGTTTGTGCGATTCCTATCACGACTGTCAGTACTGGAGCGAGCATCCTTGGTTATCCCTACGACCTACCCCATCCTAGCACGAGGCAAGGCATCAGGATGCGGTGAGGGACCTTGACGATCAAGAAGGAGGAGAAAGGTTGCCATGCTAACTGTGCAATAGGCGCAATACTACCCACGAGAGAGTATTGGTTTCCCTTGAGACCCGTCGATTCTTTCAATCCAAAGGTAGCTCCATAGCCAAGTACGGTCTTGTCGAGAATCTACAGCCTCGAGTCAATCGTGCCGTCTCGCGGGATCGCAAATTGTCCCACTCAACACTGACCTGGAGGAAATACACCCAGACGAGAATGGCGAGGATGACTTTATCCGTCTTGCGGCGAATCCTCCTGTTCTAACATGGCAAACTCCATCAGCCAGGAAGTCCAAAAACGCGACGAAACGACTCACATCCTCATCAGTCAAACTGATGCGCTCATCACCAATGAGAGCTAGAGCCCGATCGCCCTTTGTTGCGTCCACTATGCTTAGCTTCCGCGACGAGGGGCGCTTATCCGCATCTTCAACGCGCTCCACGCTGCCTTTGTCACCGTTCATCTTTGCGCTTCTCGGGCTTCAGGCYGCGAGGTTGCGAAAGAGAGGAAGAGACTTCGTCCCCCACAGCCCGCCTATTATGCGGAGATTGTGGGCGACTGTGCCACTCGTATGCGTTGCGGAGGTGGCGAGGCTGGGGGGCTGCAGGATCCCTGTCGACGATCATCCGAACTGAACTGTGGAGGTGGAGACGGCAACTGACGGCGATTCATGCAAGACATCCACTCGTTCTGAAAGAGGACTGGTGAACTGGCGACAGCACACACCGCTCACTTGGAAAGTACATGAGTCGAGTGTATGGCTGATTTCGAAGAGGTCCCGAAGACTTCTACTCGCTGCAAATAGCGAATCATTTTCCGCAAAAACCAGAGCGGATCTCTGGCTATCAGGAATCATCTTCCAATGCAGAGATAAGCTGTGCATGTTGTCGCTACGAGAATCGCAATGAGGTCTCCTCGATCTAGGTCTTGAGCTCTTCATCATGCCGTGCGACACCCGCATGGTCAGGACTCTTCCTCTACGAGAATGCGCTATCGGCAAGTGCTCTCGATCCCAACCTCGAATCACCATTCATCCATCTCCGTGCATCATAAGAGTCATCAATCATGTTCCTTGCAAGAAGAGGCGGAGCGGGCCTCCGGTAATTGCAACTACAGTACAATAATGTCGCCATCGAAATAAAGATATTCCTCCGRTCTGTGTTCCCCATCGAGGTACGGTGGAAAATAGTTGTTCGATTCCTTGAACGACACAGTCAACATCACACCCACGGCTCCAAGCTCTTTTGCCAGATCCAAGATGAGGGCACGACTCTCGTCTGGATCGTCTTCAAGAGTGAGTTCTAGTCTCTCCAGACTCTTCGGCATGCGACTCGAAGGTGCGCGAAAGAACGGCGCAAAGTCAAGTGGATGCTCCGGATCTTCGTCTGGCCGCTGGAAGYCGTAGCTAAACCTGCGCAGAGGGTCCTCGCTGTCCGCGGCAAGAATCTTGAGGTTGGGAGGAGCGCGAGACGATAAGACCGCTCGCTCGAAAAGGGCGCATTCGCCAATCAGCTTTACTTCCTCGAGAGCCAAAAAGTCGGAGAATCCTGCATCAACAGGTGTCTTCTCCGGAGTGACCAAGGTCGGTCCAACACGCCAGTGGTCGTCTTCCGAGGTGGCATATGTGAGAGAGGTGAGGGAGTGCTTCTGCTGAGAGAGTGCAGCTAGAGTTGCTGCAGGATTGTTCTTGAACAGCTGGTTCCAAGATGGATGGACAGCTGTGCAGACATGATTAGCAAGCGGCGAGGTTTGAAGTCCTCTTTCATCTTACGAGCGCCAAAATGTACGACATTGTATCGATTCTCCAGCAGTTCGAAATGCTCGAGCGCTTTTGGGAATGACAGAAGGTGGTGTAGGCCTTGGTGGGTAAAGTTGCACTCCTCGAGCTCGAGGTGCTTGAGAGGACTGAAGGAGACGCGATTAATTCCCTCTGAGAGATTGTCAAGTATGTTGACGCAGGAGATCTTGAGATATGAGAGGGCAGGAAGGAGAAAGATGTTCTTGCTTCTGGCGTCAAAGTTCCAGTATGGGCTTTCAATGCCATTCATATGCAGCGTCACTGCGATTGGGGGTCAACAAACGACTTACCGAGCAACAGTGACCAGCGGACTGCTGATCTGAATGCACTCACATTTGCTCAGCATCTGTAGGGGCTTCATGCCAAGCTCCAGGGACACATCTTGCGAGTCTTGAAAGGGTTGAAACAGGTGGTCGGTCATGTCCGTCCAGGCGTCTTCATCTTCGAAATGACTCCTGTTGCACTCGGGACTCTCAAAGGAAAATTCCTTCAGGTGAGTGCAGCGTGCAAGAAGATCCTGTAGGCAGTCGAAGCTCTGATCGGTCTYGGAAGCCATCAAATAGGCGAGAGTATGGATGCACGATTCGCGCGCGGGACGCGTGTCGAGGGAGTGTCGGAGCAAATCACCTTCATAAGCGCTACGCAATACATGATGTCGATACAGCTTGATTTCTGTCAGTCGCTGGCATTGGCGGCATGTCCGGCTCAGCCGCGCGAGGCTCTGGACCTCATCGACATGCTCGACGATCAGGCAGATGATTTCCTCTGGCAGGCCAAGCAAGTTGAACTCGAAGCGTGTCGACGACGACGCCGCAAGCTTCAGCCGAGACCTCGTTGCAGAGCGCAGGATGCGCGACATTGCTTTGAAGATGGAAATTAATGCTCTTCTCATGTCTCAGTCCATGTTGTGGTGGTGGTGGTGGAAGCGAGCCTGGTTAAGGTAGGTTGATGTGGGGCAAACAGCCCGGTAGAATCTCGGATAGACTCGGCGTAGAAAGTAGTGGGACAAAATCTCACACGATGTGGTTGACCGGACGTTGACATCTGTCGTGTCGGCGGCTTCCCTCACCAACACCATCACGCACTGGGAACACCCTTCATTAGCAAGCGCGGACGTCGTACTTTTTTCGGTCTGGCAGAAGGCGTAGAGATACCGACCCAAGTGAGGGCGTGCGACGAGCCCTGAATGACCCCACCGGCGGAAGACAATAGGTCCACGGGAAGTATTCTTCGTGTTTCAGAACGCGCCATCACCAAAGGCAGCATCGAGAACGGAAGACGAACACAGCGTGCCATCTGCAATTAAACATATTCAAGCGACACTATCGTGTGAACTCTACAGTCTCTGGCCATGCTGCACGGCACATCAGCTGAGCCGATCCTGAGATGATTTCCCACGCCTGGCCAACTTGGCTCTGCAACCGCGGACACTGTTAGAGCACAGTAGCATGTTTCGGACCGTACACAAGACAATGGCTGCTATGGCYCGAGTTTCTACCCTGTGGAACTCTGTGGAGGCGCCGAGCATTTTCGAGACCAGGCGTGCGTATTGCTCCCAGCCGGGTGTTGGTTGTGATTGGATCGACGAAGCGCTTCCATCCAACACAGGACATTTCAACCCGAGAACAGACTGCCACATGTTAGATCTTGAGCATGTCTCCCGAACTGGTGGTACGTCTGACAGTTGACGCCGCACACCATGTCTTCTCCGTATGTATAAGCCAGACCCGGCCGCATCTCATCGGGCCAGTCGTGTTCAGATACTTTCCTTTCGTGCTTCTCTTCTACATTCGTTATGTTGCAATTTCTGTCTTTTCTGATTACTTTCCTTATTGCGCACACATTCGCTCAAGAGGATCTGGACCTCGTGCCGTGCATGGGAAAGGGTAGAGGCAGGAACTCTACCGCTTTGAGGGCACAATTCGAGGAAGACATATACCCCAGGAGTAGAATTGGAGTTAGGTCAATGGTGTACGAGGTTAACACATATGTGCATGTAATTACTACGAGCGAGAAGAAGGATTGGTATCCCAAATCAATGGTCCAGAAACAGGTACGATACTCCACCGTCAGAGATGTGAGACTGCCGCCTGACAAAAGATATTTAGATCGAAGTGATGAATACAGCGTACTCAGGTTCCTTCGTCTTCAACCTCAAGGACGTCGACTTCACGATCCACGACGAATGGGCCACAGCAAACACCGATGAAAACGAAGAAGCATACAAGACCGTCCTCGGTAAAGGCAGCTACGCCGATCTGAATCTTTATTTCCTCAGCGATCTTGGCAGGGCTGAGAAGTCCACGCTCCTGGGTTTCTGCTACATGCCAGAGTCGGATCCAGACTCAAGGGAACTTGTTCTGAACGGCTGCACAAATCTGGCGTCCACGATGCCTGGTGGTGAGTCCGAGCGCTTTGGGATGGGTATGACTTCTGTGCATGAAGTCGGCCATGTAAGCTGACCTCCATACGCTGTCTTGGGGCATAAAGACACTGACTTGCATCCTAGTGGCTCGGTTTAYACCATACCTTTGAAGGTGATTCCTGCGACGGCGCTGGGGACTACGTGAGCGATACGCCAGTGCAGCGGCTACAAACCGATGGATGTCCTGTTGCGCAGGATAGTTGTCCCGGGAGAGAGGGAAAGGATAAMATCCACAATGTAAGGAAGACCTGGCCATGACACTTCTTATGAATGAACGTCCACTAACTCGTTGTCGCTACAGTACATGGACTACTCGGACGACCGTTGCTTGAGCGAGTTTACACCTGGACAGTTTGCGAGAATGACGCATGCTTATGGGACGATGCGATGGGGGAAGTGACAAACTTCGAGCAAGAGATATCGGTGGTATAAATGTACATATCATACCCCGGAGAACAGGCACACTGTTCGTACAAACCACCTGTCCTACAAACCATCTCGCCGAAAGTCGAGAATCATGCCATGAAGGCTGCATTGAACGTACGAAWTCCATCTCACCCTGCGCGACAATACTGCGCTGTCCCCGGACATTGAGACCTGATCGCCGAACAATCAGGTGATGTTTTCAAGGAGGTGAGTTCTCCCGAGGACGATTTCATCCCGGTACGCTCACTTTGATGCACACTTTGATGCGAGCGAGCTTAATTGAGAGGACGAGCCATGTGGCTTGTCGCTTGTGGCTGTGCGGATCATGACATAATTTCTATTTTAATTCGGGTTTGTGGCGGCGACGGCAACATAACAATTTCAGCAAAAGGACTTCGGGCCTCCTATCCTCTCTATTATCCTCGTCCCACAGAACAGTGTCAATTCATTCACATCGTCCTGTGGAGGCAATACCGTGTTGGCAATTTCTCGATTTGGCAAGTGCAGGTCTTGCGCCAACGAACATCCGAGGTCGTCCCCTATCGTCTCTTCTCCTTCCCGTCATTGGCTTCCATTGCATTCGCATTGTTTATGCTGTAATAGACATGTCTACGACACACAGGCAAGATGAAGCTTCCGAAAGAAGTCCCCTCTTAGATGGACACCGGCTTGAAGCTGGAGACGACTACGACCAGACGCCATCAACCAAGTCTACAAATGACTTCCCAAATGATGCATTTGAAATCTCCCTCGGCACAGAGCTCAAAGTGCTTGCGAGATACTCTGGCCCACTTGCTCTGACCTACTTTATACAATTTGGATTCCAAATGGTAGTCATACTGGTGGCCTCGCAACTCTCAACCGACGAGCTGGCTGGAGTGTCTCTAGGGATAACGACGGCCAACATCATAGGCTACGCGATTTTTGAGGGCATGGCCACCTGTCTGGACACTCTCTGCTCACAGTCATATGGATCTGGACGATTAAGCGAAGTCGGTCTGCACACCATCCGCTTTACCATCTTCGTCCACATCGTGGCAATACCCATTGCTCTGCTGTGGTTATTCTCCGAACAAATCCTGCGGGCCCTCGTACCATCAGAAGAGCTAGCAGCTCATGCTGGGACGTTTCTTCGATACTCTCTCATCGGAATTCCCGGCTATGCCAGCTTCGAAGCCGGCAAACGGTTCCTCCAAGCCCAAGGCAACTTCACCGGAGGTCTCTACACGCTGGTCGTTTGTCTTCCGGTCACATTTGTTTTGACATACGCGCTTGTCATAACCGCAGACATGAGAGTCGCCGGAGCTGCTCTGGCAGCGTCGCTCACCAATCTTTTGCGTCCACTTCTACTGGCCTCATACTCACTGTTCATCAATCGTTCCACACTCCAATGCTGGCCCTCGGCTAGCGAAGTTCGAAGGTCTTGGAACAAGGACTATTACGCCATGCTACCTCTGGCAGCCGCTGGTACGGTTACGACATTGAGCGAGTGGCTTTCTTTTGAAATCCTCACCTTCTCGCTAACCTATCTTGGCAACGCTGCACTCGCTGCGCAAGTTTACCTATCTTCTACGGTCAATTTGGTATGGTTCAGTAGCCGTAGTGCTTCGTGCGGTATCGCTGACTCAATCTTCATCGCAGGTCTGGCACATCCCATTTGCAATGTCCATCGCCGGCAGCACACGCATTGGAAACCTTGTCGGCATCGGCCTCATACGCCTTACGACGCTCAGGATTATGCTCTGGTACTTTTTCGCCTTCTTAATCAGTGCAGTACTCAACGTTCTTCTCGGCGGCGCGGTCATCATGCTCATGCTTGGATATCTCATCCACGACGAAGCCGTAGCAAGCATTGTCCGCGATAACCTTATCTGGATGCTTATTTTCGCTTTCTTGTACGTCTCTCCGCCCCTTTGTACGGAGCTACTTGCTAACTCGTGGACAGCGACGCATTGGCGAATTGGCCCCACTGTGTGGTTCGTGGCATAGGCTGGCAGAATATCAGCGCATGCGTTACTGCGGGTGTCAGTTATCTATACTCGGTGCCGCTAGCTTTGTATCTGGAACTTGGACCTCCCGATATGGGTATTACCGGGTTGTGGATCGGTCTCGGATCCGGTGTGGCCCTGGTGACGGGGATGGAGTCGCTGATTGTGTGGATGAAGTTGAGGAAGAATTCGGACGAGTGTTTGAAAGATTACAGCGATGTGGACCAGAGTCTCGAAGACTAGCGAGGCGATTGTATAGATATGGCGGCAAAAATAAATATACTACCCGCTACCTCCTACCGCATTTAACCCCCGATTGATGTCGCTCGTCCACAAAGAGCGCAGGTAATAGACCCCTTCACTGCACTCGCAAGCGGACATGAAGCTACATCACTTGTCGTAGCAACAGGCTGATTCTTTCTGTTGCTCTCTGTTGAGTAATGTTGAGTTGTCGTGATCGAGGGTCTCCGCTCTGCTGACTTTTTGCATCCAGCTGAGCTTCCCGTCGCCCGTCGGAACGCAGATGTCTGAAACCAAGCTATCGCATTATAGAAACGGCCACAATGCCGGCAGTATCAGCAATAGACATGTATCGACGGCCAGAAAGATGCCATGACGAGAGTGTACGGCGTCAAGTCTGCAGATCGAGCCATCGACCACGAGCAAAGTAGAAGTGAGGATGAAGAAACTGGCCACGAAGAAAAAGGCCCAACGCGCCAGACCCCGAGCGGCTAGTTTTTTGAAGTGATTCTCAAGGTCTTTTGCATCGTTCAGTCGTGGGAATGGAGTATCAGGGATAGGTAGATCGAGCGCCTGCGGAGTGAAAGCCTCGTCAGTCTGTCATGTGAAAAAAGTTCATCACGCTTCACAAACCTCACAAAGTGGCTTCCAACCATCCTTCACATTGAAGTAGATGAGTTGATCAGGCGGCACAGTTTCTTCGAGCTGGGCATGATGCTTCTCCCATGCGGCCAAGCATGTTTGCTTGTCCACCATTTCAATTCCATGTTTTTGGAAGAAGATGTGGGTCAAGGAGATGTGGAGTGAAGGAAGCCATCGCACACTTGGCAGCCAAAAGAAGATGCGTCCCACAAGCACAGGTCCTGTGGTTTTGAACATGTCGGTCATAGACTTCGCCCAAGAGTCATGATCGCGGACTGGGAGGGTGGGTCAACAACTCTCTCCTGCGAGCGCATATAGTGTGGCTTACTTGTTACGATTACCTTGGCATCAGGGTACAATTCGAGCAGCTCGGGGTAGAGGAGGGACAGTGGAGGGTCTGCCACGGCCACATAGCCATCCAGTAGAGTCTCGAGTTCGGCGAGAATGCTTTGCTTGGTCGCAGCATCGTATGGATATTTTCCTGCAGCCTTAATCATGGTCTTGATATGTTTCTCATCTGTCGCCCCTTGAGCACCCCATTGTACTCCGGCGTGATAGCAGGGTCCACCGAGCAGGACTTGAAGCGCGGCGCAGAAGGAGTTGGTGCCTGTCCGTGGAAGACCTATTGCTGGTTAATGGTAGAACAGGATGAGGTCAGCTTGCTTTCCATCACCTGCACCGATTACGCGGATCTTTGAGCCTGGCTTGGGATCTTGGAAGCGAAGAGAGGTCATCACGTAGTTTCTTCCTCTATTACAGTACTTCTCGGATGGAGCACGTTAAAGTATCTTGCGAATGATACCCCAACTACAGTGGAGAGACGAGAATGAGGGAGGAGTGACGGAGTCTCTCCCCGTTGATCTGACCTTGCAGGACATCCTCCCCATGTCGAAGGTACGGAGGATTGGTCCATGCGGTATCTCGCGCCAATCAAAAGTTGACGATCAGCGGGGAGTTCAGGCGTGTGAATGCTGGGGGATGTCACTTTGATGCAATCCATGTTGCATTTGACACGTCACGTTTTGCTGTGCAGCGGGAAACATCCAAGTCTTTTGGCAGTGCATTTCACTGGAAGTACGGAGTAGGCGACCATCTTTGCTCAAGAGAGATGGAATATGAAGAGGAAAGGTGCAGTGTGAGCTTCACTTACCTAAGCACTGCGCTATTAAAACTAGGACGCCGTTATTCCCGCTGCACTCCAAACCCACCCTCTCTTCGTCATTATCCTTCCAAGGGAATCATGAAAGAGACTATTGCCGCCCTCGGAAAGTGATCTCTGCGTGCGCGAGATCAACCGCCTTCTCCATTTCAGAGGAGATGTGGACAGACTGTGTAGATGTATGCCTCTATTCCCGGCTCCTACGCGTCCCATCGTGGGACACAAGCTTCAAGCTTGGAGCCCGAGGTTCAGTGACGTCCCACCAGAACGGTAAGGAAGCAGTTACTCGAAAGAACACTTTCACGACTTGTCAGAATCCGTACCTTTCCCGTCAACTGTAAGACTGCTTGTTGCTCACATTGGAAACAACAATCTCATGCACCATGGTTTTCAAGYGGGCCGACAAGCTCAATGTTCCCTCCAAGGACTTGATCTCATGGTAAGAGAGACGTTATAAGCTATGTATRTTCATTCGAAACACTCGCTGATCACTCGTCTGTAGGTACTTTGACGATGCCAATGTTCCAAGCGACAAACCAATCTATATCGATGCGATACACCCCAAACGATGCTATACACACGCTCAGGCGAGGAGCACCATTCGGAAGCTTGTAGCTGGATTTCGAAAGATTGGATTGAAGAAGGGGGATGTTGTCTGCATACACAGCTTCAGCGATGTTGGTCACAGACCAGCGGATGGAAAGGCTTGTCTAATTGGAATGGCAGATAAATTATCCCATATTGGTCAACGGGATCGTAGGGTTTGGGGGCATCTATGTGGGTCAGAATTTCTTCTGTCTGGATCCCATGCTGATACACACTAGGCTGGCACAAACCCTTCGTATCAGCCATATGAGCTTAATCACGCTATCAAGGCTGCGAGCGTGAAATTCCTAGTTGTGGAGCCAGAGATCTTGAAGCATGCCTTGAAAGCAGCAGATGGTGCAGGTATCCCGCGCGAAAACATTCTCATTTTCAACCATCGCGAAGATCAGCAGGTCCCTGACGGCTTCAAGTCTTGGACCTCGCTTTTGGAGCACGGAGAGCAAGACTGGGAACGATTCGACAACGTGGAGACTTCGAAAAACACGACGGCAGCGAGACTGTTCTCCAGTGGGACGACCGGTGAGTGCGATCTATGGTTAGGAGCCCAAGTGAATGTGGTCTAAAGCTCGACCAGGTCTACCGAAAGCGGCAATGCTTAGCCATTACAACTTAATAGCTCAACACGTTCAGGTCAGCGAGTGGAGACCGAAGCCCTACGAGGTAAGGAACAGACTGCGTTCTCTTCATCGCAACCTTGCACGAGAAGCGAGTTACGTCCTCGTATGTGCTGCTCGCCTGGAGTAGCTGAGATCGAAAGAGTCTTGTCGCTGGCCGTCCCGACATCCTGCTCTTTATCAACGCTTGAAGGCGATGTAGCTGCTCTACTATACTGAAAGCTGACATGATAAAGCCCAGGAAGATCTCGGCCACGCCAATGTTTCACGTTGCTACTGCTCCCACCTGTCATTTCTCGCCACTAAAGGATGGCGTTGGTACTTACGTGCTTCGACGCTTTGAGCTCGAACCATTCCTCAAAGCCATTGAGCAACATCAGATAACTGATCTACCCACTGTACCACCAATGGTTCTTGCAATCATCCAGTCAGATCTCAAGGACAAATACAGCTTGGCTTCCGTCAAATTTGGGACCTGCGGAGCAGCTCCGTTAGACAAAGCTCAACAAGCACGATTCCAAGCACTACTTGCAAAAGATGCAGTGTATACGCAGGTGTGGGGAATGACGTACGTTGGTTGGTGATTGAACAACATTGAGCGCATCTCGATGTCGTCGTCCAACTCCCAAAGATTCTGAGATATAAGCTGACACATTCCCTACAGCGAGACCACATGTTAGTACGGAAGGCGAAGAACGCACCTTGAAGCCTCAATATTGTCCTCGCTGATCGGACGATTTGCTAACCGCTCGCACTCCGTTCTAGGTATCTGCACAAACTTCCCATATCCCGAGGAAGACACAACCGGCAGCGTCGGACGTCCCGTGCCAGGTGTAGAGCTCAAGTTGGTCGATACTGTCGACCCAAACAAGGATATCACAGGCTACGGTGTACGAGGAGAGGTCTGCATCCGCGGCGACACTGTTATCCGAGGATATCTAGACGAAAAAGCAACGGCAGACAGCTGGGACAAGGACGGCTATTTTCACACGGGGGATATCGCTTACTGCGATAAAGAGACCGGGAAGTGGTATATTGTCGACCGTAAGAAAGAGCTCATCAAGGTCCGCGGATTCCAGGTAGCGTAAGTGAGCCTCGAAGAAAAAAGCTCCGAATGTCCAGAATTTCGCTGATCCTTTTGCCTGTTACAGTCCGCCTGAGCTAGAGTCAGTGTTACTTGAGCACCCAGCCATCTACGATGCAGCAGTTATTGGAGTCAAGAAACACGGAAGTGACGATGAGTATCCACGGGCCTACATTGTCAAGAGACAGAACGAAGCGGCGAAGAAGCTGGACGAGAAGTCGGTCTTTGACTTCATGGGCGAGAAGCTGGCCAAATTCAAGCGTCCTGAGGGAGGCGTGGTGTTCATCGACGAGATTCCCAAGAATCCTTCAGGAAAGATCCTGAAGAAGGTGCTGCGGTAAGTGTTGTATACTTGCTGCTCTCACCAGACCCTATGACTGATTTTTCCCTAGTGAGATGGCGRCGAAAGAGATGAAGGCGGCTAAGTTGTGATCGAGTTTGCGCTCGAATCGAGGACTACGCATAACGCATGATGAACGATCTCAAGATCATGACCTACATGAGTATACAGGATCACTCTTCTAATTTGAGCCATCGCAGATAGATAAGATGCTGCCAAGTCGGGACATGATCTATCTCGAACAAAACAGTTGATCAATGTTTCTACAACACAGCCATGCCTCATGACTATACCACCACGAATTGGCGGGCTAGACATCCACTCCCGTTGCCCCATAAAGACTCGATATGACGCAGWTGAGCACCGAATATCTCCGTCGCTTCTTTCAAGATCTTGGCGTCTCATTTTAAATTCACATTCCGGGGAGTTGTTTTGAMGACAGCCCAATCTAGCAAGTCGCGTCAGACTTCTGAAATCAGACTGTTGCTACCACAACCCTCCAAATCTGGATTCGAAAACAGGCGGAGGAGAGTGGAAGATAACCGTTCATCACGTCTGAACACACAACTCACGCAACTGCTAAGCACAAACAAATGGACTTGGACTTGCCCGACAACCAGGACAAAGAATTACGGTATTCGGACTCACCCAGACGCTGGACCCAGGTCACACAGTCACTACAGAGCCCCGTCAAGAGTCTTCATCCAGAGCACAGTGTTGCCCTCATGGAGTCTCTTGATAGCCAGATCGATTTTGGGCATCGAACAATCGACTTCTTCGATGAGAGCAGCGATGATGAGCCGCTTACTGCTAGGAAGTCGGCTACGGGCCTACCTGGGAGTAACCTCGATTCAAGAGATCGGTCAGCCTCACCTGGAAGACGAAGGTCCCATCCTCCCCCTTTGCTGCAGCCACTTGTATCGCAATGCGAGCCAAAGGGATGTGTTGCAACACAAGCAGATTCAGAACAGTGGCCGTTGCAACAAGAGCCTTCTTCTGAAGGGTATCAGCGGTTAGACTCGAAGATGCCAATGCCAACACGACCTGACTCCATCGCAAGTACTTCGTATAATGGTTCCATTGAAGAGCTTGACGAACAACATGCGGATGGTACACCGCGACCTCTAAGGCCAGCCCGAATATCATCCGGAAGAACAGCACGAAGCTCTGGAGGATGGAAGCACAATGATCATTCCTACGACCTCCGCAAGTCGACGTTCTCGACGTACTCTGATAAGACAGGGCATCGACTAGGTGATAAGACAGAGCAACGGCTAGGTGATAAAGCAGAGCAACGGCTAGGGGTTCATGCTATTGCCTACGATCTGCTATTGAATGGGCTATTACGAGACGACGAAGTGATGAGCCAGGCCAAATCTCAGCTTGAATCTTCCAAACCCGGTGTCAGGAGTTCTATGCTTCCACCGAAGCTCAACATTGGCGGCCCGAACAGTCCACGGAACGCATTTGTTCACCAAGCCACACCTGACCGGTCTTCCAAGAGAGTCCATGTGGTGCCGCYCCCAATACAAGTCGGCGACTCTCATTCTTCGCTTCCCCAAGACATCATTCGGACACCATATCCGTTTGGCACTCCCCGGAGCAACCGCAAGGAATTCAACCAGGATGCCAGGTCAGGAACACATACGCCTTCTGGTAGTTTGGAAAGCATTCTCACACTCGGTATTCGTCGGAGTAATCCCAACAGCATGCCACGGGTGACCAGTCTGACAATCCCCGCCTCGAATGATTTTGCAGTAGCTCGCAATAGTCGCGAAGGAGCAACATCCGAAAAGCCATTCACCTCTACAGCGTATGATGATGCTGAACTATTCCGTCAACTGCGAATATCCTACAATCACCTTGCCAGCCCATTCAGGTTCTTCAGCGCGAGAAGTCTTACAAGAATCCACGTAAGCGGTCCAGCTAGCAAGGCCGCGGACGCAGGATATGGTTGGCTACATCAACCACGAAGTCCACGGATACTGGCCTACAGGGGATTGACAGACACATTCAGTGAGGAGAAGATCTTACAACACTACCGCAAGCCGGCATTGGGCAAATCACGATATGCGTTTGTTCATTGGGCACATCGTTTAGCTGCTGCTCCTCCTGCCCGCACGCCAATGTCCGGACATTTCACCCCTACAACTCCAGATCGAGAACTTGTAAGGCAAGCAGAGCAGCCGGAGGGGTTGGAGTTTGTGGTTAGCTGGTCTGTGAAGAGGATCTTGCTGGCGTTGTCGGTTGTACTGCTACTGAGTGCTGCTGCGGCTTTGTTGTGGGTCTTTCTTGGGAAGAACTCATCTGAGCAATTTTCTGCACCCCAAAGAGCTGGGTTTCGTGGAGCCGGCGATCGCGTTGGGACAGGAATTGTGCTGGGTATCTGCGTGCTTTTGCTTGGCCTTAGCTCGTTTGGTGGGTGGTTGGGAGTGAGTTGGTTGGTGATGTAGTTTGAGAGCGCACCCAAACCACCCATTGCACTCTGTTCGATTCAATAGAATATATATACATCAGAATGAGTGGTGTCCTGCACACGAGGGTGTTCTAAAGAGGTCGATATCCGGGTTAGGCAGGAGCGGCCAACGCTAGCCAGGTGAATGAAAATGTCGAGATGTTATAATTTGCCCTCTAAGGAAAGACTTCTTCTAGTGGAAGTACAGGCAATCTATGCAGTTCCTTTGCTGCATTGTGATCTCTCCACAGTATCTTCAGTGGCGCTATTCAATTAAGAAATTCCTGACATTGCTCTCACCAACATATTTTGCTTACTGTCAATCACAAGCGAGACGCAGCTACGTTACCTTGGATGTATTATTGGACCGTGAACGACCCTTGAACCACTCGTGGTCGCTGGCGCCAAGACTTCCCGGCCCAAAAGGGTAAGAAAAAGCCGCACACCCCAAAATTCACCATTTGGCCAAAACAGCAACCTTACGACCCACAGACATGCAAAAGGATGGTATACACCTTCTTGGGAAGGGCAAAAAGACACTGGACGATGTAAGACTCGAACTCACGACCTCATCCAATCAATTCGCTGAGTTTTCAACTCGCATGCTTGCTAAGGATGCGCGCTACCTGTGACAGTTATTAGTATACTGCTAGTAAAGGCGAGGAATGGATGAACTTGCCAGCTGCGCCAAACGCCCGACGTTGATGGAGGAGAAAGTCTAGGTCCGATCATGTAGCTGTGTTTTAGGGGGTAAAGAGGGCCGGAGATGTTCCGCATGCAGGACAGTAGTACGACTTCTGACGATCACTTCGACGATTCCCGTACGCTCTACAAGGTCTGAGGTAGATTATTACAAGATCTGAAGCTCACGTCCTGACTGGTACTCAGAATTCGGGAAGAAAGTTGGAAAAGGAGAAATGCATTCAGATGCATTGCTACGAAATTGGATTGTCTACCACTGCTTCCACGCCGTTTGAGTCAACTTCAAGTGAGCTTCTTCACGCTATACTAGGGCACGTTCTRCCCTCCACACGTCTGCTGCAAACTCGCACATGACATTCCACCGAGCGTATCAGGAAGCTCATAGGCTCGAACTGATGGAACACAGGCAGCCACTCGGCATGATACTACTCAGATTGTCCATCACCGTCAACTTCCAGCGAGGTCTGCCGCAGCCTCTCAAGTGCTACTTAACTCGTCTTGTATTCCGCCAACATACGTCTTCCATTCCTGCTCTGCTCAATCATCTGCTATAGGTCTTCTACATAGCCGGCTCGGGCTGAAAGGTGCTTACGGTGTACGAATCGATGGCCGTTGATTTTGAGTGCAACTGAAGGAGCTTCTAGATTGTGCAAGCGAGAGATCTCTACGTAGCTTCCGGCTTGTATCGCGAGTGAAAAGGTAAGGGGTCCGCCTAGGAAGTGGCTTTGGATATCCGCATGTTCGACATGGTGAGAGGACGCTCCATTAAATGAAGTACCTCAYACAGCATTCCGAATATTAACATCTCGACTCAGCTTCCCCAACTTTTCCAACAGGCTACCGCAACCACTACTGCCTGCTCAACAATATCGAAGAGACTCTTCTGAGTGATAGAGTGGCTGCAATGTACTTGGGACTGTCCGTAGTCATGAATTGAACATCCTCCTGATAGTTGAGGAGGTCGCTTGCTGGTGCAGGCATCTCGCCCATGGCTGGGAGAGGGAAAAAAGAAAAAAGTGCAATGGGTCAAGAGCATGAAGCAACGTCTACCAGAGTGACTTGTGTATGAAGTACTGTTTGCAACACCCGACTGTATTTGTATAAGAGCAAGGATAGAAGTGACTYACCCGTCGTTCATATGGAGCTATCATTCTAGATCCACTTGATTGGATAACTTGAGAACACTCATATTGGGTCGAAAGCTACCTGTGTGACATTACTGGCTGCAAGACGGCCAAGTGCTGCTCGCTGGCGATACTTGCAGAGAGACATGAACGCTAGATTGTGCTTGCCAACGCGTTGCCGTTTTGACTCGCGCAATTTGACGCCGCAGATTGATGAGCAGACCCCAGATGTGCCTTCAGAGGGCAAATACGATATCATGAGTCTGTGGCAAAACGGATAATACTCGTCTGCTCTTAATCATGCTGTTCGCAGCATTCAGGTCTAGGCTGAGATGTGATGTCGTTTTCCCGTTTTAGTAGGCATCACCATTATTGTTCCTGATCGTGCCATATACGAATGATTCGTAGGAAGCGTGGACGGATGTAGAGTATAGTATGTAAGTAACATGGGAGAAGAACAAGAGAGAACCGCGTTGATGTCGGCAGAGGATTTTCCCCCTTACATAAGCCAGTCTCGCCTCTTCTCTTCCCTCCTCTCCTCTTGCACCACCTCAACATCATCATCATCATTCTCGGTGTTCCGCCCCATCGACGGGCTTCTTGTCTATAATCTTCCCGGTGCTAACGCCAATCTCTTTGATGACAATCCACGCTGGCAGCAAGGCAACCGCCCATAGTCCAAAGTTGAGATAGATGCAGCCCACACTTCCCATCACTTTTACGCTGGTCAATCCGTAAGATACTGCCTGAGCCGCGCTCTCGGTTGCTCGCAGTATTCCAGCGTAGCGAATAACTTCGGCATCGTTCTTGGCAAGACTCCCGATAACGAAGTAGAGAAACATATAGTTGACCTGAAAGGATATGACCATGAGGAGGAACCAGACGAAGCCTCTCCCGAACCCATCGTCCACCCAGTCGAATGCCGGCTGGGTCTTGCGGTATCCTGTTACAACTATGGTTCCGTAAATCCACCAAGCGCCCTGTAGGGTCATGATGACAATCTGTACAGCGGAATTGTCAGACGGTACGACTGGAGGGAGATTTGGGCAAAGCACTTACGAAAGACCATCTACTGCGGACGCGAGCCGCGAACCTCGTATTGTCCAGAAATGCCCCCAACAAGTTCCCGCCCAAGATGGCGACGACACCCGAAAGTAAAGAGCCCAGTGCTCGTGCGCGGACGGAGAACCACAGCCCTTGGTATGTGAAGAACACTGCCTCGGAAAAGACACTCGCTGCAATAAGCGGGATGATCAGCACGAATTGTCTGCCCACGAATAGTTTGCCTGTGCTAGCCATCTCTTTTCGGATACTTTCATCTTTGGCGATCGAACACGAAACCGTCACGCCGTCTGTTCGCTCGACCTTTGGTGGGTTCGTCAAAAGAAGTCCAGCGAAAGGAGCAACGGCCTGTATTGCAATGAAGACCTGGAAGACCGAATACGAGACTGATCCGGCGGTGTTCCTGTCAACATTCAATCCAAGGTTGACTGCACCACCAAGAATCTGGCCACCGATACGGAATGACAGCCACAACCCTAGGAAGCGTCCCTGATTCTCTGGTTCTGGATAGCTCAATGCCACAGCTGCTTCGGCCATCCAGAACAGACCGGCTCCTAATCCACAGCAAGCAGCACCGAAGAGGACGAACCACTCACTGCCGTAACGGTTGTTGCAATACAATCCAGCAGCGTAGGGACAGTAACCGGCAGCCCCTAGAATGAGTGTATAACGGATCCCCAAGTATTTGACGAAGATCCCGGAAAGCGCGCAAGTCACGACCATCAGACAGAAAGTAAGGGCATTCGCCGCATTGACAAGCCATGGGCTTTGGCTGCCACCTCCTCCCAGTGAGTTCATAGCGCCCCAGMTGCCCGGTGCACAGAAGTTGCATATGCCAAGAATAATGGCATTGTACATTGTCGAGCGGTACCATTTGACCTTCCTGCGTGGAACTGGCTCTTCCTCATCGTTTTGGGTCGAGCGAATAGATGGCGAAGATCGGGTCTTGTCATCGTAAGCCATGATTGGCGGTAGGCGTTTCCAGACAGCGTGATACGAACGAAGAAGGATGGCCGCACAGTTGCAGTAGGAATCTGCTATTCACTATGCTATTCCCTCTCGCGTGGAGGTGATGAACGTGGCAGCCACGCGAGCAAAGAAGCAATACGAAATGATCTATAAGATTCGCGGCTCTCATCCCGAAAGCAGGTACGTGGTAACCCTGGGCTCGCACGCCATTCTGCTCGGGATTGTATGCATCGTCGTTGGGATGGYATTTTAGCGAGCACCGCTTTTGTGACCTCGCCTCMCCAAACGGCAGACCGGAACTTGAATCCTTCTATCGCGGGCAGTAATGCTTACGATCGCAACCGACAAGGTAACAGCAATTACCGATGCTTTCCCTGCTGCTCAAAGTTGACGTGCTGGTCGTGGGTAGATGTCGTGATCCTCAACCCCACCTTGTCGATCTAAAAGACAGCCTTCACGTGCCAATGGCCCACATGTTGGACCGGGATGGTCTGAGAAGGTTTTTGGCGGCATTTGTCGAGTCAWCTGTTTCTCATCGTTGTCACTTGCATACTAACAAGGTGAGACAAGTTGGAAGTATCAGCTATCATGTCGACACCACAGCAACAACAGGTTACTGGCAAAAAGCCATGGGTGATGAATGCTTTTGCCATGGCGGCACCTGGTCACCTTGCACCTGGTCAGTAGATGATGTTCTTCATCCGACGCTCGTCTGACATGTACAGGCCTTTGGAGACACCCGGATCAGGAGCCACAAACACTCGAGCATTGGATTGAATTGGCGAAGAAGCTCGATGAGGCAAAGTTTCATGGCATGTTTTCGATGCACGCACTTGGTGTTCTGTACTGTACTGATCGAACTCTTTTTCAATGTAGGCATCTTCTTCGCCGACGTTCTCGGTATATACGATGTATACCAAGGAAACGGCCCCGCTCTTTCGTCTGGAGCTCAAATCCCACATTTGGATGTCTCGTATATGATAGCGGCAATGGCAGCGGTAAGCTTGACGTTTCTCATCGATGGGAATAGACTAGCTGATGGAGAGTAGGTCACCAAAAATATTTCCTTTGGTATCACTGCATCGACGTCATATGAACATCCTTACACGGTGGCGAGGAAATACAGTACACTCGATCATCTCACGAACGGAAGAGTTGGCTGGAATATTGTAGGTGACAAGCCATCACATTGCTGAATCAGACTGATTGGTGAATGAATAGGTCACAAGCTATCTAGAAAGTGCAGCAAAGTCGTTTGGTCTCGAGTCGACAGTCGAGCATGACGAACGCTACAACGCAGCCAACGAGTTTATGGAAGTTGTCTACAAGCTCCTCGAAGGCAGCTGGGAAGACGACGCTGTGGAAGCCAACAAAGCTACCGGAATCTACACAAACCCAGAAAAGGTGCATGCCATCAATCACGCTGGGTACGTGCTTGATAACGTCCACAATACTGGTCAACACTGACAAGTCCAGGAAATACTTCAAATCCAGGGGTCCCAATCTCGTTCACCCATCTCCTCAGCGAACCCCGTTTCTTCTACAAGCTGGCGCAAGTAAAGCCGGCAAACATTTCGCAGCATCTCATGCCGAGGCCATGTGAGTTTCTCCAACTCCTCCTACTCCATCAGGCTGACATGTCAACACCAAACAGGTTCCTTCCAGGCATGATCCCCGAGAAGACGCGAGCAATCGTAGACGACGTCAAAAAATCTCTAATTGAACTCGGTCGAGCCGCAGACAGTGTGAAATTCATCGCAGGGATATTCATCGCCGTAGACGAAACCGACGAGAAAGCCCAAGCCAAATTCCAAAACCTGCTCCAATACGCCGATCTCGAAGGAACCGCTTCCCTCTTCGGTGGATGGACGGGAACCGATCTGTCAACCTTCACCGAAGACGAGGATTTTCAATTCACGGGACCCCCGGCGATTCAATCCATGATCACCGCCTGGACGGCCACGGTACCGGGGACCAAAGGACAGAAATGGACCAAGAAGACTGTTCTCGAACAACTTGCCATCTCCGGCGCGCATCCCCGAGCGATTGGTTCGGCCGAGACGGTTGCTGATATTATGGAGCATTGGGTGAATAAAGCTGGAGTGGATGGTTTCAATATCAGTTATGCGACTACCCCGGGAACGTTTGATGATCTGATCAAGTACTTGTGGCCGGAATTGAAGAAGCGAGGGGTGTTGCAGACTGAATACCATGGAAGCAGTATGAGGGAGAATTACCTCCAGGACGGCCGGGGACCTCGAGTGAGAGAAGGACATCCTGCGAGGAAGTTCAGAGATTTGAAAACATAATCTGCGCGAGCAAGATGGTGGTATTCTGCAGTATAACTATGGGGTATCAATAGTAAGGAAATGTGCATTCTATGAACATTTCAGACACAAGACTTTCTTTTCATCATCAACATGCTTTAAATCATTTGGAAAAACCGATCGACAGTCTCTGCAGGAGAGAGTGGCGTCTCCGGCGGCGTGTTAGCCAGTATGAACCCCTTGATCTCGCTCTCCGGTGGTGGTGTGTAATAACAAGTAAACATAGGCTCCATCTTCTTCTCAGCCTGCGGCGCAGACGAATCTCGCTCTCGTTCCGTAGAGGAAACAACATCCATTCCAATCCCAGAATCGCGACTATCCCTCGTAGAGATGGAATCGCGGGAAGCAATCGACTCAGTCCTCGACACGATGGAGCTGCGATGTCTACTACTTCCCTTGACCATGAGCTCATTGAACTCTCCACTCATCTTGGAGCGAAGACTGGACATCATCTGCTCCATGGCTTGCTTGCGATAATGCTCCACACTGTCAAAACTGTCTTTTTCTTCCTCATCACCACGACATCCGATCAATTTCCGACGATGCGTCGCAAAGCGAAGAGGAGTTTGTGTTGCTCGGATCTTGCGTACGAAATCGAATCTTCGGGTGTGGTAGCGTACAGCTCGAGGACTCCAAAAATCCAAACTCATCTCCCCTAATTCATGTGCTCGGGCGAGAGCTAGGGCGTTTGCTGAGAGATTGATATCCATCTTCCAGGTACCTTGGGTGAGAATACCGGGTCTGAGAAGAAAGGCGACGTGAGTTCTGATGTAGTCATCCAGTAGTTCGCCAGTGCCAGGAAAGACAAAGTCGACGAGACCGACGGCTTGTGCCTCGAGTGGCGACATGGGAGTCATGGAACGTAACATCTTCATTGCTTGTACGTGTCCGCATCGTCCGTAGTAGGACAATGTATGGAATTCGGAGCCGAAGAGACCCACGGCACGATATGCAGGGTTGAGGACAACGTTTGCTCCTGCAATGACCACATCACAAGCAGCGGCGAGGGCTACGCCTCCTGCTGCTGCATTCCCTCGGATACCTGATATGGTAAGAATACCACGTCGTGGAAATTCGTGGAGAAGATAGTAAACTGCATCGTCGATACGGTTAATGTTGAGCCATGACTCTGTGGAGGGATCCTGGGCGGCTTCAATAACATTGAGAGCGATTCCATTGCTGAAGTAGGTACCTCCCATCAATACCACAGCCTGTACCGGGCCATCGATGGTTGACAAGGTGAGTATGTAATCCATGGCAGCGATGAGATGTGTGCAATTCTCCGTCGACATGGCTCCGTTGTAAAAGTCAAAGTAGAGATATACCGTCTTGCGATTTCGTCCATCCAACTCAATATCAATCCAAACCTCTTGAAAGGTTCGAAAAGATGAGAGTGACCAGTCGAGCGGTGGTGGCCAATAGAGTGCATCAATGTCGTCTTGTCTGATCAGACCGAGCTCAATGAGGCCAGTGATAGCTGGTACTTTCGGCCAGAGAGCTTTGTCATACTTCGTCTTTGGTCTGCGTGTGTGCGTGATCCAGACGCCTTTACCATCGCAAGTCGCAATACAAATGGCTTTGTTACGAACTCCCAAGATATTGGAGGCTAATTTTCCCATGACCATGGGCTGACCGCCAACGGCGTTGTCTTCGACTTGACCTCCATATATATATCTAAATGTTGAGGGGTGTTAAAAGCCTGTTGATGAATAGAGAGGGTGGGAATTGCGTCAAGACTTACAAATTACCACCGAATACACGACTCAGAACTCCTGGCTGGGAATCACCACACCGTATCCGCCGCGATATCTGGTAAGAGTCGTGCCTCCGTATGTCGAATTCGCGTTGTGCTCCTTTGAGAAGGGGTCTGTGGTGTAATTTGYCACCCTGGAAAGTAGTATTGGTCCCCACTGATAGCAATCGAAATTTGGGATCTGCTTGTAGAGTAGAAGGGTAAGGTCCATTCATATCGTCTCCCACTTCAAGATCAGCCCTCGCTACAGCCTGTATACGACTGATGGCAGCCAAGGTGGCCGTGATAGCTGCAGTAGTCACCAGACCTCTGTATAGTTCCGACTTGGTCAGGCCTGGCTGGTCAATGTCAATCTCAAACTGATCGTAAGCCCAGACTGGACCGGCGTCAAACTCCTCGATTGCCTGCAGCACAGTAATGCCCCAATGCGAACGACCAGGCTTGCATGTCAAAGTATCCAGATGCTGGAGTAATTCCTTCGAGTCGTCAACCGTACCATCGTCACCCATGAGTAACCAATCCAGAGCGCTGGGTCCGACATCACCAGGAGGGCCAGGGTGGATAATGAGTGTCAGATGGTCTGCATAGATTCTCCTCGGGACAAGTGTGGTGAGAAAGGGGCAGATGATGATATCAGGCTGTGCCAAGGTCACTGCAGAAAGCATGACTTCCTCTGACAAAGCATACTCAATGGTGACATCGTGCAAACGTGACAGAGCCAGGGCAAGACGCTGAGAAAGTGAGTTGTGCGCCGTGCAGAGGAAGAGAATCTTCATCTCGCGGAGATTTAAAGGGGTCGTCGAAGCGAAAGGGATGTCTTTCAACAAAAAATGTCGTGAAAGAGGTCACAGCAGTAGGCAACCAGGTGAATACTTATCCATCCCAAGTGCCAGATCGTGGGCTCAAGGAACGGAGTCGTCGTGAGATGGCGTTGAGGGTGGTCGCACATCCAGGTCAAGAGCCTTATTTTTTGCCTCGTACAGCATTATCGGCCGGGCGTGGTTGATGCTCGCCACCGTCATAGTGTACACAGACTTGGTGAAGCGAGGACAGTCTGCCGAGAAGGGCTGCCCAAGGACAGACCTTTGATGTCGCCGAGGCACAGGTTGATGTTCGTAGCGGCTTCGACAGCGAGCCATTCTGTGGCGGTTCTGTGAGCCAGAAAGAGATACCTGGCGTCGATTGTGGACTACAATGTCGTTTGCCCCAAGTCGTATCGGACATTGCAAGTATCAGAGATTGTGGGCGAATTTTGAGATTGTTTGCCGCCGTACAAGCTGAATACCGAGTGGGAGAATTCTTGTCATGTTGGCCTGCAGACATGGGTTTAGATCGATGATTCCTTACTCTGGTGTTCAGCTCTTCGGTGCGGCATTCGATACGCTACAGGCCAATCTTCTCATTCTCCAACGCCAAAGGATCGCCACAAATCTCTGCACAAGCATTTCGGGCGCGAAATCAGCAGGAGAGGGAGGGTCAATCTCCTTGAGGGCTCAAGTCCGAGACCCGGCGTCCACCCTGCTATGATGGTTGGACCAAGTGCTAGATTTGAACAACTTCCCTCACGTGGCGAGCGGTTCGTCTTGCCACAGTGCGATGGGAAGTCTCCACACTGTACTACGACAGCTATGTTGGAAATCATGGGCTTCTGGATGTGTAGTGCGGTAGATGAATGGTCGTGTTGAAGAAAGCGGTGTCGGAAGGTTGTCCGATGCGTGGAGGTGAAGTGGTCTCCTGTGATTACGATGCAAAAGACGTAGACGGTGGTGTATGAGATCGATCGATAGATCGTCTGCGAGTATAGAAGCATGTCCAATTGCTTGATTGCACAACAAGCGGGAGGTGCACAACAAGCAGGAGGTGACCAGTCGCGCAAATTCTCGAGACGTACAGAGACGCCGTCTGTCAAGCCACTTCTGTACAACCCATCCATTTCGCCAAAAGCGAGCCAAATCCCAGCCTCTTCCAATATCGGCCATTCCGCGAATGAATCAAACGATTCGAAAGTGTAGTCCGAAGCGATAGGTTACAAATACCACTTCTCAAGGAGGTCCCTGAGGTCCGGATTCTCGCTGAGATAAGGAGTCATGTCAGACTCCGGATCATTTTCCATTCTTGTCTGGCCATTGCCAAAGTATGCGAATCTGCCGTGAAGTATTAGAAAGTGACAATGTAGGTACATGAGAGGGTGTGCGTGCGACCACGCACCTATTCTCCGGTCGCTCATACTCGTATTCAAAGTCCTCCCAGCGTGGTTCGGCCTTCGCTCGTGTACTATGACCTTTCGACACTATTAGCAAGCATGCCATCAGGTCCAATGAATATATATGTACGTACTACCTGACCCGGGCCAGTGGCCATGAATTCTGTAGATGATCGATCAGTATCTCAGATTTCCCATCGTAGATTGTGCGATGCTGTAAACTCACCGATTCCCGGCTCTCCCTCCATTGGACCAACTACTGCAATTCAGCGAGAGATTCGTACGTGGAAAGAACGCATCACAATATCTATGCAACAAACATCAGCATATTTCAACCCGACCTTCCAGCCTCTCGACCCGACATACTCAACAAAATCATCCGTCGCAGCTTTGGACGGCGTCATACTCTTGATACGTTGCGAGGACATTTTTCGTAGCATCTTGGCCATGTATGTGACTTGGGTCTCCACAGCATGAGGTACCGTTCCATTGATGCCTGCGGGATTTGGTCCGAGAATGTATGCAAGATTCGGGAAACCTGTGCCGCAATCCCCAATTAGTGATATTCACGATGGACTTGTCGGTCTGCGTACCAGGCGTGCAGAGGCCCAAGTAAGAGTATGGAAATCCAAACTTCCCCTCCGGCTTCCAGTCTTTGGACAGATCGAGCCCGTTCGCCGTGATTGGGAAAGGGGGTGCATAATCGACGTTGGCACCTGTGGAAGCAATCACGGCGTCAACCTGTATATATCGACAGCGGCTTAGTATTGATTCTCTGTGTGAAAAAAGGGGGTTGATAATCACCTCTCTGTGAATCCCATCTGTAGTAACGATCCCAGAAGCCGTGAATCTGGATAAAAACAGTGAGATCAGCTTTTCTATGATCAACAAGAAATGAACCCAACAAACATACCTCTCAATAGGAGTCTGAATCAACCTCACATTCTCCGCCTTCAAAGCTTCAAGATATCCCGGACCAGGCGTCAATCTGCGACAATTGGGTGGGAAAGTAGGAGTAAGCTTAGCCACCAACTCCTCATCACCATCCTCCAGTCTCCGCTTCATAGATTCCAGAAATTTTCGTTTGGCATTCCGACTGGTCTCGGAACCTTTGAGCTGTCCATCAAAGCCCCGAAAGAAACTCCCTTCCAAACCCTTTCGATACTTGAGATATTCAGCCGGATTTTCAAAAGCTCTCCGTTCTTCCGGTGTAAAAGGCATAGGTTCATCCTTCCTATCCTCCAGCGCAGAATTAAAAGATCCCGCGATCCATGTTGCTAATCAAACAGCGTGAGAAATTAAATGAACCCAAGACATTCACCACTTCTCCTCCCTCGCATAGAAGGGAAGAAAACTTACGATTTCGTGCATAATGATCAATATGCCCGGCAATCTTCTGCAAAGCAGTCGTGACTTGAATCCCCGAAGCCCCATTCCCAATCGTCGCGATACGTTTCCCGCGCGCATCAAAGGCAGGGTCCCAGGCCGAGGAGTGGTGGATTACGCCCCGGAAGTCAGACATGCCCGGATATGAAGGCAGCTTCCACTCGTTGAAATGCCCAATCGCTGTGATGAGGAAGTGAAAGTACTCGACTGCTTCCTCCCCTGTGGTGACATTGGTAGTCTCTACTCTCCATTGTGATCGGGAGGGATCCCAGTGTGATGCAACCACTTTGGTGTTGAGTCTTAGCATGGAGTAGACGTCGAATTTCCTTGCAATGGATTTCCAGTATTCGAGAATCTCTGAACCTTGGGCGTATTGTTCGCTCCAGTTTTTGTTGGGTGAGAATGATGCTTGGTAGACAGTGCTTGGGACGTCGCATCTGTATGTATGTGTATGAGTGATTGTCGATTTATCTTGATGTGTGATACACATACCGAACTCCAGGATAAACATTCTCATACCTACACGTCAAGCAAGAAAATCAGCTCGCCTCCTTACAACATAAATTCCAACATTTGGAAAGATGACTTCAAAACAAAACTCCACATATTCTTCACATATTCTTCACACACACACACACACACACACATACCACGTCCCTCCCTAAACCCCCCCCAAACAATCAGCATTCCATCTCCTCAAGAAGACAAGAAAAGAAAAAACATCACAGACTCAACTCCTTACCACATCCCCATTCTTCTCAAGAATCGTCAATTCAATCCCAGGAACCTTGGCCGGCAACATAACCCCAGCAGTAATCCCCGCCAAACCCGCCCCAATAACACAAACTTTCAACGACAAAATATCATCGATATAATGCTCGCTGAGGTGGAAGTTTGTGGGCCAGGGGTATATCCATTCCTCCCCAACATCATCATCATTTATGGGTGTAGTGGCGGCGTTCATGTTGTTTGTCTTTGTATGTTCGGATAAAGTAGATGAACGAGTTTGGATTGAGATATGCCGTGAAACGATTGTCATTCCTTCGAGGGAGAGTGAAGTGGAGGGGAGGGGAGTGGATAGGGCTGAGCTGAGCTGAGATGGATTGCGCGATTCGTCTCCAGCTGACGTGACACCTGGGGTACGAGCCCAACAACCCACCGTGACCTCTTAAGCCCGCACGACTCGATTTCGGGGGAGGCAGATCTACACTTTACAACCGAGCTTAAGTTATGGTGGAGTCTTCTTGAGAGGCGTGCGAAGCAGTAGCGTTTGCGATTCCGATATACTAATCTCTAAACGATAGACCAATGAGGTGAAGAAATATGTTTGTGTTTTTATCTTCCTCGTCCTTGCTTTTGTCTTTCTTCATATCATTCTTCTTGGTGTATTAGCATCGCTTCCTTTCCATCAAATCGACCTCCCCTCAAAGGCCATTGAAGAAGAAGAAGAAGAAGAAGAAGAAGAAGAAGAAGAAGAAGAAGAAGAAGATGCTCTGTATATATCTCGGTGGGTTCTTGATTGAAGGAATAACTATACCATAGACTTGCCGTGAGATTTTCCATTCTTTCAAGACACCATTTAAATACTTCCGTGCATACAGTACATTAGTCGCCATATGTCTTTCTCGAAATGGAAACCCTTTGTCTCCTCTACGCCGCATTCCTGGCCTATCGTAAATCAAGCTCGATTACACCACGTAGGCCATTCCCCTGAGATTACCATTGAGATCCCCAAGCAATCATACTAGCAGGTACGGATGTTCCATTGCCTAAGAATCAGATCAATCAATCAGCTCCAAAATCTCTCCCATGACACTCTCATCAGGGAGGGGGGGAGGGAGAAAGGATACCTACCTCGACAGCAGCAAATCTTCGCCCACTCTCAAACCGCACCAAATTTCTCACCAACTCCACGCCATACTCCTCGGCACCCGGCAAAATCTCCTCCCATGCCATCCCGGGATACTTCACAAAGTGCATTTTTCCCCAATCCGGCATGTCCTTGGCTTCGGGCCAGACGCCTTCATCGGGAGTGCCCAGGGTCTCGAAGATACTTTTGATCAAGGCCAATTCACTGCCCAGATCACCAGCATCGAACAATGTCTTGCCATTCAGACATATCACTTGGGCGGCGACACATCCGGCGGCCCACATGTCCAATTTCTCGCCGTATTTGGATTGTCCGAAGAGGAGTTCTGGGGGTCGATAGCAGGTGGTTCCCACGTCTAGGATCTTGGCATCTGCGGGTTCGGAGGCGGAGTCGGTGGGCGACCAGGCGATTCCAAAATCAGCTAGCATTGCGGGACCCGTGGTGGAAGAAAGGAGGATGTTGGAGGGCTTGATGTCGCGATGGATCATTCCCAAGGAGTGGATGTGTGCCAATCCCGCAAAGAGGTCTCGTAGGACGGTCTTCCATGCGGGAGGGGTGAGTGATTTGGAGTGCAGGAGAGAGTTGAGGTCATGAGGAAGGTAGGGAAATGCAAGAACAAAGTGCCCGTCCGGCTGACGGAATGTTTCTAGCAGAGGGATGATCTGTGGACCTTTTGCCTGGGATAGCAGGCGGGCTTCTCGGATGGGATCGTGGGGAGGAGTGGTCATGGAGGGATTGGTGATTTTCAGCGCCACAAGGCTGGAGGATGGAGATGGGGAGTTGGGGTCGATGGCGCGGAAGATTTCCGAGGTGATGCCATCGTTGATGTGTTCTGCATGCGTGTAGCGGCCAATGCGAGCTCCGCCGGTGATGGGAAGGTTGGATGTGATGTGTTCGTCTTGGTGCAAGTCTGGGATAGGAGGTGCGGGTGTTGCCGAGGCGAGGAGTTGCTGGATTATGGCGTCGCACTGCTCGTTGTACTCTTTCTGGACAGCGTCAGGGGGATTGAGGATGGAGAGGGAGGATTGCAGGAGATGATGCCCACCAAAGTCGAAGCGTGCTTGCGGATGTCCGATTCGGCCACTCGAGCATATTTGGAGGCTTCTGTGGGGAAAGCATGGGGATTTGCGGCCGCATAGGCAGCACCACTGCCATTCATTCGGTCAACACGTCGAAGGAGGGAGAAGAAGTCGTCCTTTTTGTATACATTTGGGAAGTCATGTCGAGACGGTCGGAGAAGGTGATGGACCCACGCCAATCGTCGGCCATGTTGGGAGACGCGAATAGGAATTCCCGCTCATGAGCTGGTACATCAGATGATTGATGAATATTGATGCTGAGGTTGATGTTCCTCAACATCAAAATAGGTGTTTTGAGGTATGTATGCATTGTCATTTTATGCTTTTTTATGCAAGAGTCCGTGCCAGCAACGCGACAGCTCTCGTGCCTGGAGCTCCATCATCAATCACCGACACGACATCCAAACACTCGACCCTCCCACTACTCCATCTCCTCCGACCACTCCATCCACCATCGCCGACCTCGACTTACTGGCAACACCTCTCCGCTCCGCCAGCACCACCCCCATCCAGATTAATACACACACCTCCGCGGACATGGACTCGCTCGTGGCAGCATACAGCCGCCCGGCGTATGAGGAGGGCTTCAACGATGAAGATTCACAGCAACTCGCCCTGGACCTCGCACCGCCGCTCAACCTCAAATTCGCCCTTCCGCCCATTGCATCATCGCAATCCTGGCTGCGCGCCATGACGGACGACCACAGCAACCCCAATTGCCCCATCAAAATCGCCCACGGAACCACGACGCTCGCCTTTCGCTTCAAGGGCGGCATCATCGTCGCCACGGATTCGCGAGCCACGGCCGGTAACTGGATCGCCAGTCAGACGGTCAAGAAGGTCATTGAGATCAACAGCTGCTTGTTGGGAACCATGGCGGGAGGCGCTGCGGTAAGATATCTGTTGATGGATCATGTGGGGATAGCCATATCCATACTAATCATCAATCCCCAGGACTGTCAATACTGGCTCGCATACCTCGGCATGCAATGTCGTCTCCACGAACTCCGTCACAAGCGCCGCATCTCCGTCGCCGCCGCCTCCAAGATCCTCGCCAACCTCGTCTACAGCTACAAGGGAATGGGTCTGAGCATGGGAACCATGTGCGCTGGTGTCACCCCTTCCGAGGGTCCCGCCCTCTACTACATCGATTCGGATGGTACCCGCTTGGCCGGCAACCTGTTCTGTGTGGGTTCCGGTCAGACGTTTGCGTATGGTGTGTTGGATGCCGAGTACAGCTATGATTTGGAGGATGATGCGGCGTTGGAATTGGGACGGAGAAGTATCCTCGCCGCCACCCACCGAGATGCCTTTTCCGGTGGTTTCATCAACCTGTACCACGTCAAGGAGGATGGATGGGTCAAGCATGGATTCAGCGATACCAACCCGGTGAGTGCATGCCAACATTATTACATGTGGGAGGGGTCGAAGGAATGTCTGCTAACATGCAAGGACAGATCTTTTGGAAGACCAAGCTGGAAAAGGGCGAATTCTCCAACGTCACCGCGGACTTGGAGTAGGAGGAGTGTCGAGAGAGAGAGAGCATGAATGGTGGCGTGATGAATGGCGAGGCCATGAGCTGGCGCGGAAGATGCGCCATTGTAGTTATACCAGACGTGTCATACTAGCATCACCCGACAACATATCCGTCGGCGCAATGTTCCCAGGGATGAATGAAATGCATTGCAATGGAGCCATCACAGTGAACTAGTTACCTGCTGCTTTTCGTGATGCACGGTAGGAAAAAGCGAGGAGCGTGGCATTCCACTGACCATCCAATCACATTTGATGGCAAACCATGAATCCCAAGTCTAGACTTCAAATACCCATCCATGGTGTCAAAAGGCGATGAGTTGGTAAGTCCCAGATGACACGACACCAAACAAGTCGGCTCAGCTCAGCATGTAGGGTGTGGTATTTATCCGCAGGATGATATGTAGGGGGCGTTTCTTGGATACTTACTTGCAGAAGAAGAGTTACCGAGACAAGGAGATGGACGTCATCCGTTCATTCTGTCATTCATTTCATTCATCCACTGAAGTTGATGTTCACGTTGTAATGCCAAATCTCGAGATCTTCCTGCCCCCCCATCCTGTTGAAAGTTCGTTTCCCCATCATCGCTGTTGCAATATTATTGACCCCAAATTCGACAACATGCGCTTGGAATACAATGACAAGAGCAAGGGTGACCGCTGTGAAATGGGCTGCCATTGGGCTTTGCTGCCCAAATCAATCACTTTTGGTTCAGGTACTACTCATCCAAGTTGTCTGGACTTGGAATCAGGCAACTGTACAACTATCTATGACCGAGGCGCAGGTCTTTTTGAACCAAGGGAAGCAAGATTTACCCCAACCCTAACCCTAAAATGCATCCTCCAATCAAACACGMAAGGATGAAAAGCGCATGCATCCAGCAAAGGCGGTGACCACACAAACGCAAGATCGTCTCGGACGTCTTCCTTTACACCTCGATCAATATCTAGTAACATCCCACCCAACTCAACATCTCGTTCATTCAAACAATGCAAATATCAACCAACCCATGTCGTCACTGAAACCGCCCCCCCCCGAAATAGAAACCAGAGTGTGGCTGGGCTCTCAAATCTCACGAGGAGCCCAGCGCGAGAATTGAAAGGGTGTCATCATCAATCTGCCAATGTGTTTCTTCCCTTCGCAACGAGCATGACCCCGGCGGGGCGGCCTCGCGATGACACACTTTTTTTCCCTTTGACGAGCAGAGGGCGACGTACCTTACCTTACCTTACATGTAGTCAAGTGTTTCCTTTTCTCTTCCTCTTCCTTCCCTTCTCTCTCTTATATTTCATCCAAGCAACCAAACGCCAAACACTCACGCCCCAAAGAAGACTATCCCCCAAATCCAGACAGGAGCAACCCGCACACGACCATCCACCTTTTTTTTAAAAAAATGTGCCTCGTCACCCCACCCCGCAAAAAACTCATCGTAGAAGAAAACCGCTACGATGCTCCCCGTCCCATTTCCAACTTCCGCGGCGGCTACTCGCCCCATCACCACCACCAACACCCCCGCGAATCGGTGACAGTTATCAAGCGATCGACCAGTCGAAGCCGCATCCCCGCTTCGGAGCGCGAGGTCTATCGCAGCAGTCGGGGATCGTTTAATGATCCTAGGGTGTCGGGGGAGGTGTATCGAAAAGTCTCGAGGACGATTGTGCGGTGATGATGATGATGATGATTGGGAATGTTAGTGGGGAATTGTGATGGTGGGGTTTTGAGGTTTCCATGTCGAAGTTGGATGAGATGGGGATGGATGGTATGGGATGTGAGAGATTGGATTTTTTGGGAAGTTTTTTTATATGACGGCCTTGGAAGAGCTATGATGATAATCAGTTGGGTTGGAGAGCGATGATATGGTATGGCAATTGTATCGAAAAGTCTCGAGGACGATTGTGCGGTGATGATGATGATGATGATTGGGAATGTTAGTGGGGAATTGTGATGGTGGGGTTTTGAGGTTTCCATGTCGAAGTTGGATGAGATGGGGATGGATGGTATGGGATGTGAGAGATTGGATTTTTTGGGAAGTTTTTTTATATGACGGCCTTGGAAGAGCTATGATGATAATCAGTTGGGTTGGAGAGCGATGATATGGTATGGCAATGCATGATGGGTGTCAAGTGTTGGGGGGGGGCGGGTTGTTTCAAGTTGTCTCCTGTTTCTTCTATACCACACGTTTCAAGCGAACGAGGATGTTTCCCATTCACGTCGCAGAGAAGAGTTGACATTCTCACAGAGAACCAAACAAATGTGGTCTCTTCTATACCTTCGTCCCCTGTTAAAAACATCCCTGATCATCAAAGCCACACGCCCGATATCAGCTCGCCACAATATCGCCAAAACAGTCAAAACCAACCATCTACGAGGAAACTTGGCCCTACCCCAACGATTTTTCTACTCGAAAGAACAGGTTCGTAGCCGACACCAACGTACAGGTGCAGGTATTCCTCACTCATCGACCGCGCACAAGGAACGCCTCCCTTCAGGATTTTATCAAAACGCCCCCCCGAAAGCTACACTGGCGCCCTTGGAACGACTCGTGGATTGCCGTCACGCCCACCATACTCCGTGGATCTTATCTTGTTCATGAGCTTCCGTGTCAAAGAAATTCTACCCCTTTGATCGGAGGCGCCGAGGCGACTCATGGAAGTCGTGTTTGAAGCTTTCGTATGGTTTTGGTCGGTTTTCGAATACATGGTTACTGTCGAAGAAGGAAGAGAGGGGGATTGGGGCAGGGAAGAATTGATTCATATTTATGGGGAGGATGGAGTGGGGGTAACTTGGAGGTACCTACTACTGGTAAGGTAAAGCCTTGTTTTTCAAAGGAAAGGTGCACTGAATCGAATCATCAAACGCAAGGTGAAGGTCACTAGCATCTCTCACGACGAAGGAATGATCATTGTCTACTCCCTCCCCACGACCAGAGAGAGCGATTGCGCTTTGCCGCGATCGCCAAGGGGAAGGAAGCCATTATTCCTATATACTTCCCCCGTCTCTCGGGAGTATTTCAGCAGCTCACCTATCTCACGATACCCATCATTGCAAACCAAGTACTAGTAAGTATTAATCACACAATGTCRGAACTTGGTCAGACATGATGATCCCCTTGGTCGCGTGGGACCATCCAGATTCACCGGCAGCCAAAGCGGGTAAATCTGATTGTATACGACCATCGAATCATTTCGTTACTCGGAGTAGAAGTAGGTCGAGCGAGGTGGAAAGGAAGTGATTTGAGCCCCTAGCTWCCCGGTACAACTCATCCCGACGAGATGTCTACTCCTTGAGGATTTTCGTGTTTATTGGGGATGATGAGCTGCAGGAGATATTGAATATTGACCACTATATCTTACTACACTATTTGGCCAAACAATCGCCTCTGGGATGTTAGATACGACGACGACAGGCCATTCCGTACGGATAGAAACCCCCCTTGGTGCTGCGTTTGGTCTTGTTCTTAGTACGGAGAGCGCTCTCGAGACTAGGACAATGACTGACCATGCTGCCACCTTACGGCAAAGCTTCTTCTCGAGACATTTTGTCCAATCACCCAGCCTAGTAGATGCATACCCACAGATCATCACAACAGCAAGTTCAGCTTCACGTGCAGAGATGTAAGTGTCCAATATAGGGTTCCTGCCTGCTCATATATCTCTACTGAAAGCCACTCGACACAACTTCCCCCGAATAACCACCTTCCTACATCCATCCCGGCTAGTATGCCCAACATCCAACACATATCAGACTACAGTAAATGCCAATTACAGCAGTATGTCCATTTTCTAGAGGATGAGTATGCTACGATTCATTTCCAAATCACAAGCTTTCCGACGAATATCGATCCGATGATTTTCCAAGTCGATTTATCCTGAGGTTGAAATTAGATAGCGGTCGTATATATACTCCGAACACTATAGTTCCCAAGTGGCTTACCTCGTCTCGAAATTCACCTGTCAGTATCCTCAGTCGATACTTTTTTTCTATCGTCCCGGTAAAGGGCAACGTTTTGTTTTTGCTTAGCTTAATACTCGCCATAGGAGCTGGGATTGTATCTTCGATATTAGAATTGGAGTATGTAAGGCGAGGTCATTTCTGTAGGCTGTTCTTCATTTCGGAGGAAGCTAGGAGTGTAGTAGTCTACGTCCCCAAGAATCTTATACATGTCAAAAGCAGGAGCTGACGATGATCTTGTCGAACGAGAGAAAAAAGAAGTAAGAAGGGAATGAGATAACTTCAAACTTCAATCAAAATATCCACCCCCCAAGCGCCAGTCATAATATAAACCATCCCAAATATRTATATCCTTCCAACTACAATCGAACCTCCTCAAAAAGCCCCCGCATCACTCATCATCACACTAGGTTTACTGCTCAGTCGACTCCGACTTCGAATCGGATCATCAATCTCCATGGCACCGGACATGACGCGGACGACCTTCTTTCCCTTTCCCGCATCATTTCGGACCAGCACTTGGGCTGGACAGACGACAATCTCCTCCTCGCCTTCTCCAATATCGTCTCCCTTCTTCACCACCAAGGGGAAGAGGACAATCTTAACGACGGCATGTTCTGCCGCCAACTCTTCGTTCGAGCTGAAGAAGCCCGAACGTTCATTCATCAATGAGGCATTGAAGTGCACCTTACGGACTAAATCACCGTTGGTGTCATATTCTGGCTGTAGCGGTGGCAGCATGATGTACTCGGCCCGCTGGATGCGCATCTCAATGGAAAGGTCCACGGCGATGCGTATGACCTTTTGCAATGATGCGAGAAGCTGCTGCTCAGAAGCAGATGGAGGGGGAAGAAGTAAGCACAGCACTCCAAAGATTTCAATCGCAACCGCCTCGGTGTCCATACCGCACTGGGCGGAGAAGTTTGGCCGTTTGGAGAGAAGTGTGAGGGTGGTGGCGCGCCAGTGAGCCACTGCGCGGGGTGGACCAACATCGGAGAGAAGTTTCTCCAAAGCCTTGAGTTTCTGGCGTTGCTCGCGGTCCATACCGAAGAGGTAGCGTGTGAAGATGTACTCCCACACCATGGTCATGACGACAGACATGAAGACGTCACGGCGACGGATTCGGTCGCCGAGAAGCTTGTCCACGTCGGAGCCATCCAAGACTGCATTGTCCAGACGTGCTTCCAACTTGTCATCGTTGAGTTCTGTTGACAAGCGGCAGACACGATTGTCGGATAGCTTGGAAAAGCGAAGCACCCATTGCTGGACGTGTTGACACAGTTTCTGACACGAACCATCAAAGTAGTCCTCATCCCGCTGGATGAGGAAGTCGCTTGAATTGGAGGACTGGATTTGCACTTGCAATGCCCGAATCTGTTCCGAGGCGATGTCAAGTTGTTCTCGTAACCGCAGAATTTCAGCATTCTTGTCAGCAAGAGCAGTGGCGATCTCGGCCTCGAGGATGTCTTTCATGCCGGAGGTGATTCTACCATGCTCCTGTTGCATGTTCTCGAGGTTTCGCGTGGTCGCTTGCCATTGCTCATGTGCTTGAGCATGTTCGGCTTGAAGCGTGGCATATCGACCATTGGTGTCATCAACGAGGTTTTTGTTGGCTTCCGTCAGACCGCTGTTCATCTCGGAGAGACGGGCGATTTCGTCTTGCATCGGCTGCAGCATGGCCTTGATTTGGTTGATTTCAGCATCTTTGGCTTGGAGATCCAATTCGCGCTGTTGCAGTGTTTCCAGCAGATTCTGGTCGTTGACGACATATCGCGAAGAATCTTGCGATTGTCGTGCTTCTTGCAACGCACGATTCTCCGCCACGAGCATATCAAGTCGCGACTCGAGCTCATTAATGTGCATGCTCTGCCGCTTTCGCACGCTTGGCGGTCGCGTCGGCGAGACGTGCGACTCGGCCGCGTCGCCATAGCCCTGCTGCGCATTGTTAGCATCATCAATACCATCACCATCATCACAATGGAGGTGTTGGAGACATACAAAAACATCACTCATATCTCCACCGCGCGAGGCGCTACCCGGCATGCCATTCAGCTCGTCATCGTTGAGCGGTGGTGTCGGCGGCGCCTCGAAGGGGATTGTTGTAGGTGCAGTGCCGCTAACGGAAGACCCCGTTTCGCCCCGCCGGCTGGCGGCCCGCAAGTCACCTGACAAGTTGATGCGTCGCAGGGAAGGCGTGGAGCTCTGGTTGCTGTGATTGCTCTGCATGCTGTTGCGGCTGAAGGAGCGCACTTCTGGAGCCGATCGGCCATGTCCATACGTCCCACTCGTGCCAGATCGGTTGCTCATGCCGCTGGGAGATCGCATGTCGGGCATGATGGCCTTGCGGGGGCCGGATCGATCAATGTTGACCGTGTCATTCTCCTCGTCCACCGCCGGCCAGGACAATCTCTTGATGATGTCGTCGGTCGAGAGCGGATTGCTGGTTCGTCTCAAACCCCTCAAGGACAAACCTTCGGGCACTCCGATCTCTGGCGAAAGGGTGCGATGTCGGTCGCGAATGCTTTGAATGGCTTGAGGTGTTTCGCTCCGCTTCGTGACCTTGAGCTGTCCAGATCCACCAATATCTGTGTCCGCCTTACTTCTCTTGATCGCCTGGCTCTCCTCCGCGATGGGGCGCAATGGTGTCCTCGGACTGAGGGGACCCCCAGCACCGGCTGGCGAAAAAGATGGGCGATCACTACTAGCATCCATTCCCGAGATGGGCCGATTTTGGGAGTTGGCACGCTTGACAGGCTCGCCAAACATGGATCTTGTCTTGAAGAAGTCGGAGCTTTCGGACTTTTGATTGGGTGTCTGTGGATCGTGGGGATGATGTTGAGATGACAATCCCGGTGATGCTGCAAGATTGTCAGGCGGAGACTGGAACAAGTACGACGTTCGGTTCTTACTGGTTGGAAGCAGTGGAGTGTCAGCGGGAGCATCAGAGCTGAGGCCTCTGGTATGGGCCTGCGAGTGCTTGTCATTGCTCGTCTCTGCCCGCTTGTCGGGCGTATTGACACCCCACTCTTCATCCGGCGTGGATCCCGTGGAAATGCGGATTGGCTCGAGCGATCTCCGGTTGCGCAGGCTTTCTCGAGATGAGCTCTCTTGCACGACCGCAGGAACCTCGCGGCTTGATCGCTCCGACTGCTGCGCGGAACGCTTGCCTTCGGTATACCCACTGTCACGGATGGGCTCGCCTTCCTTCTTGTCCAGTCCGGAAAACGACCATCCCGGTTCTGCAGGTGCAGGTGGCTGTGAAGAGATTGACCTTTGCTGGCCTTCACCCGAGACAAGAGCGCTCGCTGCTAGAGCGGCAACGCCAGCAGCGACGATGCCAAGCCCAGACGCAGATCCACCCTCTGCAGCCATGTTTCGTGATTTCGCCTCGTTGTCCGATGCAGCCGCGGACTTTTCAGTGTCCAAAGCACTCTCGGGGTTGTCAGAAGACCCGTCAGTCTTGTTTGTAGCTTTCAGCTTTCTCTGCTTGCGCTTGTTCTTCTTGTAGGCTTTGTATGCATTGTCCATCTCATCCACATCCATCTCACCATCTCCTCCAATCACCAGGGCACTAGCGGGATCTTCCAGAGCACGATTGTTGTCCTCTGTCGCGAGTGCTCCGGCTGCATCACCTGTCGATTCGCTGATGATGTCTTGTGAATCACCTGCCTTTTGAATTCCTGCATCGGGAAGGGAGTCCAAGTCAGGTGCGTCCCTTGGAGCGCTCTCTAGCGTAGGATCCTCTGGGGCAATCGAAGATTTCTTGCCTTTCTTGTCCTTCTTCCGCTTGGTAGTCACAAAAGAGAGGTCGGGCTCATCATCTACGGCGATGTCGCCTGGGTTGTCATTGCTTGAAGCGAGAGCCTTTTCCAGCAAAGCCGGGTCAAACCCTGTTCCTTGAAGGCTTTGGCTGATGGTGTCATTGAAGTCATCCCGAGGTGCTTCGCTGTTTCCCGTGACCGCGACAGAAGGTGTTGGAGCATCGGCTGGTGTACCTCCATCGTCACCGTCCGTCGATTTGTTTTTCTTCGACTTCTTTCGTTTGCTGGTTGTGGTAGAGAATGTTTCTTCGGGATCAGCTTCGGGACTTGCTCCAGGTGGGGAGGCTCTGCGGTGGAAGATCGGGTCGCTGATAACCAAGTCGGGGTTGAATCCAGTATTGGCGAGTCCTGCGGCCAATGTAGCGGCGAAGTCAATGTCCTGCGTGGGGTTTGATTTTGTTGGCAATGCGTTYGTTTCTTCCAAACTGCGCGATTGCTCTGGAGGCAGCTCTACATTGGCAGGCACAATGACTTCCTCAGTTCTCGTATCGCCGTGATCGTGAGCAGCAGGTGCTTCACTGATGGTAGCTKCATCCTCAGCTGATGGMGGAGTCTCCAGGTCATTCGAAGACCCTTCAGCTACTACGGCTTCAGTTTGTGTCCCAGTAGCGGATGATGGCTCGACCTCAGGCTCTGGCGCCGGTGTTGACATTCCGCTTTTCTTTGCCTTCTTCTTGTCCTTTTTGGACTTCTTGGCAGAGGAGAAGCCCTCCCAGGTGTCTCCTTGTTGGTCTTCCGTTGGAGGAATGGGCGCTGAATCGGGAATTTCAGATGATGTCTGTTGGGTCGTGACATCTTCCACACCCGCGACGGGCTTGGAGAGGGTGTCGGGTATGACATCTCCGTCTTGAACAGCCGCCGGCGTGGAAGATCCGCCTTTCTTGTCCTTCTTCTTGTCTTTCTTCGACTTCTTGGTAGGAAGTTCTGCCCACGCCTCTTCTGCCGGCTCTTGTTCTTTTGTTGTCGGTTCGAAATTCTCAGATGGTATCTCTTGCAAATTCTTCTCTGCGACGATCTCGGTAGGCTCGGTTGGAAGATCAGCTGTCTGAATGACTTCCTCATCTTGAATAGCCGCTGGCGTTGAAGAGCCGCTCTTCTTGTCCTTCTTCTTGTCCTTCTTCGACTTTTTTGTAGGAAGGCCTGCCCACTCGTCTTCCACAGCTTCTTGTTGTTCTTGTTCTTGTGTCTTGGGAACTGGGGTCGATTCGACATCCACAAGTGGCATTTCTTCAGCCGCTGCTTCTGTGACGACTTCAAATGGCTCAATGGGAATGTCAGCTATCGGAGCGACCTCTTCATCTGGCACGATCGCGGGCGTTGAAGAGCCACTCTTCTTGTCATTCTTCTTGTTTTTCTTGGACTTTTTGGCCGAGGTGCCTGCCCACTCGTCTTCCAAGGGTTCCGCGTTTGCAGGCAGATTCTCCACGGCAGCATTCTCTGCAGGAACGTTCTCTGCAGGTACTCCTGATTCAGGTGCATCCCTAAGATCATCCGGCACTGATGCGTGAACAGAATCGATGGTCCCGACAGCCTCATCATCTTTGAGTACCGTCGGCGTGKACGAGCCGCCCTTTTTGTCCTTCTTTTTATCCTTCTTGGACTTCTTGGTCGAGAAACTTCCCCACTCTTCCTCGACGGGCTCTACCTTTACCCGTTCGTCTGGCTCGAGTACTTCATCTGCCTGCTTCTCTGATTCAGGAATTGCACCCAAGTCGTCCGGTGCAGTCTCCGAGACGATGGCAGTGGGCTCCACAGATTCTTCTTCATCTCGCGATACCGCCGCCACGGGGGACTCGCTTTGCTTTGCTTTCTTCTTATCCTTTTTTGATTTCTTGGTGGAAAAGGCCGCGAATTCTTCGTCTCCAACTGGCTCCAGGCTCGCAGATGCGACTTCCTGCGCTGGCTCCACCAAAGGCTCGGATATTGGCTCAACAGAAGCTGAGGTGCTGTCAAGATGTTCGACAGCTTCTTCATCTTTCGGCAAAGTCGTAGTGAAGTCCTCGCTCTGTTTACCCTTCTTCTTCTTGTCTTTCTTGGACTTTTTCGTGGAGAAGCTTGCGAACTCATCCTCCTCAACCGGCCCCGTGCTCACAGGTGTAGATTCTTGCGCTGGCTCGACCACAGGCTGAGATTCTGGTTCGACTGCGGCTACAGTGTCTCCAGATGGCTCGACTGAAGCTAGAGCCGTATCAACGGGCTCGACAGCTTCGTCTTCTTTCGGCAAAGTTGTGGTGAGGTCTTCGCTCTGCTTGGCTTTCTTCTTGTCCTTTTTTGACTTTTTGGTCGAGAAGCTCGCGAATTCATTCTCTTCAACTGGCTCTGAGATTGCGGGTGGATCGCCTTGCGCTGGCTCGATCAAAGTCTCAGTCTCGGGCGCGATTGCCCTTCCAGTGCTTTCAGAGGGCTCGAAAGAGGCTGAAGATGTGTCAACATTTTCACGAACCTCATCCTCTTGAGTGGCGGTCGGAGTTGAAGACCCTTTGCTCTTGGCCTTCTTCTTGTCCTTCTTCGATTTCTTAGTGGAGAAGCTTCCCCATTCTTCCTCGGGCTCAGCTTTGGTCTCAATCTCTGGCTCGAGTGCCACGCCAGTGTTGTCAGATGGGGGCTCAACCGAGACTTGAACCGTATCGACATTCTCACCAGCCTCGTCTGCTGTTGCTGACGGAGTGGACGCACCATCCCTCTTGGCCTTTTTCTTGTCTTTCTTCGATTGCTTGGTCGAGAAACTTCCCGACTCCTCCTCGGGCTCTGCAGGTGTGGAAGCATCAGCGGCGATCGCACCGGCAGCCAAAGTAGCGAGCGCACCAGCAGCCAAATCAAGATCCAGTGACTGGTCTTGACTGCTCTCTTTCGGTTCAGATGATGCTTGTTCGTTCTCGGCATTTTCTGGAGTTGCAGTCCCCGTAGTCTCAGCCCAAGGGTCCTGGGTAGACGATCGATTCTTCTTACCCTTCTTCTTGTCTTTCTTTGAGGCTTTCGCAGCGAAAGAATCGGCTTCTGTAGGCTGCTCGATGTCGACGATTTCTGTTTCAGGAGTTGCTTCGGCCACATGAATATCTTGCGGAGATTGCGTGGTCGGCATATCAGCCTCGGGCTCAGCAACAGTAGCTGCCTCGACGTTCAACTGAGCCTGTTCGAGAGTATCGCGCTGAGAACCGCCCTGGGCTTCTTCACCTGCATCGACCAAGGCACTCGGCTCAGACAATGCTTTATCTGCAAGAGACTCCTCGGTGGCTTGAGCAAGTTCGGCTTGAACTATCTCCTGCGCGGGCTCTTCGGTATCCCAGGATTGCTTGTTCTTCTTTCCCTTCTTCGCCTTCTTGCCCTTGGCTGGCGGAGCCCATGAGTCGTCTTCCACTGCAGCAGGAGGTTCCCGCGGCTCTATTGCCATAGATTCAGGAGGGCCCTCGAAAGTCCCATCTTGGTTGGTTTCGGTATCTTGGGTTTCTGCAGGCTTTGTGATTTCGCTGTCCTCGAGCACAGCTTGCTTTCCTTTCTTGCCCTTTTTGCCCTTTTTGCCTTTGGCAGGAGAAGCCCAGTCGTCGAGATTGTCAGTCTCGGCAGGCTGAGGAGATTCTGAAGGTAGCACAGAGGATTCGACAATGTTATCGGAACCACCTTCGTCCGTCTTTTGCTCGGTCTCTACAGTAGACGAAGAAGTAGCATTGTTGTTGGCTGCTGTCTCTGCTTCATCTTCGGGCTTACTCATTGGAGGCGCGGTTCCAGCTAGCTCATCTGACGGCGAAGGTTCTTGCTCGGTATTTTCTGGCAACACCAAGTCCTCTACCGGCATCTGTTGCGCTGCCGCATCCTTGTTGACATCTCCGGAAACATCTTCCTCTCGCGCGGCCGGCATTTGGTCGATGGCGGTGCGAGAGGCCTCCTCCGCGGGCTGATCAGATGTTGACATTGCATCAGCCTGCACCTGCACCTCGCCTGGTGCAAATTCAATTGCGGGTGTGACACTTCCGGAAATGGATTTCTTGCCCTTTTTGCCCTTTTTCTTGCTCGACGGCATGGCCCACTCGATGTCTTCCTCCACCGGATCCGCAGCAGTGGCATTCGGAACAGATTCGAATTCCGTGGAAGCCGGAGCAGAGACTTCATCTTGTGCTGGAGTGATCGCATCCAATGACGCACTTTTCTCGGCTTCATTCACTTCGGCAGGGGGATCAACCAATGTCGAGCTCCGGTCCTTTTTGCTCTTCTTGTTCTTCTTCTTCGAGCTGGACGCCCATGAAKCATCCACGGGGTCCTCGACTGGATCAACCTGTGCTTCAAAGGGCGTTTCGATCGTAKACGCCTCTTCAAAGACTGGGGCAGACTCTACAGTGGCATCCTTGGACGCATCGACATTGAGTTCATCAGATATGCCCTCTACTGGCACGGGTAAATCCTCGGCAACGGATTGATTTCTCTTGCTCTTCTTGCCTTTCTTCTTGGAACCGGAGTTCCACGCGGATTCTTCCTGTGTATCAGCCGCTGGCGGAACAGACTCTTCGACAGCGGGGCTAGRCTCGGCGATGACATCTTCGTTGCGGACTGGTGGAGTGGTGGACTCGCTTGTTGTTTGAGGTTCTTCCGGCACAGGAGCTGCGTCGATAACCGAGTTTTTCTTGCCCTTCTTGCCTTTCTTCTTCTTCGAACTAGAAGCCCACTCGAATTCGTCCTGCGGTTCGACGGCTGGGGCATCGGACTGTTCGACAGCGTGCTCGAGATCATGAATAGGCTCGGCAGCTGGTACCTCAGACTGCCCAACATCAAGAATGGGGTCAGAAGGTGGTACATCAGACTGATGAGCATCAAGAACAGGCTCGGCAGCTTGTGTATTGACAGGCTCGACATCAAGAACAGGCTCGGCAGCTTGTGTATTAGCAGGCTCGACATCGACAACAAGCTCGGCGGGTGGGACACCGGACTCCTCAACAGCAATTACGGGCTCGGTAGTCAGCTCTTCGCCAGGAGCGAGCGAAACCTGAGCATCATCACTTGGCTCGGCATCGATCTGCGCAAGCGCCACTTCGGTGAAGGACTGGTTCTTCTTGTTCTTCTTGCCCTTTTTCTTTGAAGTGGGGGCCCATTCGTAATCTTGCGGCTCTGCTACGGGTGGAGCTGGCTGGGTTTCCGCTGAGCTGAGATCAATGTCACGAGAGATGGAGCTCTCGGGCTGGGCGCTGGGGTCAACTTCCAGAGCTGTGGGAAGTTCGCTTTCTCTGGCAGCAGACTGCTCGTCACCCGCACTCGTGTCCAGAAGAACTGGTGCATCCGAAACGGATTTCTTGCCCTTTTTATTTTTCTTGCTCTTCTTGGTGCTCGATGCCCACTCGTCTTCGTTTTGCGGGGTCTCCGCGGCCTGAGCACTGGTTTCGGCGACGGCATCAATTTCTTGCGCCAGAGCTTGATCATCAGGCTTCGTCTCCTCAGCTACTGGACTGGACTCCTCCACAGTGGTGGGTAGTTCTCCAGACGTGGATTTCTTGCCTTTCTTGTTCTTCTTGGCTTTTTTGCTGCTTGTCGCCCACTCATCTTCCTCCGGCTGAGGAGCGTCATCGCCAAAATCTTGCCCGGTGGCGGCTTTGGGCTCATCTGCCACAGGCTGTTCACTGACCGGTGACTCTTCCGGCGCTGGCGTAGCCTCTTGCGCCGCAGGAATAGACTCCTCCACCGTGGTAAGCACTTCTTCAGAAATTGAGTTCTTTCCTTTCTTGCCACTCAATGCCAAATCGACTTCCTCTTGCGGAGCTTCTACTGGCTGAGGACTGACATTGCCGATATCTTGACTGGTAGCGGCACCGACCTCGTCTGCCACGGACTTCTCATCGGTTATGGACGCTTCAGGCGCTGGCATTGACTCTTCAAGCGCAGTCGACCCTTCAGAGATGGACTTCTTGCCTTTCTTATTATTCTTGCTCTTCTTGCTGCTTGCGGCCCACGCATCGTCCTCCGGGGGAGCTTCTACTGCCTGAGGAGCAGTATCATCGAGGACCTGGGTGGCGATGGGATCGATCTCTTGTGCCGAGGGCTGCTCAACGGCCCCTGGCTCTTCCGCCGCTGGCGTGGCCGGCTCCTCCACAATGGGAGGGTTCTCAGAGATAGACTTCCGGTCCTTCTTGCCCTTCTTGCCCTTCTTCTTGCTGCTCGACGCCCACAAATCTTCGTCCTTTGGCTCCTCAGTCGCTATTGGGTTGTCAACAGAGTCCGACTCCAGCGAAGGCAAAGGCTCGGCTGGTTTGGTTATCTCCTCGCTGTTTGGAAAATCCTCCACCGCGGGTGATTCTACAGGCAAAGTCTGTTCATCTGCGGCTGGCACAAGTGGTGTAGCCGAAGAAATTGATTTGCGGCCTTTCTTGCTGCCCTTCTTGATGGAAGACTTTCTACCAGTCAGCATCGAGGCGTAAGCTTCATCCTTTGGTCGCTCGCGCAACGACTCCGCAATTCTTGCAGATTCAGCAGCCTCGCGGGCTGCTCGCCGCTCTTCTCTCTCCAAGGCGCGGGAGTCGAGCTCGCCAAATGCGTCAAGATCTTCAGTCATCCGCGATGGCTCTTCCATAACGGGATCTGATGGCCCGAAGAAGTCGTCAGTCTCAGGCACAGTGTTGTCGTCAAAGTTGTCCTGCGGGAGACTTGGTTCTTCTGCTCTGATTTCGTCTTCGTTGGCTGGCTGCAGATCAAGAGCGGCTTCCGATTGAGCTTCTGCGACCGGAATATCAGGCGCATTGGTCGCAACAACGTCTGCATTTTCAGGAGTCGCAGCTTCGACAAGAGGTTCCTCGGCGTTCGGCGGTGGTGGAGCGTTCTCAACACCATCACCGACATCGAGCGGCGGCGCATCGTTCGCATCTTCCGTGTTGACAGCCTCCTCGGCTTTGGCATCGCCTTCCCATGATAAGCTCTGCCGCGCCTTTTTCTTGTCCTTTTTACTTTGCTTGCGGGCCRGCGGTGGAGCAGACTCTGGTTCAAGGCTTGGTTCCTCAGGAACATTTCCCTCCTGCGCAGGCTCCAGGGTCTCGCGGACAACAAACGCTTCTCCCGTATGATCTGCTGAAGGCTCGTCGACAGGTGCGGACGTTGCTTTTTCTGGCTCTGGTGCCGGCTCAGGTTCCCATGCCTGTGACTTTCGGTTCTTCTTCTTGTCCTTCTTGCTCTGTTTCGTGGAGATAGAGGAAGTGGGCTCGTCAGTCACTGTGACTTCTTCGACAGTTTCGCGCGGAGCTGACACGATGTTCTCCTTCGACTCAACGACCGATGCTGCAAGCTTGTTGTCTTCCGGTTGGGGATCATCTGAAGGATGCTGTTGAATAGGGAGAGGGGCAGATTCCTCCGCGACCGACTTACTATCCTCGATATGGGGAGTGCTCGCAGGTTGCTCTTCAACAGGGAGAGAGGCCGGCTCCTTGGCGTCTACGAACTCGTCCTGTTGTTCTGGTGCGGACGGTGCCTCAGCCTCAGGTTCCGTCCAGTCAAGACTCTTTTTGCCCTTTTTGCTCTTCTTGCTCTTCTTGGAAGACACTGGAGCAAAGTCGTTCGATACCGGCTCGGGAGTGGACTCGTCGGATTTTGCCAGCTCTACAACTGCGGCAGCCGCAGCAGCAGCACCAGCCGCTACGATAACTCCTTTCGCTAGGTCTGTCTTTGGGGTTGCCTGCTCTTCCTCAGGTTTCAGCTCTGATGGCCCATGGTGCTCTTCAGCATCCACGAAAGCGGCACCGCTGTCCCCTTCCAGTGGAGCAGCCTCTGGCACGGTATCGGACCAAGCCGAAGATTGTCTGTTTATCTTACCCTTCTTGTCTTTCTTCGATGCAGCCTGGAATGGCACATCTGTCGGCTCGGATATGGGCTGTGAGCTGTGGCCAGGATCTTGAGCGACTGCCCGGTCTGTTTCGCCTTCGACAACCTCACTGCGAGGTTCCGGCAGTGCGACGGGTTCCTCCGGGGTTTCGAGCTCGTCCCAGGCAGCGGATTTCTTCTTCTTCTTGTCTTTCTTTGACTTCTTGGAAGAAAAAGCGGATTCGGGCTCTTGAACTACTGATGGTGCGTCGTCTCCTACCACTTCGAGCATGGGCTCTAATGACTCTTGAGTTGCAACCTCCGTCTGCTCGGGCAGAAGAGTGGGTTCCTCCTTTGCATCGGATTCTTCCCATACGGATGATTGCCTCTTCTTGTCCTTCTTGGACTTCTTGGAAGACGAGATCGAAGGTTCAGCATCCTCTGGAGTCAACACTAGCACCGTCTCAGGCTCAACCTCACGCGAGAGATCTTGGTCATTCGACTCCGCTGCATTTTCGTGCTCGTCCCAGGCCAACAGATTCTTCTTCTTCTTATCTTTCTTGGACTTCTTGGACGTTGGCAGAGAAGCTTCTTCAACAGTAGCTTCTCCAACGACAGGAACCGGCTCCTCCGCAGTCTCCGGCTTGGATTCAGGGCGATCCGCAAACTCAATGACCTCAGTCTTGATTGGCTCCGAGGACGAGAGCTCCTTCTGTTTCTTGCCCTTCTTGTCTTTCTTGCCCGGCTTCTTGTTTGAAACAGAAGCGAACTCATCGTTCTCGTCGACTTGGTTCGTACTGGGACCAACCGGCGCATCACCATCGACCACTGTACGCACTTCATCGGCAGTCGAATCGCGAGAGAATGGATCAGACCGGGCCGTAGCCTGAGGCTTCTTGGCCTGAGCGTCCATTACGGATCGAAAGGCGTCGGCTTGCGAGTCGTGCCACCCAGCTGCTGACCCCTGGACGATACTGCTGAAATCAGACACGCCAAAATTGATCTGTGGTGTCGGTGCCTCATCCGTGGGTTGATCCTGTGCATGGTCGGCATCTGCGGACTTCTCAACAGACGTAGCATCACCAGAAGTCGATGGCACCGGTACTGGCTCATGCTCGAACAAAGATACCGACTGCGACTTCTTTTTCGACTTCTTCGATTGCTTGCGTGTCAACTGCGGAGCGTCTTTGATTTCAGAACTGACAGAGGGAGAGTCATCTGTTCCTGCCGTGACAACTCGCTCTTCAACAACAAGCGGCGCTGGATCGGCCTTGGCTGTGGGAATCTTGTATGAGGTTGACGGACGGTCATCTTCGTGCTCGAGGGTACTCGTGGCGATTTCAGCCGGATCGGATGGTGCAGACCGGTMCAGGCTCCGAACACCTTCACCGCTAGTTTGGCTATCTTTCGGATCATCGCTTTTCAGGGCCTCCGAGGGTGAATGCGTCAAGACTTCTGTCTGCTCTTGCGAAGTTATGCCAACGTTGTAAACTGGCATGGTATGAGCAGCGGCAGATGCAAACACTGTCGCCAGGTCCGGCTGCTGAGAAATAGCAACAGGATCGATCGAGGCGGCGTTGTCTGGACCTGGTGTCTGGCTGGTAGGTCCAGCTTCTTCCTCATCCTGCCATTGAAGTTTCTTGCTCTTCTTGCCCTTCTTCTTCATGGAGCTTTYCCGGATCAATGGCGCCTCAAGTTTGCTGTCAGCAGCTGGGATGGCAGCGGATGGGTCCTGGGCGATCACTTCTCGTTCATCCTTCCGCCCACCATCAACGACACGATCGGGTGACTGTCTCCTGAKCTGGTTCACAGCATACACAGCAGCTGTTCCAAGTACAGCAGCGGCTGCGGCGACTTTGATACCATCGCGAACATCATGCTGATCAGACTTGAGTGGTGATTCAGATCGACTGCGAGGAAGTGGCGGAAGATCATCATCAACTTCGCGTGTGCGTTCCTCCCTCGCAAAGTCCTCCCAAGTATAGAATTGCGGCTCCTGTTTGATTTGTCGCTCCGCTCCAGCAGGGAAGAAAGGTTGCTGCTGCGACTCACTGGCTTTGGGCGTTGTCTCTTTGGAGCCCAAGACATCGCCATGCTCCTCTATCCACTGCTGTGCACCTTGGATGTCAAGTTGCAGCTTCTGTTTTCCCTCCACATCCGAAGATTCAAGTTCTTCCACCGCGGATTCGTAGGCATCGCTCAATTGAACACTGGACGCACGACTGGACGGTCCGCTCGATGGAAGACTTGGAAGCGCATCTTCAATTTCTGGAGTCTTGCGATTCCGCTCCACCAGATAAAGTGGTTTGATCTCCGTGGATCCCGGACGATTGTGTCGAGACTTTCGCAATGACACTGGCGAGCTGGGTGCCGAACCAGTCGAAGGAGCAGCTGGCGAGCTGAAGCTTACTGATCGTTCCTTCATCTGACCAACGGTAGGGGTAGGTGGGGCATGCCCAGGAAACCTCAGTGGCACGGCAGTGGAAGAAGCTKCTCTATGCGACGACCCAGGCCTCGGGACAAGGGTCTCTGTAGAAGAAGAAAAGGGCGTCTCCAGCGACAGAATCTTCTGTTCGCCTTGGATACCGACAGTTTTCACCGTCCCAGCATCTCGTCCAGTCTGAGCAAGGTTGCCGATTCCCTGCTCGCTCTTTGCAATAGCGACTGGACTAGACGTGGCTGGAACATTAACGGGTAGAGGCGGCATATCCTCTACCCGCATCCCTAAAAAAGACTGGTCTTTGGTGTCTTCGTCAGTCTTTCTTCGGTGGTGATGGGGACGATGCCCACTCTCGCTCCTGTTTTCATGGCGAGAACTGCTCCGGCTTGTTTCACCAGACTTCCTGCGGTGATGGTGCTTCTTTCCGCTGTCACTCACGTCTCGGTCGAGATCGCTGTCGTGTGTACTGCGCCGGCGATGTTCCCTGCTGTCTTCTATACCAGTCCCTGAGCGGCGAGATTTGTGGCTAGACTTCACGCTGCGGGTGTCATCATCATCGTCGTCGCCTCCATAATCGGATCTGGAGCGATGGCTTCTGTGTCGGGACTCAGACTTGACACTACGGGTGTCGTCATCTTCATCACCGGTGTACGACTCTCTATTCTTCTTCTTCCGCCGACGTCGAGCATCCTCATCTTCGTCATCCTTGCTGGGGCGAGGAGGATCTCGACTGCTCTCAGTCTTGCGTCCAAACAGGGAACCGAGGATTCCACTCTTCTTGTCTTTCTTCACCGAAGGTGATTCCTCCTYATCGCGCCTCGATCGRGTGGACATGACAGATCTGGTATCGTCATCATCATCTCTTCGGGACCGTCTCGGCTCCTCGTCCTCATGCCGGGATCGACGCTTGGACTTCTTTGAGCTGCCGTACACATCGACTGGTTCCGAAGCTGCCACTGATTGCGTCTCGTATGCATACGAAGGCTCGTCGAAATAATCGCTCCCTCTGCGAGCCTCATCGCGTCGTGAGGTCGTTGGTGCAGACTTTACGGAGCGAGAGTCATCTGGCGATGTGCGGCGCGGGCTTCCGTGAGATGATGTACCGAAGTAGTCACTGCCACGACGACCTGACGTGATGGGTGTTGTTTCGCTCGGAGTACGATCGGAGCGAGAGCTCTCGTCCTTGCCATGGCCATTCGTGTAGGACGTCACCTCAGCAGCGTCGCGAGTGTCTGTGGTTGGTTTGTCTCCACCAACATAGTCGTCCCAAGCAACTTCACTCCGCWATGGCGAGCTGACTTCTGGTAGGTTGAAAGCTGCACTGTTGCGTTTGCTCTTCTTCTTGCTCTTCTTGGGCTCCGCGAATTCGGACCAAGGATCAGGTTCGTGTGCGGGAGGCGGTTCTGGTGCAGCTGGTGGAGTACTGACACCGTCATCAATTTGGTACTGGAAAGGGTCAAAAGCCGTTTCGGTGCCAGGCTTTTCGTCTCTCAGCGTGGGAGACTCCTGATCGGCGTCCCATCCACCGGGCATCGAAGGAGGTGCAGTTGGTGGCGACTCTGGCTCAAACTCTCGATCTAGTGGCTCGCCCAACTTGGCCTTCTTCCCCTTTTTACCCTTCTTCTTGCCAGATGAGCTGGATCCATCCACGTCTTCGACAGTGTCGAGAGCAGCGGCCGCCGCAGCGATGCCTCCAGCCGCAAGGACAGTATCGGCTATATCGGCAAATCCGCCGAAGCCGGACTTCTTCTCTTCCTTGTCCTTTTTCTTCTGCTCTTTCTTGGTCAAAGCAGGCTCCTCCACAGTCACCGGGGATGCTTCGCGAGTTGTAGTCTCTGCGGGCTGGGATTCTTTGGTATCACGTGGCAAACTGTCAATCGAGCTGACTACATCTGCAAAACCTTGCTTCTTGGCCTTGTCACGCTTCTTCTGCTCCTTCTTCGAAAGCGGTGGCTCCCATGCAGGCTCTTCGTCTGCGGGGATCGTGGTAGGAGACTCTGTCAGCACGATAGGGTCGATGACGGCCTCGGGTTCCGTTACGACAGGAGTGGAAGGCTCGCTGTCGATAGTGCTCGATCGCTTTGCGGCCTTGTCACGTTTCTTCTGTTCCTTCTTCGAAAGGGGTGGCTCCCAGGCCGAGGGCTGCTCGACTACTGGCTCTGGCTCGGCGTCTTTGCTGGCCTTGTCGCGCTTCTTCTTGTCCTTCTTCGAAAGCGGCGCTTCCCATGCTGGCTCCTCAATAGCCTTGGTCTCTTGGGACGCACCAGCTGACGTAGCCTCTTCCTCATCATCAAAGCCACCCGGAATACGTCGTGTCTTCTCCTCGGCTTGCTTGGTCTTGTCGGGCTTGCCTTCTATATACCCACGAATGGGCGTTGCGCCCTTACTTCCCGGCGAGGGAAGCTGGATGCTGAAGTCAGACACTGAATCGACAAAAGGCTGGCGGTATAAAGGTGCCTGCGGTCCAGCATGCTTCGATGACTCGCGGTAGTGCTTTGCGAGCTCATCTTCGCTGTAAGTCGTCGTCTTCGGTTGGCCGCCTGTTGATGCTTCCTCGACCACAATTCCTCGGAACTTCTCGCCCGAAGACACATCGTCGCGAGCGGGAGATCTCGTATCTGGGCTGGTAATGTACGAGTCTCGCTCTTTTTCATTGTAGCTCTCCGGCGTCTGCACATCGTAGACGTGCGTCTTGTCTTCGCCCCAGGAAATACTCCTGTTGAGTCGCTCCGACTTCGTTTCACTGTCAGTCTCTACATCTGGAATTCCATCCTCTACGGACTTTGAGGACTTCGCCAGCGGAGAGGATGGCGAGGACGTGACAGAGCTCTTCGTCCGCACTGGACTTGTTTCTGTGATGGGCGGTGTGGGGGAAATGAGATTGAGCTTAGGAACCCCGTATGGCTGGGAACTTCTGCTTCCACCATAACGGACACTATCCAGGTGGGCGAGCATGTCTGCGTCTCGTGCGTGGTAGACCTGAATATCGTTGTCTGCATTTGGTCCCAGCACTTTCGTCTTGCCATCCGCGGGTTCAGACAAAACGTCTTTGGGCGCGAAGAACTCTGCGTACGTGCTGTGGTCTTCGTACGCACGTTTGCGATCCGAGATGACACCCTCAGCAGAGACGACCTTATCGGCCGCCTTGCGAGCCAGCTCTTCGTAACGTTCTCGCGAGGCTGGGCTGTGTTTGCGCTTGAAGAAGTCTGGATCGAAGATGTCGTCGTCCATGAGAGGTTCGCCAACGTCCCGGGAGGAGTGCGGAGTGACTTCCTTGGCTTCGTATGATTCGTCTTGTCGTCGCGAAGTTGACTTGGGCTCTTTGCGGTCCCGGGTCTCTCGACTGGCAATCACAGCACCGACAGTAGCCGCAGCGGCAGCGCCTGCAACAGGTCCCCAAGCAGCTGCCTGCTTCTTCTCGCTCTGTTCCGACAAAGATTGACCCCTGGCACGTCCAGACTTTGACGTCTTTCGATTGCTGTCCTTTCGCTCCTTGGCACGACGCTCGCTCTCCTGCTGCYCTCGAAGGAATCTCTCTCTTTCAYCTGCCTCTCTGCGCTCCTCCTGTTGTCGCGCCTGCTCGACCAGTCTGATTTGCTCGCGCCGATAAGTCTCTTCCCTCTCCCTCAATGAACGCTGGCGCTCCTTGTCGATTTCGGCCTGCTCTTCAGCCTCCCTCCTCGCCGCGGCCAGTTTCGCCTCGGCGGCTCTGCGATTTTCATCTTCACGAGCACGGCGAATGTCTTCCTGCCGCCGCTCTCGCGCCTCGGCCTCGGCTTTGCGTGTTTCACTCTCTCTGGTCGCACGCTCGGCTTCTTCTTTCAGAGCGCGAGTACGATCCGCCCGACGACGGTCCTCGTCGGCTTGCTTCTCCTCTCTTCGGCGTTCGCGATCTTCTTTGCGCTGCTGATCCTCTGTCAAGCCGAAGCGGACGTTGGATCCTGCCGAGTCTCTGGATTTTCTGCTAAAGGAGTTATTGGAAGATGTAGCGGCGATGATGCCTGCAGTGGCAAGTGCTCCGGCACCAATGAGCGCCGCATCCTGGGCAAAGCTATTCGAGCCCATATTTCGTGCCCAGTTGGAATCCTCATCCTGGGTGAATGCCGGCTTGATAGGGGTCGTGGGCTGAGGTTGTTGTAGAGGGGCTGGACCTGGTCGATAAATTGGCGGCGAATTTGTATCGAATGCCCCTGGCATTGAAGCGTGCCGTGGGTCAGTATCGAAAATCGGTTGCGGATCGACGACCTGCAAGGGTTGAGTGTGGCCACTCTGAGAGGAGGCTGAAGCCATGCTGGGAAGTTTTCGCCCAGTGTCGTCAATGTAGATGGGCTGTCCGGACGAGTACGGCTTGCTGGTATCCGGGACGTACCCACTTGGGGCGACGAAGGAGTCTGCGACACTCGTCGCATACGATGGGCGGGGAGAGGTGGAGTTCCTGGATCGTCTCTTCTTATCTTTACCGCCCCAACGCCATCCCCAGGCTCCGAGACCACCTGCGGAGGACTGCGAGTTGATACTCTCCAAGCTCTGGCGGCCGGAAACCCGTCTGCTGCCATAGTCACCAAATGCAAGTCCTCCATCGACGCTGGAATGTCCGTCGGCATCGGAGGGCAGCTCGTCTTCCCACTCTTCCTCTGAAGATATTGGCGAGCCGTGATTTTGGGTACGGCCACGCTTGTTGACATCTTTCCGTGCACCCAGCTCCACCTTGCTGGTACGCTTTTTGATACGTCCGCCTTTCTGCGCAGCGGAGAGAGCAGCGGCGGTTGCACCAATCCCAGCCACAGTTGCAGCAAAATGGTCATCCGATGTTCTCCGAGAGCGCTTTGTCGAGGATCGTCCGGAAGACTTTCGGCGTAATGGCAAGCTTGTCTTGCTGGAAAATGCCTCGCCGAATGCTAGTTCGGAGTTGGAGGACGAGGCAGAGCTGTTGCTGAATGTGAAGAATGCCGTCTTCTTCTTGTGGTCCTCCTTTCTGGGATTTTCATGCTTCCTCGGGGGCGAGAAGAAGCTAAAAATGCCCCCTGATTCGGGAGACTCCTCTCGACCATAGGATGTCCTGGGTGAGCGACGTTCTCTCCGTTTGCCCTTTGAATCTCGAGATCGACTTCTGGAACGATGTCGCATACCTGCAGATGCCGCTCCAGCGCCTAAAGCAGCACCGGCAGCCGCACCGAAGAAAGCACTTGATCTGCCCTCTCTAGAAGAAGATCTCGACTTTTTCTGTACTCTCCTACGCTCCACGGTTCCATCCTTCCGCCTGACCGTGACGAATTCTTCTCGATCGCTCGGCCTCACAACACCGTGAGTCGATTTGCGTCTCTGTTCGCGGGACGAACTTCGACTGCGCCTTCGAGCAGCAGATCTTTCACGATGTCCGGATTTGACACTATAAGTATCGTCAAAATCTTTCCGACCATCATTGARGATCGCATTGGCAACGCCGGCAACTCCAGCAGCTGCGAGACCAGCGCCCAAGATTCCAGTTGATTTCCCACTCTCGCGTCGTTTTCGGCTGCTTTCTGAGGCGTAATAACGGCTGTCCTTGTCAACACGCACACTTCCCGCGCGGCGGAGGGAGTCATTGCTGCCCTTGCGACCCAATCTTTCATTCGACCTGCGCCTGCGAAGTTCTTCAAACGAGTCACGTCGGGTATTTTTGTGATAGTGATGCTGTCGGGGTGCGTCCCAGGGGGAAGTTCGAGGATCGAAACAGTGCTTGCAAACACCAATGTATTCAGTATACATCTCCATTTTGGCAGTATCTTCAGGGGTGGAGATGAGGTTGAGTAGCCCATCTTTCAGACGAGTCATTGGTCCTTTGTGTTCGTGGCCGTAGTGAAGTTGATGCATGCCTGTCCCACCACCACCACTCGAGGKATAGTGGCTGAAGCCTCCCATTCCGGGTCGTGGCGGAGGTCCCTGTCCACCACCACCACCATATCCACCAGATGAAGTCGTGTTGTGGCTGATGTGTTCGTGTTGCTGATTGACGCCATAAGCTGCAAGCCCGGCGGCGGCGGCGCCAGCTGCATAGAGAGGAATGTTAGAATTCGTATTAGTAGATTGCTTACCTGGGGTTGAGTGTGCTGTTCCATGGCCGTTAGTATAGTAAGTTGAGCTCGATCCCGCGCCGTTCGTTGACTGCGCTCCGTAGGTGTTGACAGAACCTTGCGCAGTAGTGGAGCCTGGTACCCCATATGTGTAGGAGGGAGGCTGAGATTGTGATTGTGGTGGAGGGCCGTAGTACACATTGCCATCCGAGTCGTGTCGATTCGGCTTGGACGAGTACGATGACTGCTGCTGGGATGAAGAATGGGCGTGTGAAGAGCCGCTCAATGCAGCGATCCCCGCAGCGGCGGTCATTGCGCCAACGGCTGCACTCGATGATGAAGTTGATGTTTTGGCTGGCTTTCCCACCTTTCCTGGCTTTGATGTCTTGGCCGGCTTGAAGGCACTCCATGATGACTGCTTGGTCGGCTTAGGCTTGGGCTTCGAGGCCGGGGTAACTGGGGCAGACGCACTTGCTCCCGCGCCGTGAAAGCMCCCAGGAACATTGACAGACACATCTCCCGAGTAGAAATCGTTTGCAGTTCCGTTTCCCGTGTCCATGGCGGGGATCGGCTGGGCACTCGCAGCAACCAGATGTTGATCCGGATTGACAAGCATGTTGGGGCTGCTAATTCTCACGCCGGGTTGATGCTGCACTGATTGACCAGCGTCCAAGTAGTAATCTGCTGCTGCGCCCCAGCCGTGGCTTGAATGCTCCAAGGGGGGTCTGTTGGAGTCTGCGTATTGGTCATGATATGGCTCCTGGCCTGGAAATTGGCCTTGTTGTGGGGCAGGACTGGGCAAAGCGCCCGACATCATGGCGTCTTGCGATGGCAGAGGACCCATATGCCCATCAGCATATTGCCCTGGAAACTGTGCAAAACTACCCATTTCCGGCAGAGCGCGAGAGCCCTCACGCCGACCCTCTCGCTCTGGCGATTCCACCAACTCCGGACGTCGCTTGGATTTTTGCTCCCTCTCGCTTTGACTGTCCCTCGCCTTTTCTTTTTCCTTCTCCCTTCCAGAAGACTTGCTAGTAGGTGCAGTGGACTTGCTTGACGTCTTCTTGCGCTCCCTCTCGCGCGAGTGACTCCGAGATCGTCCTTTCGCCCGGTCCTTTTCGCCTTCACGTTCTCGCTCCTTCTCCTTTTCTTTCTCCTTCTCGCGCTCCTTTCCTCCACTCTTACGCCTCCTCTCTCCCTCACTCCGCCGGCTCTTCCTCTCGCTGCGCGCATCCCGATCTTCATCCTCCCATTGCTCCTCATCATCGGGCAACATGCGGAGTGCGCTGGCAGTGAGAGGCGCCGCAGAGCTGGTTTGAATTGGGGATGATCCATAGCCCACCATACCTGAAGATGGCACTCCATAGACACTCTCCTCGCCCCCATCGTCGTAGACACTGCTCATCCGCGAACTCCTCCGCCTGTCATCATCGTCTCGCGTGCGGGAGCTGGTCACACTCTCTGCGCGGTGACTCTTCTTGCGTCTACTTGGCTCACTTGATCTTCCTGTTGAGCTTCCACCGCCCTCACTGCGGCCTGAGAAGGCCGCTTTCCACATTGCGTGAGAGTAGAGTGATGCGCCGGGGTTTTTTATAGTGGGTTCCGCTGATGCCGTGGTATAGTTCTGGCTATTGCGATTGTAACTCGTGGCAAATCCACCTCGTCTCGATCCGTTCCCTTGTAGTGTTACACTCGTCTCGTATGCGCGTCGTCTCGTGGCGTCTCTTCGTGAAATGGCGGTCGGGGGCGTCAACAGTTCTACAAGATGGACGTAGGTAGGGTATTACAGTCGCTACGGGCAATCGCGATCAATGCAAGCACAATCAATGCTTGGTCAAACGGTGCGCGTAAATCATCCTCTGGCCAAGATGTCCAGCGTAAAGAGTGTAGCAAGAGCGGCGTGTTCGCATGCCATTCGCTCGCTCTGGATTGTTCATGCATGTTTATGCAGCTTGGGATTTAGCTTTGCGATAGTTCAGCCCAAGGGCGCTTGCCGAGGTGGCTGGCCAACGAGCAGGGATCGGAGCTCCCTTCAGCTGCTGGGAGCATGCATCATCAATCGCGACCATCGTTGCCACATGGCACATGTCAAGATGGTATGAGACATTCCGAAGCCGGGGAATGTTGGTCTTCACCCTTCCAGCTTGGATCAGGAAGTGCCTTACCTCAACGACTGTTCGCCGGTTGAACCTCGTCAACGGATATGCAGCCCAACTTGCCCCCGCGGAAAGGCAGCCTCTGATCCTTGTCCGTGCAACCCATGTTGCGATTATCGATACCAAGAATGGCGGATGGAGAACGAACAATACCAGGTATTGCATGATACATGTCATTGTAACGAGAAGACATCTGTTCAATATCGATACTACATGTAGGTTCTGTTTGAAAGCACTCTAGGAACATCGTCAATAACATCTCCATATATATCTATCATGCTCCTCTACTTGCCAACAACAAGCCGATTATTGAGGATGCCTCCAGAGTCCTTGTGATGTACCTCCAACCGTCTAGTCAGAGAATTCTACATCCGCAAGAAGATCATACAAGGCAGCGATGCAATGTATGTACAATCTGTGCCTTGCCTGCGTCTCACCGATGGTGTCCTCGTCCCTCCRGGTGCGATCGTCAAATACATGCCGAACTAGCGTGCTGTTTCCCCTGTCCCCGGATTCACTCCATCTGTTCTTCGACAATACACGCTCTGTCGCCGAGCATGGCACATGTGTGATGAATTCGGTCGAGGGTTGGCCGTTCTCTCAGTCCTCCAGTTTCACACCCATGCCTCTTCGCCAGGAAACAGGGCGCATGAAGTATCCATTTCTTGGAGGTGATTATCACGCATTTCGTTTGAGATGCCCATCATTTTACGCTCGCTTTGACATGGTATCACGACCTGTTCGTAACATGTCCATCACGCRTCCACTCCGTGTATCGAGGCCAAATGCGACATCAGGCGTCTGCTTTGAGCCCATCGAGGGTGATTCCAACGAACATCTCTTCCATTCACCGAAGATTGCGCACTGGTCGCAGGAGAGAATGGAACAAAGCTCTCCTCCGAATTTTGTTCACAACAGAAGCATAGCCAAGAGTGTAACCCCCGGCAAGGCGGGCGAGCTTATCCTTCGCCGAGCCCCTAACGCTTGCCCCGGACAGGCAAGTCGAGCTCTGCCTATCGTCGCGAGATGAGGGGAACGTCATGACACACACTGGAAATGCAACAGACCGGCGGCGGCGGCGCGGGAAACATGTGCAAGACACGCGGTGTCTCGCTTTATCGGCAACTTTGCGGCGATCGGCACTGCACAATGTGGTAGAGGGACGAATAGACGTGGCGCTGCCAGCGTTCTTTCTCTTGACCTTCTTTTCATTCTCTACATCATCTCGGCATCAGTCCAAAGCGTCATGGAGAAGAGAGGGGAAAACTTGGATCCAGAGGTCGATGTCGAAGATGGAGCTTTTAAGGAAGGCCATATTCCTGAAAAGGTCCTTCAGCACTCCAATGACGCCGACGATGCCATGAAGGCATTTGCCGGCGGAGAGGCAATTCACATTGACGAAGCCACGAACAAGCGATTGCTGAGGATCATCGACTGGAATCTCATGCCCATCATGTGTGTAATCTATGGATTGCAATACCTGGACAAAACGACACTCTCCTACGCCTCAGTCATGGGTCTACGAACTGATACCTCTTTGGAAGGAGACGACTATCAATGGCTCTCGAGTATGTTCTACTTCGGTTACCTAGCGTGGGAATACCCCACAAATCGACTCCTCCAACGTCTCCCTCTTGGAAAGTACAGCGCTTCATRCATCATCCTCTGGGGTGCAATATTAGCATGCTTTGCCGCCGTGAAGGATTTTGGAGGCGCTGTCGCGGTTCGATTCTTTCTGGGAGCTACTGAAGCAGCTGTAACTCCTGGGTTCGCCTTCATCACCAGTCAATGGTACACCAAAGCCGAGCAGGGCATGCGAGTGGGAATCTGGTTTTCATTCAACGGTGTAGCTCAGATTGTGGGTGGTGTTGTGGCTTATGGGATTGCCAAAGGTACTGAGAATGGCACGAGTTCGCTGGCGGGATGGCAGATCCTTTTCCTAGCGACCGGTCTGGTTACCGCTGCTGTTGGAGTTGTGTTCCTCTTCGTCGTCCCGGACAATCAACTCAACGCACGTTGGCTGAGTAAAGAAGACCGCATTCTTGCTTTGGAGAGAATCAGGGCAAACCAGCAGGGTGTTGGAAACAAGCACTTCAAGATGTACCAGTTCCGGGAAGCTTTGACTGATCCGATGGCGTGGGCTTTTGCGCTCTACGCTTTGATTGCCGACATTCCAAATGGTGAGACGATTGCAGGATTGAATGCTTGAGCTTCCTATTAACATACATCGCAGGTGGCATCACCAACTTCTTCTCCCAGCTGATCGTCTCCTTCGGTTATACATCCCAACAATCACTTCTCTACGGAACTCCCGGTGGTGCCATTGAGATCGTCGCTATTATCGGTTGCGGTTATTTTGCCCAGAGATACGGCAACAGAATTCTCATCTCGAGTGCTGGAATGATCGTGGCTATCCTCGGTGTTGCACTCATTGTGGGTCTCCCACTGAGCAACAACACAGGGCGACTCATCGGTTACTATTTCACCCAAGCCAGCCCAACGCCATTCGTTTGCCTGCTCAGTCTCATCTCGAGTAATGTAGCAGGCTACACGAAAAAGACGACTGTGGCGGCCATGTTCCTGATTGCATACTGTGTTGGAAATATCATGTGAGTTTAATCATCGCAACGCAAAGTGATGAGATGCTAACAAATTCCAGCGGACCACAAGTCTTCAGACCCAAAGATGCTCCGCGGTACATTCCTGGTGTCATTACGATTCTGGTGTGTTACTGCTTGAGTCTCTGCATCATCGTCTTCATCTGGTTCTGGTGCAAGAGACAGAATGCGAAAAAGGCTGCTATTAGGTCGCAGCCGGGGTATCTGAAGCTGGAGAATCAGGAATGGTAAGATATTACTGAAGGCACCAGGTTTACGGAGTAGTTTGAGGGTCTCCCTCTTGCTGCGCTGTTCCAAGGTCTATAACACATTTGAGACAGACATCGCTAACCTTTGCATTCTTTAGGCTGGACTTGACGGATCGCGAGAACCCGGAGTTTGTATATGACCTTTGAGGTAGATGGAATGCCAATAAAGGGTGAAGATAATTTGAATTGATGGCACCATTGTCGCAAATCCGTGCCTAGTCTTTCTAAAGGTGATGTTCAAAGGTGAATTTCAAAGTGAATGGTTAGAAGTGAATGGTGAAAAGTGAAAAGTGAAGTGAATGGTGAAAAGTGAATGGTCAAAAGTGAATAGTCAAAAGTGAAAGTTGATAAGTGAGTATCGAAAGGTGAAAGACGCAAAGTGAGTGTTCAAAAGTGAGCCGCATGGCAAAGTGTTTGCTGCAAGAAAAACAGTTCTTTACGCAAATGCAGTCTTTGGACCATCGAATATTCAGCGGCTCATCAACATATTCCTGTCCCCATCACAATGGGAACAGAGAGGAACTCGGAGGGAACCCACCAGTCATGCTGTATACAGTCCGTCGCGGGCCGCATGATGACAGCTGCATACCCAAACCCTAACCCTGCGAAGAGAAGATGCATAAGCGGGAACGTTTGAACGTTGAAGGCTGGTGATGCAGATCGAGGGGTCTAGATGCATGCATACACAAGAAATGTCCCAGTGTTCACACAAAAGACATTCGGCGTATTGTATATCTGCCAGCACTCGCTTGATCACATGCCAAAGTAGTGAAAAATGAATGGCACGAATACGAATAGCGTTACTGCTGGCAGGCTCTTCCGGCTTCGTTCGGAGAAGCATGCTGGCTCGCCCGTCGCCATCATCGCTGATGATGTCTCAGTCAGTTGATGCAAAGAGTCACACCGCTGACCGCCGGGCAACGGTAAAAAAAAACCGAGACATTCTCTTATTTCTCCCCGGAGGATTGACGGGGAAAGAGAGACCCAACGCAGCGGTGTCGCTCACCGCATGAATTATTATACCGTTACCTTCTACCGGACCGCGTCGCTGGCACAGCCGGAAAGCCTTTTTCCCAGCTTTCCCACGCAGCCCAGCGACCAGTGTGAAGAAAGTCGGCAGACGTGCATCGTATGACCGGAATCTCATCATGCGAACGAAAAAGCGGTCATGAATATGTCCCCCCCTTGTCACCTTGCTTGGCAAGTGTTTAGGAATTGATGATTGGACGAATCATGCCTTTCCCTCACGGCTTCACCGCCACGCGAAGCTTTTTCTCTTCCCTCTCTCCCCTTCCCCCAAGCCCCCCCCCCCCCGGTCGTCCCGGCAGTTTTTTGCAGCGACGACGCGGACTGTGCGTTGGAACTTACTTGTCATCAATCACATCACACATTCTCCTTTCTTTAAAGAGATGAGCTGCAGATCTTCTGTACAACGTGGGACTTTTTTCATTTTTTTTCCCTGATTAAACATCGTGATTGAATTGGGGAGGGGAGGATGAAACGAGAGTGGATGAGAAAAGATTGGAGACTTTGGAACAAGACTTCATCATCATCCTTGTTCGCTTGAATAATCGAGATTCATGTAACCAACATCGACGACACATTTTGTCCCACGAAGAAGAAAAAACGACCAACAAGTCCGACGCTCCATCAGAACTATCCATCATACCCTCCTCCGACAAAGATGCACAGAAGCGCCAGTCTATCAGGCCTCCCAACAGAACTGCGCCTCTCAATCTGGCAATTCGCCCTCCAGGATTCCGAATGCCATATTCGACGCGGGCGGTCAGAGAAGAAACCCACTCGCAGCATCTGGGCTCTCCTTCATGTCAACCAGCAAATCCGAGCAGAAGTACTACCCATGTTCTTTCCCATGGTCACGATTCATTTGCGAGAGGACTTGACGGAGAGGGATCTCGAGACTTGGCTGGATGTTATTGGTCCGAGAGCTGTGTGTGAGATGAAGAAGACGCATTTGTATTCGAGGAGGATGTGTGCTGGTTCGAGACCTGATGAGTGAGTTGCTTTTCTTATCTTCATGTGCTTGTTTGCTTACTTATTTGATACCTTTTTTTCCAGGACATACAACTGCCACAGACAAGCATTCTACTACACCGAATTGCGAGAATCACAAATTGCAGACATGGTCGTGCTACAAGGCTATCGACCTACAATGTTCTTCCGTCTTCTACCGGATATTTGCTCACGAGGACATCTCTCTTGCTTTCGAAAGACTGTCAAGCAGCTGGAATTATCTGGAAGTGAGGACTGGTACATGGCCAAGGACGAAACTTTGAGTAAAGATCGGTTGATGAAACTCTGGCGAGCACTGAATATTGATCATCGGGCTGGATGATGAGAGTGGTTGGAAGTTTGTTGGTTGTTGGCATTGATGGGAGATGGTGAATGCTCATATTCTTACTATTGCGACAATCGCGGATATCGCGCCAAATTCGCTACACTGGAAAAAGAGGGATGTCCACTTAGCATCCGCTTCTGTGCAACCGCAGTGGATTAAATTCCCTGGCTCGATGCCGTGTAACGGGATGGGAGGCTATGGTTTGGACCGCGTCAGCCGCCATGATCATTGGCGAGATTTTTTTGGCGTCGGATCACACGTTGGAAATACCGTAGAACGAACAAGATCGATTGTACAACGCATAGACTGATGATTTGTATCAAGATAGAGATCGAAGCGGGTTGATATCATATATCTTCCGGGCTGATAAATTTGATGGCCATTTTCTGCCTCTATGCTACTGCCGATTTTCATGGCATCATTCTCTTCATGCCGTTCTTCCCCGTTATACAGCATCGCGGTTCATTTCCTTTCGTCTCACGCAACATGCGATCTTGCCAACACCTCTTCGCCTCTATGCCCAGCATTGATATCCCCTAGAATCCTCGTTAATTTGTCATTGCCAAATCCGGGAACCCTAGAATTGGTCAAGAGAGAAGCGGGTATCGATCAGTGCCCCCTCGAAGACTCCAGCTCCAACATGCATGGCACGTTGTGGCAGCGTGTGTCTTGGAAGCTGAGCTGAATGAGCCGTCTTCCGCGCTCATCATTCTCAGATTACGGCATCGGGGCCTGAGTCGATACCACGCAGGACTACCAAGAAGCTTGCGACTGGCGGCAAGAACTTGTCGGAGTTTCGAGTGCTTCTGGTCAGTGCTCGGCGAAATAGACATGCCTCGTAACGTCTGGGTGGTGCATACCCAGCGCAGGAGTGCAAGGCAGGCGGATGAACTTGCTCAATATGCAGTCCCTGCGAGACAGCTATCTTAGTCTCACGTCATCATGCAATATACAGAGACCAGTAGTCCAAATAGCAAACTTGCAGAGTGACGAGGCGATCCGTCGTTCCTCACGCCAGTAGTTGATGACTCGCTCCCAGGGCCATCAGCCGAAGTGGCTTGACCTGCAGTCGTTACATCCCCAGATTGGTGTGCCTCGTTAGAAGCAGCAGAATCACCAGGTGCAGTAGGACTGGCATTCTGATCGTTCTGCGACTTTGTATCCACACCTGCTGCTGGATTTCCAGTAGGATTGTTCTCGGAGGGCTCCGCACCGTCCACCATCAAACCGCCAGGTGCTGCACTTATAACATGTCCGCTGATTGTATGCGCCGGGCCACCGACTGATAAAGTCTCGCTTGCGAAGACGGCCATGAGAGTAGTAGTACCGGGCGCGGGGATGTAAGTGAAGGGTATGGTTTGAGTTTCGATTACTACATCGGAGGATCCAACACTTGGAGCAGGGTTTTGGTTCGCGGAGCCTGATGCTGGCGGTGAGACTCCTTGACCTGATGGATGGGCATTGTTAGATGAATCTAGGCCTGGTGTTGAATTCTGGTCGGCCTGGTCAGATGCTGACGGCGAGGCTCCCTGACCTGATGGAGGGGCGTTGTTGGAGGAATCTAGGCCTGGTATTGAATTCTGGTCGGATTGGCTAGATGCTGGCGATGAGCCTCCCTGACCTGATGAAGGGGCATCATTGGATGAATCCAGGCCTGGCATTGAATTCTGGTCGGCTTGGCTAGATGCTGACGGCGAGCCTCCCTGACCCGACGAAGGAACATCGTATGCTGCACCATCATGAGAGGAATCGGGAACATTTGCGGTAGCTTGCGGGCTAGCAGTCGAGGAAGGAAAAGTKTCGCTGAATTTCTGCGGAAGCGGTTTAGTGGTCATCGCCGGATATGTGGGCGTCTCTGCTGTTGGCTTGGCAGAGAACGAGGCTGGAAGGGTGGGTTTCGCGACGGCCGCCGCTTCGGAGAGGGCGATTGGGGGATCCCATGAGCCATCGATGTACCACCTTGCACTGGTTCCCCACAGGCTGTGCATCGTTTCCGACCAAACAGAATCATTCGGCCGGACATAGGGCTGATAGTTGTTGATGATCGTCCATTTCTGTATCTCATTTACCGAATGATAATTGGCCACGTCGAAATTCTGAGCCGCGTTCCAGTATGCCTGGGCAGGAACATTCTGATAGCAGTTCTTGCCCTCGACGTCTTGGGCAGTGAAGTGGCTGCTGTTCCCTTGAGAAGGACACATCCAGTTCAAATCCCCGTAGTTGAAAGGTCGAAGGTCGTATAACGCGCGACCACCGCGARTGCTGGCGAGCTCTTCTGGTCTCATCGTGATGATGGTGGTCTGGATGGTAGTGCCGCATCCGTCGACACGGGAGAGGTCACTGTATGCGAGGGCAATTGTTGGCGAGGTAATGGTCAGAGTGCCAGTAACGAACGTGTTGGGTCCTGAGCCAGTGGGAGTTCCAGGGATGGTCAAAGGTGATGCGGAGGTTTTGGAATACTTTCCTTGAGTGCAGAAATACTCAGGACTGTCGGAAGTCCTGACAGGCCAGTATAACAATTGGACTGACTTCCCAACAACCCCGACAATTCCGTTTAGACCAGTGCCCAGACAATAAGCCGAAGAGAAGGTGATACTACTACTGCCATCAACATTACACGGCGGTGCCAGAAGGGTAGAATTCGTGCCGATCAGCGAGGATACAGCAGTAGAGTACGAGCGGTATAAGTTGGCACAATCGGAGGGATTTATCGAGCAAGGCATCGAGGTGGGATATGGTCCCGGGGCTCCCATTATAGTGTAAGTTGTGTTTGCAATTTGAGAAAGCGAGACGATGCTGGCGGAGCCGACAGCTCGTGTGTATCCATCGCAGAGCACCGTCACGCTCGAGGCCGATACACTGGGAGCTGCTGTTTGCCATTGTGGTACTGTTACGACGGATGGTGCAGTATGATTGCGACCATATGCGCTAGATGCCGTCTGGTACGCCCACAGCGCCGACTGACAGCTGCTGGCAAAGGCATCTCCAGATGATCCTGTTGAGTGGTTGAGCGAGATCCCCTGTTGGATGATGTATCGGCCAATGTCGCCGGCGAGGGCCGATGGAAGAGTCCGAGCCAGAAGCAGCACCAATATGGGCCGAACGCCAACGACCCACATTGTGGCGGCTGGCGGTGGTATCTAGGCGGGAGAGTGAGGGAGAGGGTGATGTTGTGGTGGAACGCAAAGGTGGCATCTCAAGTCAGTATGCAAGCTGCAAATCATCTCTGGGATCTGCGTGGCCGTTGTCAGGCATTCCATCGTATCATCCTTCGAGATTTAACAAGAGGAAGCTTATTGCTTCCCCACCGCATGCTTTGCTAAATGCAGTAGAGCGGATCTGCACGCGTGTTTAGTGTGTAAAGCTTACAGCTGGCGTCATTGATGGGCAGATTTATACTCTCATTGCTGTGTTTCTACGACCTCACATCTCCTTTTTGTGCCAACAAGAAAGAGCTGCTGTTCCTGTGAAAAGCGTTGAGTTGAAGACGATCGGGCCGAGTCATCAGATCGAGTTCTAGTTCTATTCTGATGAAGCGAGCAGGGAAAAGCTGGAAGGATGATAGTCGAGGCTGGCTGACGTGGCTRAGGATCCCATGTACAGTGCAATAAGCGTCTGGCATTATTCTCCAGCTCCATCTCAACAACCTCCACAAACACGCGAAAGTCACCAGAATCAACACATTCATCAGCACGATGAACAAACACGAGCAGCAAGTCCGGGAAGCAAAGCGAGATATCTCTGCCGACAGAGCTTGTGGCTTCTCGAAAATTGCACGTGGAGACGTCCTGACTCGACGCTGCCAACGCATGATTGCGCTAGAAGCGCTGCCCATACCCTTCCACACTCTGGATGCATAAGGTACCCTATAAAGTGGTATGGAGACTTTGGTGACGACGGAGGCGGAAGACGCGCGGATGTTTCGGCGACTTAGACTGAGACTGACGTAAGGGCCTCCAAAATCGTCATCGTCCTGCCAAAACATCACTCACAGGTCGTTCTTGAATATCGTACATTTCTTGGTCTTGCAGTTGGCATTGCTTGTTTACATCTTCGCAACTTCTTCTTTTTCCATCTTCAGTCGATCCGCAGATCAATCACAATGGTTCACCAACACGGGTAAGTTTGGGGAGCATGAACCAATTGTGATCTAAAACTCATAATTTTCTTTCAGAGACGAGCATGACATTCCCGAGGGACATCTCATTGATAGGCACTTCTTCCTGCTCTGCTTCATCATCCAAGCATACTGACCCTCCTAATCAGACCTGGAGCATGGCTTCCAGCAGACCACCGTATCCAAAAGGAGTGGCTAGGTCGTCAAATTGACGAGGCGAAGAAGAACCCCAAGGAGCTCGCGCCGGTCCTCCAGGAATTCAAAGACTTTATCGAGAGCAACTCCCGGGTTTACATGTGGTTCAATTCGATGTTCAACGAGGTTCCAAACAAGAAGCCTTACGATAAGGATCCCACAGGCCACAAGCAGATCCGAGACTATCGCCATATGCTGGAGGTGTTGAACCACACCTTCACCACTGCTCCTCGCTGGACTGACAAAGCGGCGAACGTGGGCATGGTTGGTGTGCCGATGTGTGCCATCTTTGATTATCCCATGGCAACCGCCTCGGGCTTCGCGGCCTTTTTAGATCCCGAAGTCAATGCCCATCTCAAGAAGATTCTCAATCACTGGGGTGAATTTCTAAAGTCTCCCGCTTCGGCTGACGTTTTGAATACCGGCAATGGAGGATGGTTCGGTCAACACGGCAAGAAAGATATGATGGAGGTTGCCAACAAAGCGGTGGGCACGACCGAATACGCCTTTGAGGATTTCTTCATCTGCCCTGATCCCAAGGCCAAGCACCATGGATTCAAGAGCTGGGACCACTTTTTCACTCGTCAGTTCCACGAGAATGTGCGCCCTGTTGCGTCTCCGGATGATGATAATGTCATTGTCAATTGCTGCGAGAGCAAGGTCTTCGACTTGCAGAGAAAAGTCAAGCTTCGGGATCGCTTCTGGATCAAGGGACAACCGTAAGTGATATGAAGAGCATAGATTGCCGCTGTTGGCCTGTCTAAAGAGATGATACCGAGCGTTTCCTATAGGGGAATGCTTCGTGATCCGCTCAAAATCGACCCCTTTATGAACTTTTGCGGGTGCTGACTCCGTTGTAGATATAGCCCTCTTGATATGCTCGCTCACGATCCTCTGGCCCAAGAATTTGCAGGTGGTGAGTCCTTAAGAGCTAAGCGGGCGTCAAACATTTCCCGCCTGTAAAGTGGCCAGCGACTTTCACTGACTTTGCTGCTCCAGGCACTGTCTACCAGGCCTTCTTATCAGCATTGAGCTACCACAGATGGCACGCGCCCGTCTCCGGCACAATCAAGAAGGCGTTTGTGCAGGATGGCACATATTTCTCCGAGCCATTGTTCGAGGGCTTGGGCGATCCGACGACCCAGGAAATCGACACTGACGGTATCAGTAAAGGTCAAGGATACCTCTCAGCCGTTGCCACTCGTGCCATTATTTTCATCGAGGCCGACAACCCCGCCATTGGGTTAATGGCATTTGTGGGGATCGGCATGGACGAAGTCAGGTGAGTCGACAAAGCTACTCCCTATTTCTTTACATAGCTAACGCATTCTAGCACTTGTGAGATAACCGTGAAAGAAGGAGACAAGGTCAAGAAGGGACAGGAAACCGGAATGTTTCACTTTGGTAAGAACTATCCCATTGAAATTGCTCCCCCAAACATGGCTAACCCTTCAATCTTTCGCTCTTCAGGTGGAAGCTCTCACTGTCTGCTGTTCCGAAAGGATGTCAAGCTAGAATTCACGGTTTCGAGAGACCGCGTGGAGAATGTGCCAGTTAGGTCTCATCTGGCGACTGTGACTGCATGAGCAGAGATATGTCGGCGTTGAGATACCGGGCGATAACCACAGGATACTTGGAGAGGAACAGTATAGAGATTTAAGATCATACAGTAAGGTACCTGGTAGATTCTAAGTTACAGCGCACTTCCTTTCCTACGAATACAATGATCACAGAAGCGTCTATCAAAAGGGATACGTAAGCAGTGTCATTCGCCCGTGAACAAGGTACGGGCGGAGTAGTCTTGCATTCATGTAGTGTGGTGTTTTGGAATGGAAACGCCCTTTGCGAGTGGTAGAGATCCTCTTTACACCTAGCAGCAATGAACTTGATGATCATGATGGCGGTAGCGTGTGGCAATTGACAATGGCCAAAAAGCCTTGGTTCCAGACGGTTTGTTCAGCTGCTGCTGTAGGTAGCAAGAGGAGTGGGATTCATTTCATGGTCGTGTCTGGTTCAGATATAGCTATCTCAACCCAACGTGTGGTCTATAGTCTCTTTTCCTAAGATGAGTAGCACGCTCACAATTGATTCAGCAATTGAAGGGGTTTCATTGACGGAACAGGGATCATCCCCTCTATCGAGGAGTTTTCTCTGCCAAAATTCAAGGCTCAGACGTCAAATTTTGACCTTTGAGATTCGCGTAGAGTTCGCGTCAAGTTTCACCCCGGACAACGCGTTGCACAACAACCGTCTTGACTCGTGAAATACTCCGCTCTAAGTCGATGTCTACCTATTGTGTCCCAAACAAAGTGAACCATGGCAGCAGACACGGAGCCTCAGACCAGCGAGCCATATCGCTGGGACACACTTTCGCATTCCGTACGCAGTCTCTTGGACAGTCTTGATTCCGAAGGCTCTTTCTGTGCCCAAGGAAGCCGCGAAGATATCAATCCAGGTCTGCAAGTTGAAGGAGTCGGCGGTATTGGTATGCCGATTTCTGCATACGATGCTCAAAGACTCATCCGATATAGCCGACAGGCACCTTTTGGCAAAGGCTCCGAGACAATAGTCGATATAACGGTGCGCAATACGTGGGAGATTGATGCTGCGAAGATCAAGTGCGCTCATCCTAAATGGCCTTCTATTGAACAATCTATCCTAGACTCTGTTACAAGTCAACTTGGGATTGTGGGTGGATCTGAGTTTGTCAAGCTTGAGCCGTATAAGCTACTCATCTACGGGGAGGGAGCTATGTTTAAGCCGCATCGAGACACGGAAAAGGCAGAAGGCATGTTTGGAACTCTGGTCATTGCACTTTCATCTCCTCACCAAGGCGGTGACGTGGCAGTATCGTTCAATGGCAAGCAAAAAGTCATGGAAACMTCTCCGGATTCAGCTTGGTCGACCTCTTTTCTTGCTTGGTATGGAGATGTTCTGCATGAAGTCAGACCCGTCACAAAAGGCTATCGAATAGTCCTCACATACAACATGATGCATACTGGTCCATCAGCAGCACCTGGAATTTCGGAGGGCGACCCTCGACTGGTGACTCTCCAAAGTGTTCTGAAAGATTGGTCCCGCGATGTTGACGTTGACGACGAAGATCGGGCCTCGGATCCTCTCCCTGGTTACCTCATCTACATGCTGGAACACCAATACACTGATGAAAGCCTCTGCTTGACTAAGTTGAAAGGCAGAGATCGCACTCGAGTTGAAGGCGTTCTTAGTATCGGTCAAGCAAGTGACTGTGAATGCTTCCTCGCAACAATCGAGAAGAAGGAGCGAGGAGGCTGCGATGGATTTGGACCTGAAGACTATGCCCCAGGGGAGCTTCACAGCATCGTAGACGTTGAGGAACAAAGTGTTCACATTCGCAGCATCGTGAATGTAGCTGACGGGAACCTGATCGTCGAGAATGTGACCTTGGACGACGACGAAGCAGAGGGCCTCATCATGCGGAAAGATGAAGAGGATGATCCTTTCGAGGGAGAGCCTTGCGGCGAAGAATTTGAAGGCTGGACTGGAAACGAGGGCGCACGCACTACGTTGTGGTATCGCAAGAGTGCATTAATAATCATGCCTGGCCGCTCAAACTTGGGCTACTTCATGGCCGCCGCTCGAGACAGTGAAGACGGAGAGTGTTGGTCTACCAACTTTTGCAATCTTATGAATTACTATCGCAAAAAAAGGAACAGTGGTGGCGAGCTGGATTATCTCGTCGGGCTTGTCTGTCAAGGTCCGATAACTCCAGAAGGAAAGGAGTGGCTTGCACTTTGGCCTGATGGGACCTGGCCAAAACTTGAGTGCTCGGGCGATGAGATTGGCGCTGCGGCTGCGGCCTGTCTCCGAGCCGGATGGCTGGATTGATTTACAAAATTATTGGAGGAAAAGCCTGAACAAATCCAGGATGGCACGCAAAGCGTTGACTGTGATGAGTTCTTGCCCCATATCAGCAGCTACCAGTTTCAAGAGCTTGAGAGAGGGTAAGTGTAATCATGTATCTTTACACATTCAAGTGGCTACTAACCGCTTCTGATATAGATTCTCTGCCGCCATTCACCGAGAGCAGCACCTCTCTCCCGGCAACCTCGATGGACCGATCAATGCTCTGAACACCATAGTAGACGGCGTAAAGGACTATCTTCCCACCGCTGCGTTCCAGCCATGGCTTATGGCTTCCCTCGACGAGATTCTTGTGCAATCTGGAAGAATATCATCGGCGTCGGCAGAATCTTTGGTGAATCTACTGCTGAGCAGTAATGATTTGACATGGATTGAGAAAATGTACGTTTGCCATGTATTATTGCCACGCATCCACTAACACAACCAGATTTACTCCTGCACTTTGCAACCACCTTGACCAAAGCAATCCAGAAATATTTTTCGCGCTGGCCACGGCTCTTTCCGTCTCCCTCGATCAAGAACCCAAAGATCTCGCCAAGCAAGTATGCGTTGCAGTACTGCGAGGTGTAGCTCCGTCCGCAATCGAATCCACAAGGCTTCCTAAAGACCCACCCAAGCCAAAGCGAACATCGTACACTTTCCGGAATCGTCATCGCCACGAGCGTAGCCCAACGCCGGAGGAGAATGATCTGAAAGCCAATCTTTGTTTACTGCATCAGCTTCTCCTTGGCTGCGGTTTAAAAGACGAAGCACGGTTACTACTACAGCATGTAGAGCAGGAATGCCAATCTTCCATGCATCCCGCATACTTCGACACCCTCGTACTTCCATACTTGGATCGTGTTATAGGTCTCCGAAGACTCGACGAAGTCTTACTCCCAGAAGATCTGAAATTCGCCGAGAGAATCATCCGAATATATCAGTTCCGATCGACTGGTCCTGAACCTCTACCGCCAACAGACTGGTCTCGTCCCTTACTAGCCAGCCTATGCCTTTGTTCAACGTGCAAACAACTACGTGATTTCATCATCTCTCCACAGCGGCAACGCATGGAATTCACTGCCATCTTCAAAGTTAGGCAGCATGTCGAAAAGGTCCTTGGAGATGATTACGATACTGTCGTCCATAAGAACAGCACTCCACATACGTTGGAGGTGATCAAGACGACTCGTTATTGGGCTCGAAGTCTTCGAGATTGGCAAGCGAATAGCCGAGTCGTGGAAGCCAAAGCGAAGTCATTTTTTGAAAGAACACGATATTGCAACATCACTTGGAAGGCATCACTTGAATTCTTCCAACGAAGGGGATGTCCCTGATGATAGTGTTGGAGGAGCGCCGTCTGTTGATGATGTGTTGTTACAGACGGGACAGAATCCTCTGGATAATGAACCAGTGCAATCTGTTGGGCTGGGTCAAAAGCACGCTCGGCAGGATGAGGATGAGGAGGATATACGAGCTACGAAGAGAAGGAATGCATCTGAAAATTAAAGGCGTTGTAGGGGAAGGACTACATGACATTTCACGTCTTCTCTCGCGTACGATGAGTGGTGTCGCTTGTATTGTTCGCCGTCTTGGTCTGACGTGGACTTTTGGTATCATTTATCTGAAGCTGGGAATAGCAAGAAATCTCGAGTAGAAGATTAAACGTGGAGTCCAGATGGCCTATATACCTAATTAATGCATGCTAATCTTGGGTATAACCAAAGTTCCGACCGTCAGGAAGAAGGAACGTAGGCGGCAATCCAAGGTTCTGAGAAGGAGGTAGCAGAAGTGTAGTCATGGTTACTGTACTCATATCATCGTCGTTATAGTCACCGAAAGCACGCCCAGTCAAAGCCAGATCCTTGAGTGGTGGTAGACAGCGTAAGACTTCTTGTGTTGCATGCGCTACATCCAGTGCCATCTCATTGCCGGAGTATTGCCCGGCTTCCAATTCCAGACAGGTCAATTGTGAAAAGGCCGGGGAATCGTTCCGACCATTGGCATATATCCACCGCAGCAGGTAATAGACAAGTATTCATTCTTCATCCATCAAAATGTCTCAAACAACTCGCTTAGTTGATTTTCTCTCTACGGCTCCACCTCCCTGCCCACTCTAAAAATCCTCCTCCCATCCCCTGCCTCCTCCCACCCAACTCTTTCCAACTCCTCCCATAATACAGCATACCTCTCCCTCCCCCAACTTTCCACAACCTTCTGCTTGGCGCGATTCGGAGCCCCATTCATCACCTTCCCCAACACCTCCTTACTCACCTCCCAGCGACCCTCGGATTCCATCTCCTGGACGGCATGAAAAGTTGCATCCAAATCTCCATTTCCCGCCAAAGCTCCCAGATAACTTCCCCACAATTCCTGATCAATCTCCACACCCTTTTTGCGCAGTTTCGTCCAGAGTTCCCGCGCCTTCAAGTCGCCAAAGGGAGCGGCTTGGCAGGCTTGGAAGGTGATGTGCAGGGAATTGTACGTGGGCCCTTCCCTACTCGCGGAAATGTCATCCCAGAAACGCAGGGCACGGCGAGGTTGGCCACAGGCGGTGTATGCGAGGATGAGAGCGTTGAAGAGTTTGGTCGTGGGGTTGATGTTGACGTCGAGTTTGAGTTGGTTGTGGATGAGTTGTAGGGATTCGAGGTCGCGGGATTGRGCGGATGCCATAAAGGAGGAAATGTAAGTGGAGATGGTGGGGATGGTGTCTGCGCGGGAGTGGGAGCGCATGGAATTGAAGACGTGGACGGCCATGTCGGGTCGGGATCGACGGTGGAAGTCGAGCATGAGGGTTGTGCGGTGGGAGCGAGGGATTTCGTCGAAGATTGTGAGGAGGATGGTGTAGGCGTCCCAGGTTCGTGCTGTGGGGGTTGATGGGTCGAGGGCGTAATTTAAAATGGCCTCGAGGATTGTTTGCCTCTCTGCGGAGGAATAGTGGAATGCGTGGGTGTTTAACAAGTCGATGACATCGTGGATCTCATCTCGGGAGAGGTGAAGGAGGGACAGAGCGGCAACGGTCGGCGCTTCGAAGCGGGCGTGGCGGTCGGAGAGGTCGGCGGCGACGTTCATGATGGAGTCAAAGTCATGGCGCTTGCTATTGCAGAGGGCGACGATCAGGGCATTGACGGTGGGAATGTCTTGATTGGAAGAGAGGTCCATGGCTTGTGAACTGGCGTAGGCGGTCAAAGCTCCATCGACATCATTCACCTTGAGACGATATTGCATTTGAAGGACATATGTCCGGGCATCGGGTTCGATGTTTCGCGCCTTGCCAATGGCAATGAAGCGTTCCGCCAAGTAGGGGTCGTTTTTGGAGATTGCGAATTCGACCAAGGCGTTTATGGTGGCGATATCGGCCAGTCTCGGTGGTTGAGTGGGAGAGATGTTGTTGTTGGAGGCTTCCATGACACTCAACATGCGATTGATCTCATCGGCACCCTTGCCCGTGCCGGCGGCCCAGACGAAGATGGCGTCCCAGATGGGCTTGGGAGGGTTGTCACTCATGGCTTCCCTCACGATGGAATGACCGAACTGAAGAGTATTGTGCTTCAAACACCACTGCAAGACTTGGTGGAGGTCATTGGCTGCAGTTTGGTGGGATTCTGGTTTTGAAAGGGGGGTGAATTGGGAAGCCTGCCACAGCTCGGCAAACCAGCGTTGGACGGCAGCAATGTCGTTGCCACGCAGGTAGAAATGAAGCACCGTCTGCTTGACAGTGCGAGAAGTGTGGATTCCACGAGTTTTGAGCATTTCCCAGGTGGCGAGGAGGGTCGCCTCATCCTCCTTTTGAGCGTGTCCATGGAGAACATCGGCCCACGCATGTTCAATCAAAGCGGGCAGCTTTCCCGTCTCCTTCTCTCGTCCTCCCTCGTCTTGTGATGCTTCCCATTCCAGGAGGACCTCCTGTCCTCTTCTGGCCTGACCGGAATAGGAGAGATGTTTGACCCACATGGCCACACCTTTCCACAACCATCCCACCTTGCCTCCCACCACCAGCATTTCCCGGTAGACGGCCTCTGCCAGGTCCGGATGTGCAGCGACGTTGGCCTGGACGCGTCTATGGAGGACGGCAAGAATGGTGAGGAGGACATCTCGATYGACCGCTCGACATCGCGAGCAGTATTGGAGACTCTGCAGGGCCAATGCCGCCTGCCCGTCCTCTAATACATCTCCTCTACTCTTTTTATGCTCCATCAACTTCACCAGCGCCTTTGCAACCTCCTCGGCGGGGGGTAATCTTGCCCGCATCCTCTCCATCTTGGCCAAGTGCATCATTTCTTCCATTCCGGGATCCATGTCGGCTTCCTGACTCTCCCGCTTTTTCCTCCCGCCGAAGAGATTGATATTGAACAACGTCCTTCTCGGAGGGTGGCATGTCCGGAATGCGCCATTTCGGGGGATTGTCCGTGAGGGAGGATGAAGGTGAAGTTGTCGGCGTAGACATGCGCGGTGGAGGATGGGTTGGTTGGCCAGAATCCGGCGGAACACCTGGCGCGTGAGGTGCGATGGCATGTCGACTCCAATTCACGCCATGACATGTATGTACAGATGAGACGGTCCAGGAAATAGTTATGAAGCTGCAGGTCCATCTTCCATCCATCTCAAAGATTCGCCAAGTCTCACCTCCGCCATCTCCGCAATCCATCCTCCAGAAGCCGATTGACTTGCACCCATCGCGCTTCATCATCCCCACCGCAATCATGTCGCTGGAGTTCCTCTTTTCCCGGTTGGCGGTGCGGCCAACGACAACAACCACCTCCCAAATCTGTCGACAATGCCGTCGTCGCGGAGTAGCCACCGTTCCGCCCCGCGCCACAGCTTCCCTATCGCGTGAGTTCCCATCCATCCATCAATCACCCCAAACCCACGAATATCTAATTGATATCCTCTAGAATCCCTCCAATCCTCCCGTGAGCAACAACAATCCCCCTCCGCGCGCCAAACCTCCACCTCTCGACCCGCCCGCTCCACCTACGACATTGCCTCTTCAGCAATCACCGAATCCACCACCAAAACCACCCTCTACCAACAATCCCAAGCCCAGCGAGACCTCACCCGCGGCTACACCGCCAACGACCTCTCCCGCCAAGTCTCCCGCAAATGGAAGACCGGCGATGTCTACTCCCCCCACGACCTCAGCGGGCCCGAAATGGCCAAGTGGAAGAAGTTACGCAGGAAGCCGAGACCGAAATATGATGTGCTGGATCAATTGGGCATGAACCCGTTGCATTATTACAAGAATTTCAGCATCATGAGTGAGTACATTACGGATATGGGGAGGATTCGAGGGGGTTTGGATACGGGATTGAGGCCGGTTAATCAGAGGAAGATGGCCAAGGCCGTGCGGAGGGCCATGGGCATGGGTTTGATGCCCGGCGTGCATCGCCATCCCGAGTTGTTGAGGAGGGAGCATAAGATTTAATTTCTTCATCAGGGGCATGGGGGCATTACAGAGGGAATGGAGATTCATGATTAAGCGAGAGAGAGAGGCTCGCTTGTAGACAGCCACCAAGCTGACCACCCTCTTCTGACTTGTCATGTATATGAAATATGAAATCAGGCTGTCTTTCTTCATTTCCATCATCATCCTTCCCTCCAAACCAGACACAATCCACAATCCCCAAGACGCAAAAACCAAGAATGCCACAACAACAACAACAATCATCCTCAACCACAGTCTTCTCACTCCCCGAACTCCTCGAAGCAATCCTCATCGCTCTGGGAAAAATCCATCTCAACAACAACCTCCCCTCCGGCGGGAATGAAAATACAAACTCCCCCCTCGGGCCCGTGATCCAACTCTTCCCTCTACAACGTATCAATCACACTTTTACAAATGTCATTCAGAAATCTACGGAGTTGAGGAGCATGATGGGTATGATGGGATGTGGTGGTGGTGATGATGATAAGGGATTTGATAGAGTGGATGGTTTGACTTGGTTCATGGGACTTATGAATAATTATTTAGAAGATGAGAAGAACTTTGGGAAGGAGGAGGAGGAGGGTGGGGTTCCTGTGTTGCTTGAGGAGAAGTGGAGGGTTAGRGGGGCGAGTTGGWGGGATATTCACGTTTGTTCTACTTCTGATTCTCCTGGTATCAATCAGACGACGCATAATTCAGGAGAGGCGGAGGGATTAGAGGGAAAGAAGAAGAAGAGGATATATCTCCACTGCCATCTCCTACCTCCTAGAGAAGGCTTCCTAGACGCCTGGACGATTTATCTGGACATTTCCAACGATGCCGATACTGATGAGAATGAGGTAGAAGAGGGAACAACAACAACAACGACTCTAGGTCCCCTCTTCAACACCCTCACCTCCACGGTAAAGAGTATGCAAGACAAAATCGACGTGGCGGAGAGGAAGCATGTTGAGGAGACTGGGCAGGAATTTCGAGTGAGGAGAGGTACGGTTTTGATGCGGGTGGATTTCGAGAGGAGGCCGCCGTTGGAGTGGGTTACTCCGAGGAGTCAGTGGCCTGAGGGGGAATGATGGGATTTTCTTTACTTTGCGGCTTTATTCTTGGGGAGATGTCAAGCTACCTTACCTGAGGTGTCAGTTTTCTGGAACTCGGTTATGTTATTTTGTTGTTGCTGTTAAGACCTTTTGATGTAGGTTGGATGACTTACTCGGCTTTTGTTTTATGAGTGAGGGAGTACTTCTGGATTTAGTTAGCTGACTAGCTAGCGTGGTGGAATCTTCCATGGCCGTTATATAGGCTACTAGATTCGACGACGTCTACCCTACATGTACTTTACCTACCTCCTTCTCGGACGCTCTTATGTTCGTTCCTCCCGTGCATGTTGTGTTGTGCCTATCCTACCGTACCTATGCCAAGGAAGCCGAAACTCCGATTCATACATAAGCAACCGGGCGGCAATCCAATATACTTTCCATCTTTCCATCTACATCACAGCGATATCCTGCATAAGTAGAGAGAATGAATCTCAATCCAATGACCCACGAGGGAATCATTGAAGCATGGCGGAACCCACAACGCAACTCAATCTACAAAAAGGCTCGCTTAGAGATCATCAAGATCGGACGCTTAGCCATCAAGTTTGGGAGCATAACAGCCGAAGAGGCCTCCAATCAAATCCACGCCCACGAGCTACTCGACGTCGCCGTCTGCCGAGTACCTCGCGTCCACGATTACTTCCACGTAGATGGAGTAGACTACCTAGTAATAGAATATGCCGAAGGCACGAAGAAGAAGGTCGTAGATGACACGACCATTGACAAGATCGCAAACATAGTCAAGCATCTGCATAGCTTCACATCGGAGACTCCAGGGCCAGTCGTCAAATCTGGTATCTGCCGTGGACCTCTCTGGTCGCAAGATGAACTCGTGTCGATGAACACCAAGCAGGATCTTACAACGTATATCAATTCCCGGCTTCGAAAAGATTCTCCTAGCTTCGTGCTTTCGGAAGACCTTTTGGTGTTTGTTCACGGTGATATTGCGCTTCGCAATCTCATCTTCGGAGAAGAAGAAGAAGAAGACTGTATCTGATTATTAGACTGGGAGTTTGCAGGCTACTTCCCAAGGTCCGCGGAGATCGCTACGCTCTGTATGGGAATCGGCGAGGACCAGAGGGATCTTTGTTTCAGCTATAGTATTGAACAGGCAATCCTTCGCACCAAGCCCCTTGTGCATTATGAGGCCTTGGAGGTTCAATTGTGGCAGTCATTCGCCCTGAATCATGTTCGGTACTACTGGTAAGGCAAACAGGACCTTCTAGCACCAGACGTGTAATAATCTAAACTGACATATTCTAGGCCAGCTGAAGAAGAGAAGGCTTTCCTTCGAAACCGTCGCCGTAAGCCGGCTCGTAGAGATAAGAAAGAGACATCGTCTTCTTCTTGAAGCGAACATATCGACAATGTTACGACCCTTGGATTTCCAGAGGAGAACTTTGAAGATCCATAATGAGATGTCGGTGAAAGTGAATCTCGCCTCGAATGTTTCCTTGAAGTCGCCTTTGAACGGCCCGCCCCTCTACAACTCGCTTATGGACAGCCACCAAGCTGACCACTCTCTTTCTAACCTGCAGTGTAGATCAATGAGGCTGTCTTTCTTTCTTAGCTATCTACAAATCTCTTCTTATTGTTATCATTTTTGTCACTTCACTACGGATTGAACATAAGAGACAAAAGCAAAAAGAAATGTCACGACAATCATCATCATCATTCTCATCCTCATCAACCGCCATCTCCACMGTCTTCTCCCTCCCCGAACTCGTCGAAGCAATCCTAATCGCTCTAGAAGAAACGCACATTCTCAAAAGCAATGCCAACAACAACAAAAAAACTCTCCCCGACATCAAAGATGGCAGTGACATATCAAACTTCATCATCGGGCCTATACCAGTAATGCAACTCTTCCCCCTCCAGCGTATAAACCACACTTTTGCAAAAGTCATCCAGAGATCTACAGTTTTAAGGGCCATGATGGGTTTAACGGCTTTACTGTCCAGCTGTGGTGGTAGCGAGGGTGGTTGTAGTGAGGGAATGTCCGGGATGGATGGTTTGAGCATTTTTCTAGGAACCATGGGGTTTACAAATGATGCAGTATTCATAGATGGCGTAGGACGGGGATTTGGGATCGGCGATCTTTCTGGCGGGGRAGATGGGATGCTTGGGGAGATATGGAAGGTAGGAGGGGCGAGTTGGAGGGTTCTGCAATTCTTTTGTTCTTCTGCTGTGGAAGAGATTTGGGTAACGGAGGTTGAAGGGGAGAAGAAGGAGGAGAAGAAGAAACAGAGGGTCTTTTTCCATGTTCATCTTCGGCCGCCTAGGGAGACGGATTTTCAGCAAGGCTGGACAATGCGGCCTTGGACTATGCATATGGCTGATGGGAATGATCATGGGAATGCTAATTTGCGCTTAGCGGTGAGTAGGGGGAGTTGGGGAGGGCATTAGACGACGAGCGGGACGGGTTTAGTATGTGCGTTAGGCGTGCTTCGATGTTTACTACTCTATAGATTGGTATATTGGTATTGTAGATATCTCCGTAAATAAACGCACCTAGTAGACTTTTTGTGGAGAGATCGGATTTGGGCGGCAGAGGCGGGGCAGGAATTTCGAGAATCCCTCGTTACAATAAGTTAATATGCTCCTGTAGCCGTAATGGAGTTCGGTCTCAGGCTGTCCTAAAGTAAGACATGAGTTGGAGTGAATAAGATCTCTCCCTATCCGTCCGCTCTCTCCGTGCCGCTCTCTCGTTGATCCTCCTTAAGGCCAAGAATAAACTCCTTTAACTTCATCGGTGGATGTGATCCAGTGAAAGTATCCGATGACACACAAGTAAGGTCGCCTTATCACCCTCGTTCCTGGGGACATTCATTCATTCAATTTTGATTTTTGGGGAGGTTTCGGATACTCGTGAGCGACACAAACACTTGTAAAACAAATTCAGCCATCCACTGTCACATTCAAGAAGGAGAGTGAGACTACAGTTCAGCATGTCAAAGTGGGTCACGCTGCGTATCCTTCTCTGGGCGAACGTTTGGCCAGATGCACTCGAATGAGCTGCGAAATTCCTAGGCCGGTCATCGGCTCAGATTTCTCAAACCGATGTCAGTAGCCATCTTGGTGTGCGGCTTGGATCTCCGAGCAGTGGAATTCTTCTCATTCTTGGTACGTAGTCGAGAGGGATCATTTTCTCGGCCACTGCTAGATTTATAGACTTGTAAATTTGACTTTCCATGAAGGCAGTATGGTAGTCGGGAAGTGAAGACGGCAGGTAAAGCATCAGGGGGGAATATCACAGCCGTGAACAAAAGTTCAGTCGAGTCTACCAGAGGCGTAACCCCTGAAATCACCTGGACCGTTGCTGTGGGGCGACATCGTGATCTGGAATGATGGCTTTCGCAGTGGTGATCGAGAATCTGGTGATGCTTGGAAGTGCAAGTATATGAGTAGAGAACAATCTTCGTGCTAGCTATCGTGGAGGCGATTGTACTTTGTTMGCACAGAGGGCGACTTCGCTGGTTAGACGTGCGGGACGCTAAGAAACTTCGTCCGACAGTCTGCGTGTAAGGTATAGGTAGATAACATCTTGAGCTTGATCGTTGGCGATTTAATCATGGCTGAGAGATAAGTTCAGAGGTTAAAATACCACTTACAGCAGTTTGTTCCTTGTTGAGTTCAAAATCAAGGTCAAATGGAACTCGGGGTGAGATTTACCCCTGACTCTCCCATATTCATACACCCGGATGGATTGGACCACATCGACTRCTTTCCAAGTGTCACCAATTCCTAATAATTTTTTCGAGAGATTTCGTTCGACGCATGAGTGGGAGATGATCCAGCATATAGCACTTCACCACTAAATAAAGCTCATTACATTTCGAACAGATGCAGACCGTGAAGTCTTCAGCATCATCATGTTTCCAGTCCCGTGCGTGGATATGCAATCAAATCACCATACGATCAAGATGCAAGTCGACTCCAATGGCCAGACTGATGATCTTGAATTGAGCAGTTTTATTGCCTGCGGAAAGGCTATCGACAAGACTGCTTTCAGTCGCAGGAAGGGACTCGCAGGAGAAGAGCAGTGCGACGTCTGGTATCGTACTCTCTTACTAGGTGATCCATACAGTCGCCTAATGGGACTTATACTGGTGCTATCGCCGTCGCCGCCAAATTACGGCGGAAATTGCCTTCGAGTAGCATTTGGTCGACCAGATGAAGCGTCGTCCCCACCCACCTTGAGACGAATGGGCTGAAGATGGAGATTGTAAGCTCCACCTTCACTGTGGTCTTCATGGATCGGATTCTCCGTCCGACAGCAACGTTCGAATTGAAGCTCGCTCTCATTCACTCGAGCATCATTCTCCGCCAAAGGGAAAGCTCATGTCTTGATATTGTCCCTGAGGTCCACAGCTTGACAAGGTGTGGAGCTGGCGAGGTCGATTGCAAGCAGGTAGGGAGGTGTGTGTTTGTGGACAGCGAGCGGCATCGGTGTACTACTAGAAGTGCTCACTTTAGGCTGAAGATATGAGACGGGCCCTGGCATGCATTCTCCATAGTAACTACCTAGACCCTCCGAAGCTGAAGATGCTCAAGCGATGGGTAGGTCGTTTGCTGGACATATCGAAGAGGCTCGCACAGAATCTACGGGATATTTCTCTTCGAGATGATTGGGTTCGAGTCCATCGTGTACTCCGATGGAATGCCACCAGGCTCATTGAACTCGTCCAAAGTCCTACTTTAGTCCTGTCCGAATCATTTTGAAGGTAATTCCCTCTACTCTGATGGGTCCACATCCCATCGATGACATATTTGATGCGGCTGTGCTTCAACGGCGCATTCACCACCGCATTGGTAGACGGGGGCACTGAAACCGTCGCGCTCTTGCAGCTCGAATGAAGGCCGCTGCACGCCTGCTGTCATCACTTTCACCGCCACCGCCGCCCGCAGCTCGCTTTCCGCGCCGTCATCGCGCGGAAACCTTAACCTCAACCTCAACCTCAACCTCACTCTCACAAACCACCACCTCCAGTACACCATAACTTCGACTACCTCTTTAGCTCGTCATTCAAGACAACACCAACAATGCCTTGTGCCGATCACACCCAGCAGGTTGACAACCGTCTCTCATCCACCGAGGAAATGGTCGGCGGCAGTGTCAGCAGTGGCGGCCAGAACGGCGGCAACACCGACGGCGACAGCATCATCGCCAAGGTTGCCGACACCGACAGCGAGGCTCTCACCGACAGCAAGGCTCTCACCGACAGCAAGGCTCTCACCGACAGCAAGGCTCTCACCGACAGCAAGGCTCTCACCGACAGCAAGGCTNTCTCACCGACAGCAAGGCTCTCACCGACAGCAAGGCTCTCACCGACAGCAAGGCTCTCACCGACAGCAAGGCTCTCACCGACAGCAAGGCTCTCAACGCCATGACTGCCAACTCCTCCACCGCCGGCATCATGAGCACAGTGGCCAGTCAGATTTTCACTCTCCCAGAGATTCTCGAGAATATCCTGCTTGGTCTCCCGGTTCTGGACCTCCTCTTAGCTCAGCGAGTCGATAAGACCTTCCATGGCGTCATCAACTCGTCCATTCACATCAAGCGCGCTCTGTTCTTTGAGACGCGGGTGCAGGCTCAACGCGAGAAGGATGCGAACACGCCACCTAAGATCAATCCACTGCTAAGCAAGATGCTGCCCAAGGACATGTCCAAATGTCTTGTCGATTTCACTGGAGAGCTTGACAAAAACCGTGAAGAGGCGTTGCAAAAAGTGCGCGATGCCCGCGCGATGCCGCTTCACATCCGCCAAGCCTCTTTGCCTATGGTATTCAATACGCTCACTTGTAAGGAAATGGACCTTCTCCACTGCTTGTGGCTACCTGGTAGACTCGTGGCCGTCGCCGACACGAAATTTCATCTTCATCTCCCGTACATTTACGAAGCTCTGCTCCCACAGACACGGCAGCCCATGCCTGTGAATGAAGTCGAGTCTTACGAAAAAGCATCTTGGCGCAGGATGTATCCAACGAATGTTCCCGTCGAGATTCATGGACTCCGGAACACAATTTTCTGCAATGGTCTCAATGGTGTCCTCGTACATGCCGAGCGTCCACCATGGGGAAACATGGATTTTCTTTTTGATCAACTTCACATACGACATTAAGCTCCATGTCTTCGGCGTGATTCCGGGGGGAATGGTGAGCTGGGTAATGTGAAAATGTCATGGTCTGTGTTGATACCACGGAGAGCTCATGTCCAAGGTAATCTGTAAGGGAGCGGCATCGATTGGAATGGATCGTGCCAGTCAACACTGTACTGACAATGACATCATGAGTACTCCATATCAAAACATTGCGTTTTTCAGGCGTATACCGGCTGCAGCTTCCCACACATTCTATGCATGACTCTTTCTGGCAGCGTCGCCTGATATACCATTTCCAACCACTCTCCCACGACCCCTCTTGTCTTGGCGGGATCAATGATTTCCTCGACACTGAAATGATTCGCCGTCCGGACTGGGTTCATCAGACGTCGATACATGACTTCCAATTCCTTGTATCTCTTCTTCATCGCCTCCTCGCCGTGTTCCTTCGCAATCGAACGCAACTCGTGCGAATGACCAACTTCAATCCCTCCATCCAGAGGTAAGCTTCCCCACTCTCCACTCGGCCATGCAACACGGGTATTTGGCTCCCTGCAATCCACCATGACCCCTCCCGCGACACCATATGCTTTTCGTAAAATGACGCTGAAGATTGGAATGGTGGTGGTGTAGTATGCCTTTGTGAGCTCCACTCCCCATCTCATCGTCGCAGTGCGTTCGGCAACCGTCCCAACTGCATAGCCCGGGACGTCCACAAACTGCAGAATCGGGAGATTGAAGACGTCGCAGAATTTGAGATGTCTCGTCAACTTCTGAGATCCTGCGGCATCGATCGCTCCGGATAGGACTTCTGGGCTGTTGGAGAGAATCCCGACAGGTCTGCCGCCTAACCTCGCGAGTCCTACAATCGCCGTTCGTCCCCAAAGGCTGCCGATTTCAAAGAACGAGTCCTTGTCCACGACCGTGTTGATGATTCTTCTTGGATCATAGGTTCTCTCCCTTTTCCTCGGTATCACAGTCCTCAGCTCCGGCGACACCCTCCTCACAGAGTCTTGACATTCCACAATTGGCGGTATCGCACCACCCCAATTTGGCAAATATCCCAAGACCGTCCTCAACTGCTCAAAACATCCTTCCTCATCAGCAGCCAGATTATCAATCGTACCATTCGTACAATGCATACCCGGCCCACCCAAATCCGTAAAACTCAACCCTTCCTCAAAAGTCGCAGTCTTAACCACATTCGGCCCCGCATTAAACAAACTCCCAATATCCCCCGCCATGACACTAAAATGACAACTCACAACCCTCGCAGCTCCCAGACCAATCGCAGGACCCAAAACCGCCCCGAGGTTCGGAATCCCCATATTCAACTGCTTCTGCACGACATCAAACCCTTGCATGGGAGGCACATAGGAGAATCCCATCTTCTCAATACTAGAAACTGATCCGCCACCAGAAGATCCATCCGTGAGTTTAATCATGGGAAGTTTCAATTCAATGGCCAATTTCTCGGTATATAACGTCTTGGCCATGAGATGACCATCCTGATGACCCGCTCGAATACTAAAATCATCGGCCGTGAAGAGAATTTTCCTCCCGTGGAGTTTCCCGAAACCTTGGACATTGTTATGTGGAAGGAAGGATTCCGGTTCTTCACGTTCGCCTCCCAGGGATTTCCAGGTGACGGTTCCTGTCAGACCGCCGATTTCTTTGAAGGAGTCTGCGTCGAGGAGACGGGTTATGCGGTCTCGAACCCAGAGTTTGCCGGCTTTACGTTGGGAGACGAAGCCTCTTCGGGTGTTGTCGGGGGTGTTTGCTAGTTTGCGGAGAGTGGAGAGTTGGGAGAGTATGTCGCTGTAGTCTGCTGGGAGTTCGTCTTTCTTCTCTTTTCGACGGCGACGAGAAGGCGGAGAGGATGTGTCATTTTGAGGGGAAAGATGGTTGGAAAGCTGTGTTGCTCTTTCGGTTGCCTTTTGGGATTGGGATTGGGATTGAGAATGGGACTTTGTCTTGGGATCTTCTGGGCTGCTCATGATGAATGCCTGCTTGTAGATTTCATGCAGATTCTGCACATTCTTGAGCGATGGTTAACTACATGTTAAGGTACTCCTCAATTGGGACCGACCTGACGTTGGATGCTTGCCGAGGTTGTTCCCAGACTGGCTAGCCTCCAATTGAGGAGGCCATCAGGTAAGCTCACACTTCTTTTCCATCCACAGACAACACATTCACGTCAAGACGAAGTATTGTCTGAGATTGTAATCTCTCTCCTCATGTACATATGACTGGGAGGTCAAGATAACGCGCTGGTCGCCTTGAATCCTCCTCGGGACCATCAAGCCGATGTCGGCTCATATCAGCATCCCTCTCAGCTTACTCGAGCATCAACTCCACCTCACCAGCATGTTCAACAACTTCTCCTCCGAAGCCGCAAGTAAAGTCCACAGATGGATGCTGGTAGAGAGTACTGTATGCCCATGAGGGGAGCAATCAAATCCCAGTCGAATGCATGATCCCAGAAAGAGCTCACGACTTTCCCCGCTCCCCAAATCTCACTCATCAAGCTCAAAGACCTATTCTCTCCTCTTCTCTTGATTATTCCCCTTCTCTTCAACCTCTTCCCACAAAGATCAAACCAGAAAAGAAAGGAAAAGAAACATGTCAAAACCAAAAGTCTTCGTCCTAAACCCCTACCACCCAGAAGCAATCGCACTTCTCCAACAATCCCCAGAAATCGACTGCGTCCTCCCCGACGACGCGAACATCTCAAATTGGCACGACCAAGCCCACGGGATCCTCATCCGCTCAGACACAAAAATCACATCCTCAGACATCTCCCATGCCCCAAACCTCAAAGTAATCGTAAAACAAGGAGTAGGAGTCGACAACATCGACCTCTCAGCCGCCAAAGAACACGGCATAATAGTCTGCAACACCCCAGCCATGAACAGCGAAACAGTAGCCGAACTCACCCTCACCCTAGCCCTCTGCATCGCGCGAAGAATTCAAGAAATCGATCGAAAACTCCTCCGGGGCAAAAAATTGATCCGTTCAAACCTCCTCGGACAATCCCTCCATGGGAAAACTCTTGGAATAATCGGAATGGGAAATATCGGGAAACAAGTCGCGAGAAAGTGGATTGGAGCTATGGAAGGGAAGATTCTCGCTTATGATCCCATGCTTCCTAATGGTGCGTGGGGAGACATCGAGCATAGAAGAATCGTAGATTTGGATGAATTGTTAAAGTGTGCGGATGTGGTAACACTACATGTTCCCCTAACGGATACAACCCGCGGAATGATAGGAAAGCGAGAATTCAATCTGATGAGAAAGAACGCGATTTTTTTAAATTGTGCTCGGGGAGGATTAGTCGATGAGGAAGCTTTATTGGAAGCATTGGAAGAGGATAAGATTTTTGGCGCGGCGTTGGATGCGTTGGAGATTGAACCCCCGACGTTAAAGGCTTATAATCAATTGCTTGCTTGTGAGAATTTTGTTCTTACGCCACATGTTGGTGCTACGACGGATGAGAATCAGAGGGCGAGTGGGATGGTGGCTGTGGAGACTTTATTGGCTGTGTTGGTTAATGGGGAAGAGGTTACGAATCGTTTGGTGTGAAAGGAATGCTGGAGTCGAGGAAAAAATGTCATTTGCTGATCTCGCTTCTCGCTCAAAGAGCATTAAGGATTACAATTCATTTGGTATCTCATGTCGTCTCATCATTAAACTCCCCTCCCCTCCCAAAAAAAAACAAACATCCTCATACATCAAGACAAGAGCCGAATACCATCAGCAATAGCCTGCCTCGTCCCCCGTCCCACAAACGTCCCCTGCAAAACCAAAAGTCGCACAGTATGAAGATGTGATTTGGACTTAGCAACCTCCAAAGGCGTCTCACCATTTAAATTCCGCACTTCCAACTCAGCACCATTCGCCAATAATGTCTGCGTAATCTCCACATGTCCTCGTCGACATGCAATGTGCAAGGGGGTGTCGAGGTTGGTGGTTTGGACATTTACGTCGGCTCCATTGCGGATTTCTCGAAGGACCATGTCTTTGCGATTGTGTCGGCTTGCGATGTGGAGGAGTGCTTCGCCTCGACCTTTTGGGAGGGTGTCGATGACTGTGTACTGATTAGCTGATTGGTGCTTCTCATTGAAGGTGGAGATGTGACTAACCTGATGATCTATTCGAGCGATCGGACTGTCCACTATGGCATGAATCTTTCCGTCGAGGTGTAGTGTCGGGTGGATGTTGCGAACTCGTATGATCGTGGCCGTCGAGCCATTCAGTGTGCTGCACGTAATCCGTATCATGTCTCCGATGAGAGCGAGCAGCTACGCCAGCTTGTAATGCGATTCCTAAATGTGATCCCATCGTCTTTTTTTGTTGTGTTGTTGATGTTGTTGTTGTTGTTGTTGTTGTTGAGCCGAAGAGCGCATCGCTTTACCTTTAAGAGTATAGATTTCGTTTGCCTGGCATGGATTGTTAAAAGTAAGACAGCGATGGTAGGTTGGAAGGGAAGATGCGTAGATTTTTCGAGTTGGGCATATCTTCGCCCCCCATGGGTGTGCTTGTCAGTGGTGTTTCATGAATCGTATGCCATGGTCAGGGTCCGGCGGTGATCCCTCCGGTTGCTCATTTTCCGTCACTACTTCTCCAGTAAAGAGCTTGCTAAGTCAGTCATGCCACATGATATGATTTTTCCTGGGTCTCGCTCTTCGATCATCCTGTCTTCGAGTTCCCTGGATTATTCAATCAGGTGCGTGTGACGCATCACAGATATCGCCGTACACAGTCCATGCTGATACCTCTTCTCTCCTCGATGATGATTAGGTCTCCCAGCGGATTACCTTCGCGAGTCGTTGATATTGCCATATCATTGCAAGTACCACCACCGCGAGCAATGAAGTGCCTAAATTTATCATAAACTGTCAAACATGCAGAACGGTCAAGCAACGGTCATCAGTTTGCAGGGTCGCCAAGAGGTTCTTCTCGCCCAACCTCGCCTACGACCCGGCGTGACTCGTTGGCGACAGGAACACCGCCATATGATGTCAAAATAGACGCATATATATCCGCCAAAGCCTATCAGAGCGCAAGAATGGCGCCATCAGCCTTGTTACAGAGAAGCGAGTCAGCGACCATGTTTGATCGGCAGATCGGCGTTCCACAATGCGTGGCAGATACTCGTGTCGTGCAACTGTTGGCGGGATCTCAACAATGTCTGCTTAATGGTATAACGGAAGTAGTCTAGAGTTGGATCAGGCGACTGCATCGAAAACGCAACCTGACTAAGCGGATTGCGAAACATAGTCCTGAAAGACACACATTAGCAGAGTGAGACATCTGAGCATCCGAAGATCCTCCCAATGCTGTCGTGATCAACTTCTTTTTGGTAGCTTCTCGTACATTTCGGTACATTGCGGAGAAGATGCAAAGTCTAGACCTTTTATTTTTCTTCGTCGTGGCTAATGCAACGTGAGATTTTCCTCGTTGAGCGTGCCAAAGAGCGTCTCAATCTCTGCAGTCACTGATAATATGTCCTCCGCAAGCTGTCCAGTAACCAGAACATATGCATACAGCATTTCGTAATCCTGCTCGGTGGTGAGCTCCTTGCCGTCCTGTGTTCCTCGAAAGTCGGATATTTTTGCGAGCAGTCTGTCGCGACTGTCTTCGATGTTGGGCAGCACGTCGGCGATAGGATACTCCAACTTGATGCTGCTGGCGAGCACAGTGAAGAGATGACTGATTCTCGCCGAAAGAGCGAAACGCTCAGGTCTCGTGTACCTCAACACGGCAGCCTCGCCCGCTGTATAGTGAAGGTTTTTCGAAATGACCACGTTCATCGCATGAAAGGCATCGAGCATTTGTCCAGCACTGTCCAGCATCCGTCCGACACTCTTGACAGGGAACGGGCCACTGAGCTCGAACTCAGAAGCCGCCGCTTTGAGCAGGCCTCGTAGACTAGCCAAGAAAGTTTGGAGCTCAGACTCTTCGCGGATGTCCATGTAGGTAGTTTGCGGTTCTCCCAGCAGAAACATGGCAAGCGGGTCGCGCTTCCAGACAAGGCCCATGCGTAGCCAGAGCACACAGAGACCTGCTCTGAGCTTACTTCGGGCAGAGATTGGGGCAATCCATCGGCAGACGATTATCGCCCATAATGTTCCCACAATCACACTAACGACACGATGGAGTACAATTTCCCATATCGCGGGATCGATGCCTCCTTCGTCGTCGTCATTATCATCGTCGTGTATAGACAAGCTGTAAGAATAGAGTGCGCTCAGGTTGTAGGTCAGAACGATGAAACGTCCCATCGKCCCATCACCTTTTGCCACGATAATGTAGAAGCAGCCTACAAAATGTTAGACTCGTTGTCTCCAATCTCCAGACGAGAAGTACATACCGATAGACATGAGCCAGCCAAAGAACGCCAATAGGTATGGATTTGCTACTCCGTGATCATTGGCTATGAGCCAAGCCACAACAGCGCAGCATGCACCGATGAATGTTCCAAAGACACGGTTGAATCCCTGGAAATTCTAGTCAGCCGACTACCCAGACTCCTGCACACGGCAGTCACTCACAGTTGTGTTGGAAGCTCCGACAGTCATACAGCACACCACCATGTACGAGACCAGTCCCCACTCGCCGCGCCAACGGAGGAAGAACGGTCTCGTCTCTGCTAAAAATGCAGGTAGAGCGTAAAATGCAGCTCCAAATCCGACTTTGATGGCAAATCTAGTGTCATCCCGACGTAGAAATCGGGAGGCTTTGTAGATTGTATAGTACCAGGGCTTCCCATGCGGCGCCTTCTCTGGATCGGCGAAATTGTCCGCTTTCCTAATGGGAGAGGGAATGTTGTACCGATCAACCGTGTCCTCGTTACGATCTACAAAGGTGTTGTGTCGCTTCAAACTTGGACCGAGATTTTTCGGCCGCTTCTTCCAAAACGCGAGCCAGTTCCAGGACTTTGTCGGGGCCTCCGTCTCAGCTTTGAGGTCGTCGAGAACGTTGAGGTACGTCAAAACATCCTCAGCGAAATCCAGCAAGGAGAATGAAAAATGCCCACAACATGCCGATACTTCTTCAATATCTGCGATGACCTCATTGGGCTGTCGATCGAACAGAGTCTTTGAGCGTCTCATTTGATATCTTTCTCCTGCGGGTGGGCCATCGCTGGATGTTGACGAGTCTATACTCGCGAAACTGCTGTTCATGCCATATCGGGCAGTCAAAGCCGCGTTGATGGCGCGATTTTGGTACAAAGCACCGAGCGCTTCCTTTCGTGACCGTCGATAAAGTTCGACTGCTTGCTTCAGACTGGTGTGGAAACGCTCAGTCACAGCCACCTGTGCCTCCCGTGCCACCCACGGATTCCTGCTTTTCGCTGCAGTCTGGAATGGTAACTCGTCAAGCACCTGCTTCAGTGTATAGACGAGCGATTTGGTGGGAGGACCCAGCTGACTGATGAATGATTGAAACATGTCCCCGGGACTCTTTGCAATGTTAGGCCCTCCAATGTTGTCGCGCGCTTCGGGAGACCCTGGCTCAGTCGCGCTTTGTGTAGAATAGGGCGTCTCCCAACCAAAAGGAGAGGCAAAGTCCACACTTTCGGTCCTCTTCGGAGCATTGTCAGCCCTGCGCGGTCGTTCCTGGGAGCGAGGCCGGCCATTTGTAGACAGGACTGGTATCTCAGGAGACTCGGAGATGACGTCCAGGCTACTGAAGTAGTGTGGCTCCTGAGCGGCCGAGTCTATCGGAGAGGAAGTCAACACACTCTTTGATGCATCAGCAATGGGCGTCGCATCCTCGTCGAAGGAGTGCGGTTGGTTGATGAATGCGAACTGAGCTCGAGCTGCACTTCTCAGGCCACCCAAATCCTGACCAAGAGTGGCGAGGCATTGCACAAGACGCTTCTCCACGCGATAGATCCTTTCGTCGCCAAGAACAAAATGCTCTCGTTTCGCTTCGATCAGATTCTTCTTCACAGCCTCGAGGGACACCGCGTGATCTTTGTTGAGCCTCTTGTAGTAGTCGTCCTCCAGATCAGCCTCTCGCCCATGCAGAAACGCTCGAGTGATGGATATTAGCTTCTCCCCAAGCAGATCTGTATTCTTTTCAATTTCCTTTGAAAGCTTCTTCCGCGCCAGCGTGGGGAGAATGAGGAAGTTGACCAGTGAGGCAATGAGCATACCAAGAATGATCATGCCCAGCACCTGGGTGATCCTTCGTGTGGAGAATTCTCCTGCTTGAACTGATCCCTCGCGGATCAATATAGTGATGCAACCTAGGGAGGCCAGAGACGTTGCGACGTTGACGAGAGGATTGGCCAGTCGCACTTTGACCCAGGCCATGAAACCAAAGCCTCCAGCGACAAAAACTACCAGAACGATGGCATGCCCTACAAGGAGCAAATCATACCGCGCGAAAAGTATAGACACGCCCATGCTGCCAAAAGAGATGAGAGCAGCATAGCAGAAAGCTACAAGGGAAAGTACTGTTGCTTCGTGCATGCTGCCGATTGTTCCTGTGGGGAGGAGAAATCAGCGGTCATCTCATATCGCAACGGAATAAACTTACGAGCCGCATGAAAATACACTGTAACAGTAGCAACCATATGCTTGGAGTCCTGCCCACTGCCAAAGAACCTCGAAATTGCCGGCACAAGAGTAGCCATGCTGCCGAGAAGATATGCAATGGAACATTTGAAGATGCCCTGCCCGGTGGGCGAGCAGGCAAAGGTCCAAAATTGCTCCAGTTGGGTTCGACACCATAGTAAGATCAGAAGGAGATTTGATTTTGGCTCCGAATTCCCGTCGGAGTTCTCGGTCCTGTCCCGCAGGAGAGGAGTCCTCTCGTTGAGCCGATTCGAAGCATCGCGGAGAGTGAATTGTCGTTTGGAAACTTCGCCAGTCTGGGGTAGAATCCACGTGGCGCGTCGAAGCTAGATGGAAAGGGACATGGTTAGTAACGTTGCTGCGACTAYTGGATGATTCGGCGGCTGGGTCCCAAGATGTGAGGCATTCGAATATGTTCGAACATAAGGTATGGAGAGAGCTCACCTTTCTTGTGAACCTAGTCTCCCTGGTCTGTGAGCGCGAAGCCGACGACGCGTTGCTCGCCATCACTCTACGCAGGCCACTCGGCCGCACTCCATGGAATGAGCGGTGGGATATCAATAAATCAGGATTGGATTGAAGTCAAGGCAGAAAAGACGAAGGAAGWCGAAAGGCTGACGTTTACTGGTCTTGTCTTGCATGGATGCGAGGTGGCGGCCCACGCGACTTGGCTGCAGATCCTCCGCTTGCCAAGGAATGAACACATAGGTAGGATGACATGGACATGACATGATGCGTGGTACACTATTCTACATCGACTGAACGATTGGCATACATTGTCTCGATCAACGATATGGATTCCGAGGTATAATGCTGCGTCTGTGTCACTCCACACATTTAAATCGTGGAAACGAACAGCACAATACTGACTTCTTCAGCCAATGTCTCTTCGTTCCCCTCCGCTCGCTTAGCACCATGCTAGTTAGTGACCATATACTTTTTCCAGCCAGAATCCCATTTCCAGGAACGCCCGCCCTCCAACAACACACCTCCCATCAACACTTGCCACCATGGTACTTACTCTTCCCATCGACAAGCCCACGAACAAAGACCTCCGCTTTCTTGCTAGCACCCTGGAATAATCCCATCTTCATGTCCAACTCAAAGTCATCGAGTGCCTTTTGCAGACTTCGTGTTGCAGGTGAATCCACTTCCTTGTCGGGAGGATTGGCTCCCAGCGGACTGGGGAGTAGACCAGAAGATCGCCTCTTCCGGCGCTTGACGCTATCCAACAATTCATCCATGGATACTCGCCTGGTCTCGCTCTCGGTATTACCTTTCTGCGATTGGGACGGAGCTGTACTGAGCGGTTCGAGGTAGTCCGGCGATGCGGGATCCACAATCGACTCTTCGACGAGCAGAATCTCGTCGAAAGTGGTTGGAATCGCCGGCTCTGTATCTTTCTCTGGTTGTGCGGCAGGCGGCGGACTGGATGGTACAACCAAGGTGGGCTTCACAGGCGTGTGAACTCCATACTGCTTTCCCCAACGACACTCTGATGGGTAATCGCACCTTTCGCTGCAATTCTTCTTCCCGAAATCTTTTGTTGGCTTGAGTGATTGCAACCATCGGCCATTCAGCCACTGACCTTCGCTTGGGACGGTAGGAGAGTGGAGACCTTGACTCTCGGCCTCTGTCGCAAGTTGCAAATCAGCCGCTTCGATTTGTTCGGCCAAAGCCCTCCGCCAAACGCCCCATGCCTTCCATCCCTGATAGTCGAACTCGCTGGCACACGCTTGATGGCGGATTGTCTTCTTGTAGCCGTTCTTCTTACTGCGTTTCACTACTGTCGTTCCCGCGCAGAACATGTGGCCGTCATCGAGACAGCGTCTTGTGACTGCAAGCTGGTACACTCGGTTACATTTGTGGCATTGCCAAAGCCAGCGCAGTGGATCGCATGGAGGAGGGACGAGCTGTGCGCTGGCTTTTAGTCTTGAACGATCGACTAGCCTTGCTTGTCGGTATGGACCTGCCGGTGGTGTGATTGGCAGCTTAGGTGAGAACGGCGTAGGAGGAATAGCCAGGTGCGATGACTTGTAAGGCGTCGGGGTGATTGTGAGCTGTCGACGCATGTTGCGTCTTGATATGAGTTCCTGTTCTGCGACGAAGGCCCGSTCCGTGGATGCTCGTGTTCTCCTTGGATGAACTCCACTTCAGAAGGCGTGTACAAAGGACGGACACAGTCCGGTCGCGAGCAAATGAAATCGGGGTAGGGACTGAAAGTCGGGTGATGGGAAGATGGGAAGATGAGAAAGTGTTTGGGCTGCAGAAGTGGGTGAGGTGATGGTAATTGCACAGAACGGTCACAATACGCATGCTGGCAATTTCACAGTCAAAGGTAACTCGCTGTCTTGTGTCAGCCTCTTTGTCTTGCCCACTTTTACTGACCCTTTGTGCTTCACTTGCGAGTGGATCTTGGCCGCATTGGGTATTTCTTCCTTTGTCTCATAAAAATTACGGCCAATGTGAAGCTCGAACATTGACAACTTTTTGGTGAAATGGGTCCGCCTGTCCACTCCAGTTCGAGATGTGTCTCGCTATTGTACCACAGTCGCAAAAAATCGCGATATGCCGTCGTGAATTGGCAGTGAATCGATGTGAATCGCGGACTCTTCATGTTTCAATTACTGAGCTGCACCGGTGATACCTTCTCCGATGATGCCCTCGATGCGAAATCCTAGATGGAACATTGTGTTGAAGTCATGCGCCCGACCAAGCGTCGGATACGATCAATCAACCACAACTCTCAAAGCTTGTAACATCAGTCCAAATATGAGACCCCGACTGATCTCAGGCACCTGTAGACAGTCAAACACCTTGCCGAGCGCTTCGCCGCTTGCCGCAGCACCCATAACACTCGTGAGTGCTTGCGGCATGCCCTTGGTGACTAGCAGCCGGCGTGCTTTGATCCGAAGCTCTTCCTTCTGCTCTGCAGTCTTTTCGGGATAATCTCTTGTCCACGCCTTCAGCTCTTCCTCGGTCGGCAGAGCATTTTCCCTCATCTTGTAGACCTGATGAGCAATACCAGAATCACTCAGATTGGCGTCAAGAAGCGACGACTGGAGCAAGTCTCTAATTGATGACAATTGCGGGTTCCCTGGACGGAGCAGGAAAGTCTTTGCAGCAGTGAGCAGAGTGCGACGAATCTGCCAGGCACCAGAGAGTGTATAGAGCTCTGAGATGGTAGCAAACATGAGCTCCACCGCAGCCGACGTCTCGCGTTCACTGAGCGGCGCTTTACGTTTGGGATTGGACGCGTGTGAGGACGTGTCCGTCTCTGGCTCGGTTGAATGTGTTGGTCGCTCTGATTCGAAAGACTGTGCAATGCGCTGGTCAAGGTTTGTGGAGCGAAATGTATCGATGCTTCCGCGACTAGGAGACGCAGGACCGCTATAATCCGCTGGCATTTCTGAAGGTGGAGGCGGAAGATTGATCGTCTCGGAGATGGAGAGGTCGCTCGAAGGGAGCTGCGTTGTTGAGTTCCGTGGCGAGGCCTCGACGGGCATCACTGGTTCTCTCTGGCTCACAATACTCCCTGGTCTACTGACTGAAGGACTCTGCTTCGATCTGGCATCGAAACTGCTAGTGGTTGCTCCGCTGCTCCGCCTCATAGAGGCCGGCGGGGGAGGCGCACTGACAGGCTCGTCATTCTCACCAGTGTCGCCCAAAGTTCCAAGGTAGCTGTCGGTCATGAAGGACTGCCCGAAAGGGTTGTTCTGCCTTTGGGGAGTCACAGGTGAGTCGCCTGTAGGATTTGAGACGCTCCTCGACAAACTGGTCTGCGATTGGTTCGCTTTCTTCCCTGTGCCACCAACGAGACCAGCGCCGCCAACGAGACCAGCGACACCGCCAAACACTGCCTTTCCGCCCCCCGCAACTTGCTTTGGCGCTTTGGTAAGCACGTTCATCATATCGCCGCCAAGCTTCCCAAAGGCGTCGGGCGTAGGCCAGCCAAACCCCTTTGCTGCTGTACTAGGGGACTTGCTAAGGCCCTGATCCTTTTCCAAAAACCGTTTCATACCCTCGCTCTCTGCCAACGGCTGGTATCGAACCGCATCTGTCAAGTAGCGCTCAAGGTCCGCACGCAGATTGGCTTTCGTATTGCCTCTCCACTTCGGAAGCTCCGCGTGCGCCTCAGTGAACCGAACTCCTGTAATGACAGAAATTCGCCTGAGAACCTCATGGAGCGTTTCAAAGTCCACATACTTTCGCGCGATCATCCATCCTGGAAAGACTGAATTCGCTGGTTCGATCTGGATGAGATATTCTATAGTCGGTTTGGCTTTATTGATCGTTCGCTCGCCGGGGACACTGTCGTCGAATATTGATATGTTTGCATTATGCAGCGTCAGGGCTATCGTCTGAGGACGGGGCTTCGTCGCGCTGTCCGCTCGAACAATCGGTGGTCTCTGGGGTACAAGCTGGTCAAAGCTTGTAAACTGATTGCTCTCGATTGCGGGGACGGACTCCTCAGCGAACGGGCTTGCMGGTGCTGAAGCGTCTCCCGATTTCCGCTCTCGGTCGCTCTGACTGGATGTCGGCGTGGGTACGCCCTGTGTGGCACTGTCGGATGCATCCTCTACATTTGGCTGAACATCCCGTGGATTGTTTTCTTCTTGCGCTTTCCGCCTGTCTTCTTCAATCATAAGTTGCGTGAGTCTTTGCGCCTCCTTCRTAGCCTCATCCATGGCTTCTTCTGCTCGGCTTATCTTCCGTTTATGTGCCGAGGCAGCTTCTTGCTCCTTGCTTTCTTTTTTGCTCTTGACTTCGTATCGTTCAGTCGTTGATGCTGCCTTGGGTCGACCTTCCACCCCAGCGTCCACCATGTTCATAACTTCTTTCGTGGTCTCGGACTCTTCCAGTCCGTAGACGATCCACTCGTTGATCCATTCTGGTCTCGAGCATAGTGTAACGGTCGATCCCAGAACAAGTTGGGCCATGACCTGCTTCAGGAATGCATGCGCTGGAAGGCAATTGTACGATTTAGGATCGAGATATGCCTGAATGATGTCTTCGGCGGACTCTCCGAGCTTTGATTTCTGTGCGTTCTGGTCCACCATGTAGGAGAGGCTGCAGTCCGGCTTCAGTCTCAGGTATTCGGTGATGGCTTCCTGTGCAGTACTGTTTGGAGAAGCGTTGAGTGCGAGCGAGAGCTCGCTGAGCAGAACGATGAGTATTGAACTGGCGTTGGTCACGAAGTCGAGAAAGGCGTCGGCAGGACGCTTCTGTTGCAAATGTCCGGAGAAGGACAACACAAACGCTGTAAAGGTCCTCCGACATGCTACTGGGAAGGTTTCCTCGCCCGGAAGCGTCGCATCGTACCAGTAATGGACATAGTCTTTGATGACGGCGTCCGTAAAGGTGTCCAGAGCAGCAGCAGTTTCGGGTCCAAATGATGAATAGTCCAATGCCTGGTTGGCGAGGATCTTCACAACATCTGCCTGATCGTCAACTGTTCTGCTGTCGCTCCTCCAATCCAGCAGTCTCCTGGCGACCTCAATTCCAGCCTCGCGCTTCTTCTCCTTCTCCGCCATCTTGATCGCGTCATCCCGGTCGTCGCTTCGGATACCGTCCCATGTCGCATGCAGTACGACGCCGCCCGCGACGCCAATAATGACCAATCCTACACGTCCAAGCAAGAAATATGTCGAGGCTCCCAACCCGACTAGACACGCTCCTAGGGTTTCGTTGCTGGCATGTGAAAGAAAGTGCAGCGCTCTGTCGGTGAGTAATTGCAACGGTGATGCGGAGGATGCTCCAGCTCCAGCTCCAGCTCCACCMGTTGCAGTTCCAGTTCCAGCAGTTCCGTCAGCGGGCGATGGGGCGAGCGTGTCCACCGTTTCCTCTCCATCGTTGACCGCGACTGGCAGCCTATTCGCCGCTTCGGATGCGACTGCCGGGGGTTTCGTGTCATCCATTCTCGCGTGAACTGCCTGTTACTGTCATTGCATTCCTGGCATAATTGAATGAATTGCGCGGCCGTGTCCAGTAAGGTAGTCCTCCTCTCKTGATGGAGGACGGAGTTGACACCGCGCCAGGGCGATCATTCGTAATCGTGTCGATTCCAATGTCAGGGCCCACTAAGCGGCCTCGCTAAGAAAAGCACTGGCATTTGTATATGCGGGGAGGAGTCAAAAGTTGAAGGTGCATTTCGAGTCACCAACACTCACGAAAGGATAAAACAGCAGCATCGGACTACCTTACCACCAACTATGGCAGACAATGGCGCACCTCTGGCGCAGACGGCGAGCGAAAAGCTTGACCTCATCAAAAGCAATCTTCAGGCGAGCATTGTCAATGCGAAATTGAACAAACACATCTAATTCATACTGCAGGAGGTGCTAAACCCGGAAATCATAGAAGAGGTCTTGAACAAGGGCGAGAGGCCGTTGAAGATCTACTGGGGAACTGCCWCTACCGGCAAACCACACTGTGGTTACTTCGTACCCATGCTGAAGATTGCCGAATTTCTTGCTGCTGGTTGTGAGGTCAAGATTCTGCTCGCCGACGTCCACGGATTCCTGGACAATCTCAAGGCTCCCATTGAGCTGGTCGAGGAGAGAGCAAAGTACTACCGTCATTGTATCACCGCTGCGCTCAAGGCCGTCAATGTCGACACCTCAAGGCTGATATTCGTGCTGGGATCCACCTACCAAACGACCGGCGACAGTGGCGCCAAGTACTTCATGGATCTTCTACGGCTGAGCACATCTGTCTCGGGTCATGACGCCACCAAGGCAGGCTCGGAGGTGGTGAAGCAGGTCGACAGCCCACCGCTTTCCTCGCAAATCTACCCGCTCATGCAGGCACTGGACGAGGAGTACCTTGGAGTGGACGCACAGTTCGGTGGTGTGGATCAGCGCAAGATCTTCACACTCGCAGTCGAAGCGCTGCCACGTATTGGAATGAAGAAGCGAGCTCATCTCATGAATCCTCTCATCCCGGGTCTCCAAGAGGGCGGCAAGATGAGCAGTTCGGATCCAAACTCGAAGATTGATTTGATTGATTCACCAGAAGTTGTCACGAAGAAGCTGAAGAGTGCCTTCTGCCCACCCAAGCAAGTGGATGGTAACGGAGTTCTCAGCTTCGTTCAGTACGTGCTCTTGCCCGCTTCAGCGTTGAAGAACAACGGCACACCCAAGTTCGTCGTCTCCAGGAGAGATGCCGAGCCGTTGGAGTATGCCACTATCGAAGAGATGCACAAGGATTACCTCGCAGATGTGCTACAACCACAGGCGTTGAAGCCAGCTGTTACAGCTGCCCTGCTCGAAATTCTTGCGCCCATCCGGGAAACATTCGAGGAGAGTAAGGAGTGGCAAGAAGTTGAACAAAAGGCGTACCCACCACCCCCGGCACCGGTAAAGAAGCCCAAAAAGGAGAAGAAACTTGGCACTCGCTTCCCTGGTGCCAAGCCAGCAGAGGGAGTTGAGGTGAAACCAGACGGCCATCTGGAGGGTCCTGGTGCGCAAGAGGCCAGTGTTGGGAAGAGTACTGAAGAAGCCATGAGCAAATTAAGTGTGGCCGAAGGCGACAAGGCATGAAAGGAGGAAATACGCTCGCAAGCATTCCATTCGAGCAGTCACATACGTCCCTAAAGTCTAGATGTGTACTCTGCCTTCTTCTCAGTACTCCCATTCTTTGATCTGTCGTAAAGTTCCTCAACCAAACGATGCCTCTGAACAGCATCGTCCCACGTAGCATATTCATGCTCTTTCCCATCTGCAAACGCCTCATACACTCTCGCCGGTGCTCGGGCTGTGAACGGAAGTTTCTTCTCATCCCAACTGTCCTGTGGAATATTAACCTCCTCCACTGAATTCGTCTCATGATTGTGCACCTGAACACTATGTCCAGGCCCACCAAAGTGAAGATTTGCAGAAGGAGCCGTAACCCGAATCTCCCCTGTCTCCCCATAGACACGCCAATCCAAACCAGCAGTGTTGGGATACGGATGGCCGCCTCGCATATGAAAAGAGAACACGGCTCCATTCTCAAGATGACCTTGGATCGCAATCTGGTCGTGAGATGTCCTCGGAACCTCACCCACAATCTTGACAGGCTCATCACTCTCACTCTTCTGGACGTAAGTAAACGGCTTATTCCGCAACATTGTCTTGTCCCGCATCGTATCCAGCACAACCGAATAAGACGACAACTCCCCAACGGCCTGCGTGACGGTGTCCAAGATATGTGAAAAGTGTATAGTCACCATGTTCCCGCCGATGGAAATGTCACTCAGATAAGACAGCGCCTCAAAGTCGGCCGCTCCGAAATTGTATCCAATAGCCGTGATGGTGATACTCAAGGGCTTCCCAATCTTGCCTTGTTGGATCAATTCCTTGACCAGTATACCTGTAGGCGCCTTGCGACCTTGCAGGCCTAGGATTGTCTTCATGCCTTTGCTCTTTGCAAGCTTGGTGAGCTCTTCAGCCTCAGCGAGGTTCTTCCCAAGCGGCCATTCGCAATGCACGGCTTTTGCTGTCGTCTTTTCGAGAATCGGCTTGAGGATAGGATAGTGCCGATCTACTCGGACGCTGCAAACTACCAACTCGATGTCGTTGTCTTCTGCGAATTTCTCCGGTGAGCCGTACGCTCTAGTGTCGGATGAGAGTCCATGAGATGAGATGGCTGCTCGAGCAGCGTCTTCAGAGCTGTTGAGGAGGGCTACGATGCGATATCTGGAAGTATCTTTGAGATATGGGAGGTGAGCATTCACCTTGAGATGGGAAAAGCATGTTTAGCYAGCTTGGTTTTGACTTTTTTGTGGCTATACTCACTGCCCAGCAGTCGCTTTTGTTTAGGCCGATCAAACCGACGCGAATGGGCTGGGAGGACATCTTGTTCAGTCGATGCTACAACGTCAATGCGATGTGAGAGAGTATTGCGTGGGATAAGGTAGGCGAAGATGGCGCGGCTTATAAGCTGTGAGCTGTGGATTTGATGTGGATTCTTCCCCTCACCTCATCCTCCTCCCTCCTCATCCTGACAAAGCCATGACGATTTCTCAGCATTACCTTGCGTTTTGTACCCCCAGCAGCGCGCTTGAATCGCCTGTCAGTCGCGTATCACTCGGAAAATGGCACGCGAACGCATTCTCTCGACCAGGCATGGCCATCCTGTCCTGAGTGAGAGAGGCCTGGGAGAACCTCCGAAAACCTCGCGATATCATCACTACCCGAGTATAGTCATCCAGGCAACTCTCTCAGCGCCCCTCGTGCACTGGTATCTGGCATCTCTTTTACCCCACCCAACAGTCCATTGCCCTCTCCAGCCATTTCGTTCCATCCATGTGACCCTTCGGCCTCCGCGGTCTGATACTGCGGCGCATGCGAGCCAATTTGCGTATACGTTGGCTCTACCTTTTCAGGATGGACATCTTTTGGTGTTTGAGAATCACTCGAAGAGCCTGCTGAGTGCTTCTGTGCCCGCCGTCGCCGCAGCATGAACCATGCCAAGAAGATGATGCCAGCAATAGCGGCGACACCCCCAACCGCTGCGCCTGCAATTGCTCCAGCTGAAATGGACTCTGACGAATTATTGCTAGCTGATGGTGTTGCAGTCGTGGAAGCTGATTCGGTGGCAGTCGATGAGCTTCTTTTGTCAGCGGCCTGCGAGGCCAGTGAAATGGCATCCACGGAGAAGGTGCTCGCTGCAGGATTCGCCGAGGAGAGGGAAGAGAACGTGTCGTTCAAAATCTCCTGGCCGACGCGAGTGATGGGGTTGGCCTGTGTTGCGATACACAACTCCGTCCGACCTTCAGCAAAGCACGGTTAGTTCTTTGATCGTCGCGAAAAAGCTTCCGAATCATTACCCGTCCTTTGCGTGCAGCGTTCGCTGTCTTGTAAACAACACCATGTCGATCCATCCGTATTGCACTGCTGTTGCGACGAAGATGGTCCATTGTCTGTGCCATTGCACGTCGCTGCGGATGCTTTGCAAGCGCCTGAACCGGCACCGGAACAGCAATAGTATTTGTTCACGACACCGTCGTACGCACACAGTGAGCCTGGCGCTTCACATTGAATATCTAGGCCTGGACATGTWTTGTTGCTAGAGTAAAAGAAACTGGTATATTCGGCAGAAGCGACCGCGACTAGTATCGGGGTCACAATGTTGTGGAAWCGCATTTCTTAACAAGGGCTGAGGAGCTTGGGGGTATGAGACTCTCTGAAAAACCAGCAAATATGGACGGTAAGCAGATAAAAGAATCACAAAAGGGCGAGTATGGCTGTTGGGTGCACTAAGGTATGCTCACTTCAGCCGCAGCAGCGTTCTGCCCTATAAGGCACTTGATCCTTCGCGCTTAAATATGCAGGAGTCGCTGTACTTGGTACGACTTGGTAACATGTGGTATCACAAGGCTGTATTGACTGCCGAATCTTCTCCGCCAAACACAATTCGTCGCTCCTTCTGTTGTGGAAACAGGCGGCTAAAGCTCGGCGTGGTGTCTGTATTTGTAAGTGAGTGAATATATGCCAGGGTCAGGGTTGGGGTAAGGAGCAATATCCCACCGACCCGATATTACGAGCTCCGTGACAATATCGAAGGTCACCCGCACCTTCATGGGAGTGTAAAATCGAGCTGTATAAACCTTGAGGCCCTGGGTGCACGCAAGAAATGGGCTCAGCGATTGTCGTCTCGAAGTATGAGTTACTCTCACGCCAGAACTCAGCGGACCACATGTCTCTACCTACAAGACACGTTCATGAGATCAACGGATCATTATTGCTCAATCTAGTCGTATGGAAACCTACCCCTTTCTTGACCAATGCACGCACATAACACGCAACTGAAAGTCATACTCGGCATTGGCATGGCATCACGGCGATTGAAAAGATCAGCCTTTTGGCTTGATTCTTGTTGCATGTTGATCCATAAATTCATTACTCATCCACTTCATAGCACTAAATACCAGCAATCAAAACCTTAACACCAGCCAGAATCTCCTGACCCGTAGGCAAAATCTGAGCAGGCGGCAAAACAAATCCATTCATACCCTTATCACGAAGCTCAAACACATACGCATACTCCCCCTTTGCAACATCAGTCACATAATCGCAGCTACTTCCCGTTGTAGGATACAGCGTAGAACCCGAAGGTCCAGTCGTAAATTCCGTTCCATAGACCGCTTTGATAGCAGCCGCTGCCTTCTCAGCTAGAGAGACCTGTGCGGGGCCGTTGGCTGGTTGCGAAGGGGTGTAGCCGTAGGGAGTAAGGAGGTATTGGCCGTAGGAGTGGAAATCGATGTATTGGGCAATGGGCTGTTTGCTTGCGACTGTCATGGTGTGGTTGACTAGTGCTTTGTTCTCGGGAGTGTCGCCTGCAGCGCGGCCCTTGAAAGTCTCTGCGCAGGGGTTCGTGCTTGCGCCGTTTGGATCTCCGGTCCATTGGTAGGGCCAGTTGCGGTTTACGTCTAGTTGAGGTCAGTTTGAGAAATTGCTTCTGGGGCAATGATAGACTTACCAGTCCCGATGCAGAGTTGACCCAAAAGACCTCTGTCCGGGGAGCGTTGCTTTCGCCACCTGGAATTGGTTAGGAGATATATTTTCGAGATGACGACAGGATACGTACATTCGATTGGTAGTCTGAGAGAATACAAATCCGTCAGGGTTGGCGAAGGGTAGGATGTAAAAGTCGTAGGTATCAAGCCAGATTCGGAAAGTGGCATCGTTTGCCTTGTAACCCCTGACCATCTCATATGCGAGATACTCGACAGTCATCGTAGTGATCCTACCCAACGTCAGTCAAATGGAAGCATTCAAACGTGGAAGACACATACCATTCACGAGCATGAACAGTCGAATGCCAAATGATCGCTTCCTTGGTAGATCCTGTATCGCGCCCAAAAAGCTTGTACCCAAACATCTCCCGGTTCTCATAAGATCGTCCAGCGACAAAACGCTCAGAGTTGGCGGGGAACGAGGCCGAGAGATCTCTCCAGAAAGTGATGTGTTCACTATACGGATGATAGCTGTTGAAGTATGTGTTGGAAGGCCCAGACTGCCTGCGGGTCACAGACTCATATGGCACCGATTGAGCCTCCGCCGCGATGTCTGCACCTAAATCTTCGTGCATTACGGTGTAGTTAAGAGCCAGTGCTTCGAAAGCGGGGACATTTTCTCTTGCAACGGATATGTCGATGTGATCCTGTAGTCTATCGTTCCATTGATCGTAGGGCAATGCGGAGAGGGCGCTCAGAATGGCGTCGGAGTCGCCATGAGTGTTGACATGGTATACCTTGTAGCCATCGTAGCTGATTGCTTCTTCACGTGAAAGCACAGCAGCAAAAGCTAGTGGAGCCAAGGAGAGAAGGCCGAATGATAACATGATTGATTGGCCAGTCGCTGCGATGGAGCGATGCTATAATCCCAGCTGAGAAGATCAAGGCGTACTTATAGATACTCACCTTCCACCTCGACTTAACAGTAGCATGTCAAAGCTAAGGCACTGACCTTCCCGAGGCAGTAGAAACGCCGATCTTCACTGGTGCGATAGCACATGGTTTCTTGTCYCCTGCTGAATGAAGCTTGGATCTGCAGCTAGACACTTACGCATGTTGGAGAAGCGTACGCCGTGTCAAATCAGGACTCGGAATCGGTTGCGTTTAGTTCGGGGCGATAGACTCGCACTTCACCTGCATGCGACCCTTGCATACATATTGTAGTCGCAGTCACCGCAGACAAATCCATGAGCTGGTTGGAGTCTTGGTTATAGCTCTCGTCTTGGCGCCGAGAAGAGCTTATGCCTGATTGAGAAGGTGTGAGCGCAGGAAGCTTTGATAGACAACCAGTCGGAAGCATGTATATTGGTGTGCAGCGGGTAAGTCGCATCCTACTTCATATTTTCAGACATGCCCTTCAATCATTTCGATAGTCGTGCTCCTAAACAATCAGCCCGACCACGTCTAGACCAGGGACAGATCTGGCTTCAGCTTGGAGTCGAACCACTGAGTTGGAAAAAATTCGAGAGAGGTTGTTCTGCTAATGTTTCTTTGCTTAGCGTTGCGTATATTTCATTACATACGTAAAGAGTGTAGGATGCCTTTTGGCATCATTTTCCTTGTCGTGATCTCATTTCCATTCGCATCGCCCTCTACCTCCAGCAGAGTTACGGAAGGATAAGCCAGGACGCAGCTGGAGTATCTCAGTACTTCCCGCCTTCGGAGCACTCCGCTTTGCGCTGCTCAAAGATCTTCAAAGCTTCCTCCGCAGCCTTTACACCGGAGAGGGCCATGGCGCCGAAGGTGGGACCCATACGATTGGCGCCGTCGACTTCGGAAAGCTCCATACCTCCGATGATAAGGCCAGGGGCAATCTCACGAGTACCCTTGACGATTGCATCCTCTGCGACATTCATGTCAAGCCCACGCATGCCTCCAAGGGATGGAAGTCCGCCCATCGCGACCAGGCGCTTAGCGCAGAATGCGCCGAAAGGGCCTGAAAATGTTATTAGCGTTGCCAGAAGTGTTACTGGCGCTCTGCATACCGTCGTGGCCAGTGGTGGAGATGATCACTGGAGCGTTGATRGTGTTGGGATCCATGCAACTCTGGTCATCCTAGAGAAGATAAGTCAGCTTGGTTTGGGTGCCATAAGAGGAAGACTAACATGATGCCTAATAGAGAAGGGTAGAAGATTTAGCGGTGTCCCAGAAAATCCCGGTTGATCCGTAGCCTGGGTAGCCTCGGTCTTTTCATACACTTACATAGAAACCAGAGTCCAATTAGTTACGACGCCTAGAGAGTGTCAGCCGCTAGTCATCAGTCCATGGCTGCCTCTCTCCATACCAGCGATACGGATGTTGCCCGCGCCGTCGGTGCGAGTGATCAAATCTTCGACCGTCGTGGCGTTGAAAAGCTTCACGTTGGGGAACTGAAGGACCTTGGAAAGAACAGTGCTGGTGAACAGTGCGGCATGTTTGACAACCACGAAGTTCGAGCTGGCACCTTCATCCTCATATGGAACCCCAATCTCGCGGAGGAATGCATCAGCTGGCTTGCGCATGATCATAGCGCTGAAGAGCTGGCCACCAAGCCAAGCGCCGCCACCAGGAGCGACGCCTGCCTCTACGATGGCAATCTTCAGATCCGGACGAGCTTTGGCCAGGCAGTATGCGGCCGAAAGTCCACAAGAACCAGCGCCAACGATGACAATGTCGCTTTCCGCGTAGGTGTCCAGGTCAGAAAAGTAGCGTCGTGTCATTGCCCGAGACACCTGGCTCTCACGAATGTGCGCGAACTTGAAATCGCTCCACTTTCCGGCCATCTCGGCAATAGTTTGAGCAGAGGTGGTACCCCCGACAGGAACAGCAGTAGTGTTGGGCAGATCAGCCAGCTTGGAGGCAGCCACTGGAACAACGTTGCCAGCGCTGGATGGCTGCTCATAGATCATAGCGGGAGGAGACATTTTGGATGATCAACTGTGGACGTTAGCATCACTACCTCGAAGGTAGATAGGGGACGGTGAAGGCATGATTCTTTCGCTGGTATTGTCCAGTACTCAAGTTCAGACCGTATATTCTCAGAAAGACCTGATATCTACCAAGAGCTTCTCCAACTTACGTGGCATTTGCCAGTGAAGTAGTTGGTTGGAAGCCAAGGTCAAGATACCAAGCCAGACACCGGTTCATGTGCTTTCAATTATTTAATCGAAATACCTTGATTATTCCTGGACGGAACCATTGTTTGAAAGGATCTTGTCTCCATCGTGATGGAAGTTGGGTACCTTCCGGCTGAGGGATATCTGGTCATATCGTCAGTTGAGAGCAATCGTGAGGATGACATGATCTGTTACTCGAAATGTGATCGTTGACGAGATGTGATTGATGAGGTGCGTGCTTGACTCCTGATTTGGGATGAGAATGAGAAGGGAAAGTGTGTCAATGAGAATGGAAGCTGTTATTTCACTCCCCCGCCGTCCCGAAAGCTGGACCTTGACTCTGGACCTTGACTCTGGAGCTGTCGTGTGTGGTGGGGCCAGCCTGAGCAATCAKGTAACAGAGTTCATGCTCACACACGTCAGCATTGGAGAAGTGACGAAGTATCATCCATCATTGACGAAAAGAACCTGGGATGCTCGATATATCAACGATCGCTTCTCACCTGTGGCTGGTGCTGGGAGAGAGACAGCTTCGCCCACGAGTCCACATTCTAGTCCACGCCAAGAGAGTTTCCGAAGTCTCATGAAGAGAGGAAGGAAAGTATCCAAGCTTCAAGCAGGGCACACWGGACGGAGTTTGTCAGTCGGGGACCCGAACGGACAGCAGGTGTGATCGCGCCAATGCCCAGCCGGCCCATCTTGCACATGATGCGGGAATCAGTAGAACTCTTCTGCAGTTGCAAAAATCCGTGTCTGGGGGAGGCGACCGTTGAACCACCTGCCACATGGCGGGGCCAAAACACCTGACTGCCTGGACTCTGTTGCTCTTCTGGGTACAGCACAATCAAAGTGCTCAGGTAAGCTGGGAGACAGTTCTGAGTCTCAAGATAAAGTATGTTGCTGTATTTGGGGACAACGAGCCACAGCCCACATCGGACAGCGCGATCCCAGCAAAGCCTCTGACAAATGCTGAATACCGTATTCTAACCCTAACAGAAGCCGAGTGACAGCGCAGTGCAGCGGAAAGACTGCCGATGGGATATGCAAGGCTGCAGTAACATCAGCGTCGCAGCACAGAAATGGTGGAAAGAGGCGAATGTGAGCTGCGGCCGGACATGATTACCTGGATGCCTGGACTGCCGTGCGACGCAAAGGTCTAATCGGGACGCATCGTGGTCTTGAGCGGAACAATAATCAATAAGATCGGCACCGCTATGCACACCCGCTACGCCCTGCGAAGAGACTGGAGAGACTGTTCCATCCTTCGGACTTTGCTGCGGCAGGGGTCTTCTATTATTGTTATCCATGGTCCACAAACGTTTTCCACGAGCGCTTGTCCAGCCGTTTCGAACCCCACTGCCGGAATGCGAGGAGGCAAGAACGTCCTCACATCTTAGATGGTAGACCCGCTTGGGAAGCGGGCGCGGGTGCCAGACGTTGGAGCTCCCGTCATCCTCTCCGATCAATGGCTCCGAGTGCCAACCTCGCCATACATAACTCATAGACATGCCTGCCTTGCTCTATTCCCAGCACCAGGTCCCTTGCAGCCTCTTCCGTTGCTTCTATACCATAGTCTCCCACCCCGACCGCTCCAATGATGCTAGTAACTACTATGCCCAGTAGCACACAGTATCTTCAGGTGCCCAAAGCACTTCCGACCAGAAAAGCACGCTCCCGCAGCCGAGTGCGAGCCAACGACATGCCTCAAGAAGTCTTCTCCGACACGCAGGTGATAGTTTCGCCGCAGAAATTGAGCTTTCGACCTCGTTCTCCCCCAGCGGCCTTCAGACTCGAGCCATATAGAAAGCCTTGCTCGAATGGCYTAAAGACTGTACAACCATCGCCTTACATCAGTCGAGGCAGACGTCTTTCCTCGCCCCCTCCTAGACCACGCATTTCGATCGACGCAGTTCCATCGACTGGAACCAACTACGATGATCTCAACGAAGGTCTCTATACTTTGGGACGGTGTGCCACTCCACCTCCCGAACTACCTCTCCGTCAAAAGCTAGTCGGGACATGGAAGCTCGAGTCGTATATCGCATACCCAACATCGGAATCCACGGTGACAAGGCCAACATTTCCAATGACTCAAAAAGTCACCGGGTTCATCCTCTATACACCGGACGGATACATGTCGGCTCAGATGCTCATTCCTGGACAAAAGACCTTCAAGCGAGGAGAGGGCGAAGAGCCGCAGTGGGCGGAGGCCGGTAAACGCTGTTTCGCGTATTGTGGTCCATACTACATTAGCAACGAGGGTCCTGGCCGAGAAGAAGTCCTGCGACACACATTCCAGTGTTGTAGTCTGCCCGGCTGGATCGGAGATATTCAAGTCAGAACTCATCGGTTTGAAGAGGATGGACAGGTTTTGGTACTAGGGAGCGAGGAGCCCACTGAGATCAAGGTAAGCTGAGGATATGAAATCGCTGTGCTCGCAGCGCTAACAGAATTTTTCAGGGAGACAGAAGAGTCCCGGTGCTGAAATGGAGGCGGGTGAAAGACAATTCTCACGAATCGCCTCCTGCGCCTACACCACGGATCAAGATCAGTGGACCTGGCGAGCCTTGAGAGTATTGGCCAGTCTTTGATTCACCAGGCAAGCCAACACTCGCTCACATTCTGGTCTTCTAAAGACGGCCGATCCATCGTTCGGGATATTTGTACAACACGGTCTTTCATTCAGCGTTTTGATTTCGAGACATGACAGTCTACGGATTGCGAGCAAGAAGCTCCACATGGATTAGAATGTCGCACACTACGAGAGGATGGCTGGCGCCATGGRACTCCATCACGTCGACCGGGTTAACAGCGGCTAGAGCGCTGGGATGCTGAGATGCGAATGCAGGCTTCTGATTGAGGAGTTCAAGCGTTACTTCAAATCAAACTTCCAAAGACAGAGCAACTTGTCGTAGAAGCTTGTGCTGATTATCGTTTTCGTTGTGCTGTTATCGCCAGGCTGCACATCCGTGCCATAATTCATGCTTTGATGCTCTTCGAACTTGGCCAGTATGTCAAAGGTCCAGTTGCTATCCGCACCTTGCATAAGCCGCACGATACGGGTACCGGCGTGCATGCAGCTGGCAAGCAGCACGAAGCTGTGAAGTCTTGTCAGATTGCGTCACACAGGTAGGATTCCAGATGAGCACGACATGAGATCATTTCTACGTGTCGAAAATAGACAAGGGCATCTCAATCCTACGTACCTTGAACTTGCTGACAAGGCTGAGTCTCCAGCATCACTTCTGCTTACAGATCCTTCAAGCAGCTTCAGGCGCCATACTCCGCCGCCCAAGTTGAGCGATGCCAGAATCTGACGCCTTCCTGGGACCGGTGTGAGAAGCAATCGAATATGATCGTCATAACTCCCTGTCACGACGAGGGTCTGCGAAAGAGGCAAGATAGCGGTAACGCCGGCCTCGTGCATCTTGCGATCCTGCCAGACCCGCAAGGGGTTTTGTGGATCATGGATTTGCGAGCTCTGCAGCACAATGTCGTCTCCTCCAGATAAGACACTTGTCGAATCAGGACTAAAAGCCAAGGTCCACGCTTCCAGCTCGTGTTGATGAACATCGGTAATGCGTATGTCGCCGTCTTGACTCCAGACGCCGCCCTCAGCGGTACTCTCGCACAAGCAAACCCTGCCGTCGGACAACGTCACTCCAAGAACATGCGCCTGGAATGGATGCCATGCGAGAGACAGCACGAGCGTGGTAGCATCGCATATCTGCTTCTCGCATTCCAGCACGAGTCGCTGGGCCGATTCTGATGATTCCGATCCGTGTAGCCTATAGAATGCGAGCACCCCTGTCGATGTTGCAACCGCGAGCAGATCGCCGTGTTGCTCGCGATGCTGTGACCACTGTAGGTCCAGAATCGAAAAGTCCGTGGGCTCGCTCCGGAGGAAAACGCTTGGACGGATAAACATGTCAGAGTGTATGATTCATCAAGAGCACTTGCTTCCAGAAGGCACGTCTGACATACATCTTATCATCCCGGTTAAGGCGGTAGAGTACTAGGCTTCCAGTACGCTTTTKCTCCCGGWCCACATGTGAGTCCTCGGCGGAGGCACTCGTGCCGTCGGTTTCCACAGTAGGGTCTTCCAGTACATCCTGCGAGCTTGATAACTCCCGATCCTGAAATTCCCGTGGATGCAGGAAGTACGTGCCGATGACGAAAAGGTGAGGTCGGGAGGGACAAAATGATATACAGCTTGGCGGGAGTTCAAGCGTTAGCGACGCCGTGGACGACACTGTGGCCATGTTGTGGATGCTCTTGAGGCTCGGAAGATTATCGATGACAGATCTATTCCGAATGTTGTCATCGTGGTGCATGAAGTGTGTCCAAAAGAAGCAATTTCACAATCTTCAAAGAGGCGCTCGCTTAAGATTCGCGCTAGTTGTGTGGACCAAACGCGCTTGGGTCTCCGTCACACGTTGTGCAACTTCTCGATACACTGGGGTGGATTTCGCAGTCGAGAGGACTGCAGCTTGGTAGACTCCTCGGCCGATGCAGTCGAGAGCAACATGCAAAGGGCGTCGGTCCGGTCTAGCCAGTTGTACTCTCGCTGCGTGAAGAGATTGTACCGCGGGAGCGTTCTGACACTCTGGCTGACCGCGGGTTATTAATCAACTCGCTGATCGATTGCCTTGACATGATCCGTCTGATTGTCGAAGCAAAAATGACATCGCTACTCGTTACCCGCTATCTGCTCGACAAACTATACTTGGCCGAGGATTGCAACGTTTAGCAGGCGTTGCCAGTTGATGACTTGGACCCGGCTGCATCCAACCCCTGAGCCTTGATTGCTTTGAAGACCCGAAGGAATGTCGCAGGCTCTTCTGCTCCTTCAATCTCAGCTACCCCGTTAATCACGAAGTGAGGGACACCACTGATGTAACGTTGTTTGGCCTCCTTGACTTCCTTGTCCACCTCCTCACCACCTTTATCCGAGTCCAGCCACTCTTTGACCTCCTTCTCATCCAGACCTGCCTGTACCCCTCGCTTGAGCAGCATGTCCTTCGATGTAATGTCCTCTTCGTTCTCGAAATAACCGTTGAACAAGGACTCCACGACAGCCTTCTGCATAGCTTCGCCTCCCTTGGCCTTTCCAAGCTGTATCAAACGATGAGAGTCTCTGGTGTTCCCGGTCTGCCCTCCATAGCGGAATGCAATGCCTACTGATTGCCCTATGCTCGCCATGTGCTTTTGCATCATCTTTGTTCGCTCGACTCCGAACTTTGACTCATAGTAGCCCTGCTTTGAGACGCTCTTGGATGCCTCTGGGTTAAGATAATATGCGAGGAATTCTGTTGAAAAGGTATCGTTGGGGTTGTTGGCCTTGTGCTCCTTGATCGCAAGTTCGAGCCGATTCTTGCCGACGTAGCACCTGCGAGCTGTCAACAACTGAAAAAGTCGTCAGTGCGTATATCGTCTGTCTGACCATGGACAGACAGTGTCTGAAGTGATCTTAATGTCGTAATGCGTCATTCTTCGTAAAGTGGTTCGGAAAGCCAGGGTGAACGGAAGATAGGAGAGCTGTGTTTGACAAACGAGAGAAGAAGACTACTTAGCGTTCTCGTCACTTTTCGCGCTGCTTTGTTGCCGCTTCGTCGACTCGCTTCGCCTCTCGGTATGCATTCGTAAGGATTTGTAATCTTCGCTGTTCACGCGGCTAGAACTACCCGAAGTCACAAGTCGGTGTTCGGTCGATTACATACTCGGGAGGTGTTGCTGGAATTTACAGCAAGCTCACGACGTAGACGAGCAAGATCCGTGGGTGATCGCGGGTATGTCCAATGATTGTTGGTGTTGAAATGTTAACGTGATGGTCGGTCGCTTGCAGTGACTCGAAACTGCCCGTCCGTGGCGGGACGATCGGCATTTGGGCCGATCAAGCTTCCGACGTCACCTTCACTTTTGTTCGGTGTGCATCAATAATTATGCAGCGCTACCACTACACAATACCACAATATTGTAGCCACTGGTCGACATTTGGCGAGTAACACAGAGTAGCTAGGAGTACGTGTGACGCCATGTCAGAGTCAACCTCGGCGGAGGCGCTCTTTCGAGCCAACAAGCGGAGGAAGATTTACAGGAAGCGCAATGTCGACGACGAAGATAATGAAGACCCTCCCGAGATGAGAGAAACAAAAGATCCAGAATCTCCAGCTCAGGAAGAGACGCAAACTGTCAAACGGCCCGCGACCAGGAAGTATGGCATCGGATTCTCCACAGCCGGAAACAAGGCCGTGCCGGAGGAAGGGACCATTGCGCAGACCGCCATGGTACCGTTCCAATCAGAAGACGATGACAGTTCTGCAGCGCATGATCGATTCATCAAGCCGGCGGGCAAAGCGGCAGTCGTGGAAGACAAGCACCTGTACGTATCCTCCACAACCTCAAGCTCCAAAAGGAGCAGTGCTAACAGCGTAGGACGGCATACGTAGACTCGAAATTGGCTGAACTGCGCTATTCAGCTTCTACACCAAATGCAAATCAGACTGAGTCTGTATCAGTGAACTCCTTCAAACACATCGCCACTCAGGGGGATATTGGAGCTGATGGAGAGCAAACCTCTACGTCCAACGCTTTGACAGGGCAGCAACCAGGACAGCGCAATGCCCAGCGTGTCAGACCAACAAAACAGCGCCGGGGACCGCCACAGAGAGACGCACACGATATTGCCCGAGATGCCATGGTAGATCAAATCATGCGAGAGAGCCAGGTTCCAATCTACGAGCAGTCCAACTCCAAGGCGAATGAAGTGCAACCGGGAGACTTCGACGCCGACGCAGCAGCAGAAGAAGCATTCAGAGCAGAGTTTCTTCGTAGCTTGGAAGAGCAACAGAATCGACGACGCCCAGCTGCGCCGCCAGTACAGCAGCGAGGTGCGCCACCTGTTCCGACCGGGCCGAAACTGGGAGGCAGCAGAGCTCAACGTGAGAAGATGAAAGCGATTGAGGAGGCGAAGGCGGCAGGCAAAAGTGTTGATGCTGTTCCGAAACGTAGATGAGAATTGGAGCGATCCTCGGAAGCGAACAGAAAACGGAGCAACAGTTTCCTTGGTATTGCATTATTGATTACAGACGTGACTCTCTGACATGCTTTATCAACAGTGTCATCTACAGGCAACCATGCCAGGTCAAACCTTCTTCGCATCCCTCGCGCCGCCACATCATATGTGTTCGTGATCGATCATTACATCCAGTCGTGCCCTGGATTTCACAAGTCCCTAATGCTTGGAAACGCCCAAATCGTCGTGAAGCTTTTCCCGTGCTCCGACATCCTCGCCGCGGTGAAAAGTATGCCGTCGCCTCCCAATGTCAATATAACGCTCGCTCAATTTTCCGCCAGGATGCCCCATGCTGTACCGCCTGCGCCTTCGCTTGCTGTCCATTATCGTATCGTAAGAGTACGTCAACCGCAAGAAACCCGCTGACGTCCAAACTCCAGAAGCTGTAAAGCATAGTTCACTTCAACCTCTGACCACCAATAGGTCCGAATCCCGAAGATGCACCATTGGTGTGTTTCGGCAGCGACTCAATGTCCATGTCGAAGATTTCTTCCTTCTCCTCTTCGATTCGCTGACTGACGCTGTTGCTGCTGACATTGCGATCGATGCTAGCCCTACCAGTGGAGCCATTCGAGAGCGTTCTCGTAGGAGCCCCCGGCTGCTGAGAACCTGGCCCCGAGCCTGGAGTGGATCGTGCAGTCTCGATCTTGGTGCGTTGTAAGCCTTGAGTGAGCATACTCATGCTAGCTTGGCGCGACGGACTACTGATACTCGGGCTGAGCTCGCCGTTACTGGTAGAAAAGGCAGGATGTGATGTTGGAAAGGAGGAATCGCGGAGTGGTGATCCAACGTGGCCTAACCCTGATAACTGGCCGCGTGCGCTGAACACGTTGGTGTAGCGCGAGGGACTTGAGGATAGTGAGGATGACATCTTGTTCTCGGAGGGTGTTCCATGACCAGATATTGTTCGACGGGATTGAGCCAGAAAGGACGCCGGTCCCTCCATGGATTCGGAGGCTCGTGATCTCGACTCCCTCCTCGACCGGCTGTCAGGAATCAAGTCGTGCAAGCTGGATGGTAGAAGATCCTCCTCACGATCAGTATCTCCACCATCGTCTTCATCTGAGTACTCGAATGGGGGCACATAGCGTGCGCCGAGACTTGAGGACATCAGCGTCCGTGACGCGCGCAATCGATCCGAGTGCAGCGGTCGCTTCTCGAACTTCAGGGGTTCGTCCGTGCCACTGGGTGGTGAAGAGCCCATATTGGCAAGAACATGGCCCATGCCACGATCGCCGAATGCGGAGGAGTGCAGTTCTCGCAGTGCAGTGTTGCCGAGGCGTGGCTGGCGTGGAACCGAAGACGGAGGCGAGTCGAAGTCGAACTTGGAAGGCACAGATGCAGCAAATGGACCGTGTTTAGCAGCCCAAGAGATTCCGTTGCTATCAAAGGAGTTCGGCAGAGGTGCATCCAGAACCGACAGACCCTTTTGCGGTGGCGAAGTAGCGATGCGATCATTCACGTTAGGTGAGCCGAATTTGGGTGACGCAGATGTGTAGGTCATGTCAATCTGGGGCGCATCGTAGCCATTGCGCGGACCATACTGGTAGCTGTCGAGGTCGTGGTGTGGAGGCCCATCTCCATTCGGTCTCTGCTCCAAGCCTTGCGCCTGCATAGAGAGCAATCCTGGCGGAGGTGGCTGGCCATAAGCTCCGGGGGGAGGATGGGGTGGAGCTCCTGCAAGATACTGCGGAGGCCCTGGATAGTGCCTGTTCACGACCGTACCGTCGGGTGTGATGTGGAGGAGGGCGCACTTTCGACCAAACTTGCAGCCGCCTTTCGCAAAGTACTTGCACGGAGCCGGTCGTGTGGACGACTCAACGTCGTGAGAGAATGGGCACATACCGCCGGCCTGGCACTGACCCTGGAGAAAGAACTTGCAGGGCACATGCTGCGTGTCTGCGCGCGGTGTCAGCCGCGACACCCTGCCATTGCCGCCGCCACCTCCACCGCCGCCGCGCGTTCGCTCTCTTCCTCCGTCGCCTCCTGCTCGGTACTCACTCTTATTCTTGGGCGGGCTCGCGGCCGTGCGGTGTGCCATTCCTGGTCCGAACGGTCGCTGCCCATTTCCGCCTCCTACGGGCAATGGTCCTGTAGACCCATTCCCGTTGCGATCGCCATTCATTCTGCGCGTGGTATTGGCGACGGCGTCGATGGACTGGCGTTGCTGTAATTCCGGGCGTTGCTGACCGGCACCGTGTGGTTGTGGATAAGGTTGCATGTCGAGTTCGCCGGCCGATATCACATGCAAAGTAGCGTGGGGACTGCGGGGGTGGTGGCACTGTGGCCTGCGCGGATGAGTTCGTTTGCAAGGACCTGGAGCGACGGTTGTTGTTGAGCTGAAGAATAGTTAAGCGTCAACGACCGATTAGGAGCGAATGTGACGAGGGTGCAAGTGTTTGTCGAGTCGAGGTGGATCGCGTGCGGGTGGGGGAAAAGGCGATGGTAAGTTAGTACCAAGGCCGAGATTGAGCAGATCCGTGGATTTCGAGATCTTAATTTTTGCAACTCTCCTCTGCTTTGCTTGCCTTTGCCGCTACAGCCGCCGACGAGTGTGCGCAGGCAATGTTGATGTTGCAGAGAAGAAAAGATGGGAACCGACGCGAATTGAAGAGCACTTAACTTTGGAGCTGAGGAACGTGAAGGCGGCGCACAGCTGATGACTGATGACTGCCGCCCCCCCGTCATCATCCGGAGCTCTGTCTCAGGCACCTCAAAGTACTTCGACGGTACGGACACAAGAGCTGCAGCATGTGCTAGCCATGTGATGGCGACAGGCGATAAGGATGATATTCACTGAGAAGCATGGGCGGGCCTGGAATGCATGACAGTCTCGGGAACGCGTATATCACATGGACAGCTCCGCTGAGACGCGCGCGAGACACTAGCACGAACTACAACTACCTAACATCAGATGGGAGGAAGCAGGACTAACTTACTCGCCCTGGCTTGCCGTGCTCAGGGCGAACGTTGAATGGCACAACAACCCTTGGTGGATGTCACACTGCAGCGGCCCGCCGTCAGTGTCTCGCTGCTGCCCTCATCACCCCTTGTTCCTCTCAAACGCGCTCTCTCTGGCTAGGCTTGACGACATTCGCGGTGGGAGTCGACACCCAAAGCTGCCGAAGCCCACGAGGTCGCAAATGATGAGCATGCTCCTTCATGGCCGCACGAGCTGGACATTGGCGAGGGACGCGTTTGGTCCGGGCAACTGTCGCTGGCAGAGTGCGTTTGGCATCCGAAAATGGCGGCGGAACGTTGCAGCTGTGAGCAGTAGCCTTTGGGTGTGCTTGGGCTGTGGAGTGGCAGCATGTTCACGTTCGCGATTGTGGTACTGTCTTCGTCAGTGATGCGCGCAGAGATTGCCGGTATTCGTAAGTAGGTAGACCAATCGTTCGGTATTACAGGATGGACATCCTGGCGAAGAACGGTTTGCATTCTCATTGTCTTTCGTTTGGTTCTTTGGTCGATTCGATGTACTGCGATCTCCTCAGTCGAGACCCCTACCGAGAAGAGGTCCACGGGTACCTTAGCTTGTATGTCCCTTCACTTTCATACTCCCCACCACCTTCTTCATCCACCCTCGTTCGTTACTCCTTCCGGCCGCCAGCGCCATCGACTCCACCCAGTCCGTCGCAGAGCACAGCTCATCACATTCGTTCATTGCTTGTTGTCATCATGAAGATCAAATTTCTCTCCGCCACCTTCGCGGCCCTCGCTGCCACCAGCACTAGAGTTGACGCCCGTCTGAATGTCTCTGATACAAGCACCGGGTAAGTACCTCCTCTCATTCTCCCACCGTGCCTGCAGCGACAGTCCATCATGCCTGCCTTCCCATCCACGGCCGGAAACATGTCCACTCGATCGGTTGTGACGATCTCCGAGACGGTCTCGCATTTCGCCCGTCAGCATCGACATATACAGGCAGAATCCACCACAGTTTCCAGACGCATTCAAAGAGCAATCTATCATGGCAAGGAACAGGGGCAGCAAGGGCAATAAGAAGCAGAAAGCAGCGGCCAGACAGACCAGAGATAACCCAGGACGAAAAGACCACTCGGCCGACAATGCACCATTGTCGAGCAAGGGCCAGCAGCATGACGAGAATGACTCGATACTCGTTGCGCCCACTCTTGGAGCCAATATCGGGGCTGATAGCTCTGTCTGGGCTGAATGCATAAAACACTTTCTGGAATTGAAGAAAGAATTGACGAAAGCGCCCGCTCCTATGCCTGAGACTGGCGATGCAGGATATCGATTGATATTCCAGCGGATCCGATTCCATTTAGGAGATATCATCCTCCTCGCGATCTACTTTCTCATCGTCTTCGGTGCACTATACACCCTCATCACATACTTACTGTCTTTTACCAGAGTACTCGCAGCGTCATGCGCGCCAAGCACCGTCTTCATTCCTGTCACGCAGAATGTGACTACAACAGAAACCGTCTTCTACAGCGCTCCATCCGCCGACCTCACGACCATCCTGCTTACCACCGTTGCCGCCACTACGACCGTCACCGCAGGACAGGTCTCCTCGGGGGCGGCAATCTCTTCCTCATTCAGCGCRCCATACACATTCTCCATCGTCGATTCGTCCACGGAGTGGGAAGGCGGATATTCTCCAACGAGCGGTGTCCAGATCTCGGTGGCCACCTCCATCGTGACTTTGACACCCATCGATTCCACTGCGGCTGATCTCACAACTCGGATGACTCTGGCCAGTACCTCGACAGTGGAGAAGCTCACCACCATTACGCTACCTGCCACCACGTCCACGTCTTATAGCTTGCTCAGCACCATATCAACGACAACTCGGACTAGCACGCGCTATGTCACTTACTCGCTTTCGGAGGTGCCTTCGCGGTCTGCGTTCTCTGGCATAAGCAGCGCAGGTTGGAACGCTACCAGCATGCGGCCTACACAGTCTACACCGCCCCTACCAGCTGTGACCACATTGACTGAGCTGCACTACTACGGATCAGACAACATCACTACATCGACAAGCACGAATCGCATCACCACCACGCTCGGAGCGATCATAACCACTACCCTCTTGCCGCCAACCACTATAGTTACGGTCAATGTCCCAGGTGTCCCGCTGTCCATGACTACGGTGACAGCCCCACCTGTGACTATCACATACACCGTTCAGAATGGCCCATTTGCTTTGAGCACCAGCGTGAGCTTTAGCTCGAWCCAGAGCAGTGATGTCGTGGGAGCGGCGACCACCATGACCGCCATCAATTCGACATCACCTGCATCTTCTGCATCACAGCCAGGTCTCCCGTCTTCTCCCATGTCTCAACCCCATTCGAGCTTTTCCGCGACGCAAGGGTCAGCCTCCCATCTCGATACGACAGTGACATCCTCGTCAAAATCGATCCCGACATCATCTGGTGTTATCGTAGAGCCTGCCACTACAGCTACCCAGGGTGGATCAGGCTTGACAACGACGACTGTCTCGGCAGATGGCTTACCCACTCAACTCAGCGCTCCGACAATCTTCWCAGTAACTAGCTTCTTGTCTGGATCAGGCACTACTCTGGTCTTGACGACCTCGCCCGTTGTGGCCACCCCGAAGTCCTCGCTCCCATCAACTGCCGCTACATCAGAACCAGTCGCCAACCTCAGTTCTGGCACATCAGCAGACTCGGAGATACCAGTCACCAGCGGTCCTACCGTTGGGAGCTCTGCTTCTGGAACCAACGCTTTTACGTCTTCTGGCTTGTCACTCTCGATCCCCCGACCTTCAACAGACAGCTCGCCTTTTGTATCGATACCTGACTCTGCCTCCATCTCCGAGTCTTCGTCTCTGCCCCTGAGAAGCTCGACAGAGTTACAGGGACCAAACAGCACTGTTTCGGCTTCAGCTACAGCTTTAGGATCTATCTCTCCCCAGAGTACCTCGATTCCCAGAACATCGTCGTTCAGCTCGTTCTCAACCCAGACCTCGAATCTCATTGCAACCTCAAGCTCAAGTTCYGCCTCGCAGTTCCCCAATGGCACACTTACCAGGTCAACTTCCGAGACGGCCTCCWCAAGTAAGAGTATTTCGTTCATTGTGACTTCCGCAACTTCAATGCCAACTAGCGGCTGTGGTGAGCAAGGCAACTTTACCATGGACTTCGATGATCTACCAACTTTCCACTCCGATCGTGCTGGCAAGCGCAATGATCGACGCCAGTCGAATGGGACATTCAACAATGGCAGCGATATCACACGGCAGCCACCTCTAAGCCTACGCCCGTATCATCACCTGACTTTCTCCAATGGCTTCGTGTACGCTCCTGTACCGGTTGCACCTTTTACCCCAATCTCGCAGCCGAACGTTGCAGCGTTCCTTGCGGATGGTACTAGTATGAGGACTGGCGGTCGTCCTGATGGCACCGGTGAGATTAGCGACGGTCCGACCCCTGATGATGTCTCCGCATTCTGGTTCGACGCCTTTGGCGGCTTCCTTGGCTGCGACAATGCAGGCCCCGATGACTGCACAATGGAAGTCACTGGACTGCACTGGGACCCCATTGCAAACGACGAGGCTCCTGCATTCACTCAGAAGTACTCTCTTCCACCATGTCCAGCCTACCGCAACTGCGCCCTCACTCTGATCACGTTTCCAAGCACTGCTCGCCGCCTCAGCGGGTTGGAGGTTCGTGCCGTCCGCAATGGCGAGCCACGCAGGTTCTTCATGGATGACATGCACATGGCGTGGTCGAACAAGACTTGCGACGCAGGTTTGCTCCGTCAGCAGGCGCAATAGTTGGCTGGCCAGGGAATTGAGCAGAGGAAAAAGGAGACAGAAAACAAGAACTTGCATGTAACACCTCAAGGGAAAAGCAGCAGAGGCGAAAATGGTGATTGGAAAAGATGTGGTGGTTGATTTGGTGCTGGTGAAAAGATTTCCAAGCTTAGCGAAAGAACATGCCATCTGCTCCTTCTCTCACATGTGACTCTCTTGCTTCCCGAACCCAGTCCTAGAGAACAAGCAGTAAGATTTTTTGGAAATTATGCAATGACGTGCGGCATATCTGAGCTACCGCCAGGCGCCGCGTCAAAGTCAAGGTTTGATGTATACATGGTACTATTAGTAGATTTGGGGGAGTCAGCCGACCCTTTGCTACAGTCGAGCCGCTCTATCATTGCCAAGCGACCTACGATTGCAGAGAGTGTCGGCTATTTTGAATCCTCTCTGGGCCGGAACGAGAGAGGATGTCTTTCTGGAATCGCAGTCATCCTCCGCATATGCCGTATTTCGTAAGGTCAACGTAGAGTGGGAATGTAGAAAAAAAAGGGGGTCAAGTCGAATCCGCGCTCTGCCTGTTGGCTGCGTTATGACTGGTCATGATAACCAGTAGGCTTTTGGATAGATTTTTCTCGTCAGAAGGTATTTCGAAAGTGCGGACCTCTGTACTTAAACCTCTCCACAGGACTTTCACACTCACCTCAATCAACATTACCAAAACTTACAGCGCTTTATATCATTGAGTGGACTTACCTCACGTCCTGCAATTTTTGAACCCGCACGCACATAATAACAAACGTCACGCCATCATGGACGCCATATCTTGGGATAGTGTTGCCCATCGCTCACGCGAAGAAGTCTCTCTTCGCGCCGTTACCGGCCGTACCCGCCGACGGTTCTCGCTCCCAGCACTCCCGGTCCAGCAGCTGTACGAGGAGACGGACCCGCACGATGCGAGGCCAACGCGGGTACCAGCCCAACTACCGGTGAGGCATAGGACTGTCGAAAGGATGGGTCGAATGGCTGCAAGCTGGAAAGCAGATGCCGCAGATCGCCTATCGCTGCCGCAGGAGAGTAGGGCCCACAGCGAGGCGATGAGATTACAAGCCCTCTCGCAAGCCGGGATGGTCGCCGCCGCCGCACCACCGAATGTACAGCATCGACGAGAGAACGTTCAAAGGGCGGCGGGAAGGCAATTGACGAGGTCAACCCCTAGCATGCCACAGCCTGAGGCACCAATCTCGAGGACAGCGTTGCACGCCGTGGACAAAAGGGTCACGTTCGCCCGCTCAAATCATGTGGATGAACCGAATGCGGTTCCCAATGCACCCGAGGTACCATATGCGCAGCTTCAGCCGGCCGGAAGCAAGCCCATTGTGCGAAGACCTGTCCCTTCACCTTCAGTGCCCGATGTGCAGCAAACTCTCGCATCAATTCCATCACGCCCGTCGCCTGGACCTCCGATTGTGAAATCTAGCTCTCCGAAGCCGGATTCTGTGACTGAAGCGCCCAAGGTAACGTTGGCCCCATCATCTCCAACAATGCCGCAGAGTCAAGAGGCGGGCCAAGAGGCGGAACAGAAGGTTGCCGCAGGTGAATCGACAGAAGTCCGGGCAGACTCAGCGGAGCCATTAAGGGAAAACGTTGATATAGAGCAGATCGCGGAATCGTATTTGCTGTATTCACCGTTTCTCGAGGATGACGAGGAGATTGATCGTGGCCGTCGTCACGGTTGAGCGGGTTGATAACTGAGGCTCGAAGCAAGATGGAGCTGAAGTCGAATGTGGAGCGGCGGATTGGCTTTGCCGAGGATCACGCTTCACGACAATGGCCCCCCACTCGTCCTGCATCACGACTACATCACGACTACATCAACAAGTTCAACGACGGAGATTGACAGCATCCGTGCATTTTGATACCTAGACAACAATGCCTTTAGCCACTGCTCATTTGATCGCTCTCGCCAGCACATCTTCGATTCCCTCCTATCTGAAAGCTCTGGACTCGGCCTCTATCAAACCATTAGTGACCTCAAGGGTCATCAGGTGGATCATAAAGCCAGAGAAACTGTCAACCCATCTCACAAACACAAACTGGGACCTCTTGCTTATACTACCGGCCACCACAACGATCCCGAGTCACTGTCTCAGCGAAAACTTTGTTACTCGTCATTGGAGCATTACTGCTGGTGTGCCGAAGAGTCTCGTAAACAACTTTCAAGAACGGAATCAACGCCTCCTAAATCCTCAGCCGGGCGATGTTCCGGAGCTCACTGGATCTTTGAACAAACCAAGGATTGTCTCTTCAACTCAAGGTCTCGAACTCAACGACGAGCTGTTATCATGGAGCAAGGGTTTCAAGCTGGGTCAGAACGGTGCCGTGAGCATGCTAAACCTGCTTTCATTCAAGCCTGGCAAAGAAGCACATGAGAGCTACCTCCGTTATGGCAAGGCTTTTGGTGAATCTATCGGATCGAAGCGCGGCGGTAATGCAAAAGTGGTGGGCAAAGTCATCCCGGACCAAGGAACGCCTGACGAGGACCGCTACGGGTGGGACGAAATCGCCCTGGCTCACTACCCAAGTATAAGACATTTCACCGACATGCTGGCTTCGGAAGACTATCAGAAAGTAAACCACGAGTCAAGGCTGCCGGCACTACTGGACACCTGCATCTTGTGCACCAGCGAGCTGGATACAGAGCTTTCAACTGTGAACAAGGCGCGACTATGATGAGATGATTTGAACGTTGTTGACGGGTGAAGACTCTCGTATATCACGAATGAATGAAAACTATCTGTTCGACTTACCAATCTCCAGCTCCGTGGTCGTTTGCCACCACAAAATCGCGGTGGCTAACGTTGCAGGATTTCACTAGGTACATGATCACGAGTGAGTCCTGCAAAAAGAATCATATCAATCAAGTTCAATCCGAAAGGATTTCGAACAGTAAGATCAGTTTCCAATGCAAGGAATCGAACCCCAATCTCCTCATCTCCCACTTTCACACCGACCAGGTCTTGTATCGTTCAGTGAGATGCCTTATCCGCTAGACCACCGCGTAAACGCGAACAGGATTTGAACCTGCGATTTTCTCATTTTGCTTGGACCTATTCAGCCGGTGTTTTGGGGAGAGCGAGGCGTCTTAACCGTTGGACCACATCGGATGTCTGTTTCATGGCATAATTGGAGATGAACGGAGAGATCATATAGGTGAAGTGGAAGGTGAGCGAGGGTGGAGAAGATGGGCATTGCGGTGTCTCATTTGGGTCAATTGAGCGACGCTAGTGGAGTCTAGCGCAAAGTGGAAGCTTAACGGATCTCAGAAAGGCCATCGTAGCAAGCAGTAAGAAGGGATCAATCGTAGTGAGGAGGGATCAGCTGTAGTGAGAAGGGATCAATTTGGAAGTCTTTGTGAGGTTGAGTGCGATGTGAACTGGATTGAAAGCAAAGTATCAGGACGTGAGCGAATCTACGTACGGATGTGCCTCCATACGTCGCGCTTCAGCGAATAAAGGCCAAAGCTAACGCGACCGTACCTAAGCAGCAACGCAGAAATCAAACCCCTTCCTCCCGTGGTATCTCGCGGCCGTTTCATCGTCTCCAAATATGCTCAACAGATGCAAGCGTCTGTGATGCTGCGTCATTCCTTCATCCTCAATGATACAGCGTCTCCCGCCATCAGCTTTAGTAGGGAGAGTTCACAATCTCGTTCCTGAGATAGCTACCTCTGGCCTTTCCCTTCTGTGGCGTAGCCATGATACTCTCCCTTGTTGGTCGCTGCAGGGCGCGACGTGCCACCATGTCGACCTCATTGGGCAGAGCAACAACGATGTTCTTGTCGCTGCCGAAGCGGAAATTGTCGGCCTTGACCTCCTCAGCATACCGCTTGATGTGGTAAGGGTCCTTCCTGCCATCGAGAATCTTCTTCATCGACCAAGTGATAACATATGGCCCAGAAGATGTGATAATAGTGGTCTCATCTTTGCCTTCTCCGGTGTTGAAGTGAGCAGAAGTGAAAGCAAGCGGAGCTTTCGTTTCATGCTGGAATTGRGCAACGTGAGATGGAGTGAGTCCCAGACGACGAGGCTGGGGCTTGTTGTCCTTGGGAAACGCCTTTTCGAATCCGAGCTTGCCGGCATTCTTGCCCTCGGTCTGTAGGTTATCGACGAGGAGAAGGTACGTCTTAGTGGTAGCGAGGAGCCAACGACCATCAGCGCTGGTATCGAGGCCAATGATAGGATCACCAAGAGCTGGAAGTGCGGTCTTGGCATTGATACCGAGACGATCAAACATGCGAATATCTCCCTTGTTGGAAGCGACAGCAATGTATCCCTTGTCTGTTGTAACAGCCGCAGAGAAGTCATTCTTGCTAACGTACTGCTTGAGCTCGCTGTCCACAAGCTTATTACCGCTCAGGCGCGGATCAATGCGGTAGAGCGCGTTCTTCGAAAGACCCAAAAATGTTTGTTCTCCGGTCTTTTGCGCGAACTTGTTCTCAGGGGCAAAGATATTGACGGGAATGTCATCGTGCACTTTCCACTCATCAACCACTTTGCCAACTTCCAAGTCCATGCGGAATACACGGTGGGGGTCGTTGGGATCCTGTAGAACCATGTTGCGGTCCTGGGAATGCAGCATGATCTTGGAAGGAGCAAATTGTTTCCCCTTCATGTTTGAGACCTTGTTGATGCTGGTGCTGAATTCCAGACCGTTGTTATCGGTGTGTTTGAAGACGCCAATCTTGTCTCCGCGTACGACGAAAGACCTGTTAACGCTGGCGCCGACTGCGAGCTGACTGTTGACATTGCCGTCGTCGTCGCGGTTTACAATCTCGTCCTCCTCCTCATCAGAATCAAAGTCGGGCTCTGCGTTGCGCTCATTCGCTTCTTCAAATTCATCGTCCGACTCCTCATCTTCTTCTGCGGCTTCTCGCTCTCGCTCATCATCCCGATCATCCTCGATCACAAGGTCATTGAAAGCGTTCAGAACGTAATCCTGATCCGTGGCCTTCATCCACTTGGTCTCATTCAAGTGTTCCCACAGTGCTTGCATCAGACCTTGCTGAAAGCTCTCCACAGTTTCGCGGTCGTTGAATTTCAACAACCAAGAGTACGCAGAACCATCTTCAGTGTAGTGGTTGAAGATGAAGCTCAGGTATTCAAAGTTGAAAACCGGGTTGATGTCTGGCACCACCTCTTGTCCGAGCCACTGCTTCTTATCGCCAGTGATTTGCAGCCAGTATTTCCAGTTACCAGTCTCGGTGACCAGCGCTTGGACAGATGCGTCTTGAAGGATAAAAGTCCCGGATTGAAAATCGAATAGATGAAGCTCGGCTTCTTCGGTCACCAAGACTTCTGTGCTCTTTGGCGCGTTCCGATACGTGGGTGCCTTGGTCGGGGTCAGGTCCACCTCCCTCTTTTTCCCTGACTCGCGTGGCATGATGGCGGGAACTTCCTTGTGCAGACTGCCCGGTGTATGTGCAGCTGGTGAAGCAGCGAGTGATCGCAAAGTTGGGCTTTCAGGTGCGCTGGGACCGGGACTGGCGAGTGGAATTTCCGGTTCGTCGTCAAAGGCGAATTCCTCGAGGTCCTRATCGGTGGCGTGCTTGTGATCGCGACGATACTTGCGTTCGTACTGACACCGCGCAGCTGCCAACTGAAAGGTGACGGCCGCGTCGGGGCGGATGGATGAATCGCAAACGAATTCGAACAGGTCTCCCTCGTCGCCCGACAAATCCTTCCACGCGAGTACGATCTCACCTTCTTCCCGATGCTCAATGCGCAGACACAGTTCCTCGTCGACTAGAAATGTCTTCTCGTCCTTATCGCCTAGTGCGTCAAGTGCACCCTCCTCTGCTCCTTCGTCTTCCAGCAAATCTGCCTCTCCCTCCTCGTATGCTCGCTGAATGCACAGTTGATACTGGAACTCTTGTCCAGTTCTTCGCAGAAAAGCGGCCGAGTCCCTGAAGATGAGCTCGCTATAACCCTTTGGACTGCGCGGGCGAACGATGTACAGCTGGCCTTGGGGAAGCTCGGCGATGGTTTCTTTGGATGTGGAGCCGGAGATGAGACCGAGGTACTTGTTGATGCTGTTGATGGCGAACATTACTTCGGCGAAAGATGTGGAAGATGCATCATGGACGGTTGTGTCGCGGTGGATGTTTATTTATTGACCGTGAAGTAGAAGTTGGCGTTTGCTGGTGGAGTGACGACCAAAGCAAAACAAGGCAGCCACGACCCCGCGACGCCACAACTAGGCAGAAATGGGAACATTTACAGCCACACAGGCTGAACTCATTCACTTCGCGATTAGGCTTTCTCCTGCCTTCCATTGTCTCTTGAAGTGCGTYTCCGGCAGCTATTGGAGAAGATGAGAAGAGTCGTTTTCATGGCGATTCGAACCATGAAATGAGGTGAGTCAATGTCGTAATACAAGACAATCGTGCTTTTCGTCACAAAGTGTACCTGAAATCTGGATGCCTGTCTCCCTTGACCCCAGCATCAATCATCCTCATCTTCTCATCTTGAGTCAAACGATCTCTCTTCTTGTTCATGCTCTTTAACAACACGAACATGGCCGCATATCCCACGGCCGCAAGGATGATCGTCGTCAAGCTTACTGAATGACCAATCACATATCTCCCATCCACATTGGTGATTCGATATATCTGGCCCGCCATGATTCCAGCACTGTTTCCAACAGTCTGTTGCAACCCAATAGCAGTGGCTCGCTTATAGTATCCGGCATTGCTGTTGCTGTTCCAGGTGACGTTCAAACCAACAACGCAGTAGATTCCTGTTGCGGTAACAAAAGTGGCAAAATACAGGACAGCTGTGTTGTTCATGTCGACTCCCAACAGTAATGAATAGCCCAAGGCTGTGACTAGGGCAAGCGGTGTCATGAAAAATGCTCGGCGTCGTGCCATGTCCGAGAGATATGCGATTGTGAGGTAAAACACGCTCGCCCAGATGTAAACGGGGACCGTCAGAAGCTGCGTTCGAACGCTGCTGAAACCGAAGCCGCGGATAATGACCGGCAGAAATGTCGAGAAGCCAAAGGAGCAGGTGTTGGCGCAGAACTGGCAAATCGAAGAGAGCCAAATTTTGGGGTCCAGAAACGCTTGCTTGACTTCTCCTCGATCGAATGTCTCGCTATCACCCTGATAAATGGCGACTTGTTCGTTTCGCACCCGACAGAGACGTTTATCTTCCTCGGTCAACCACCACGCAGATTCAAAAGAGTCCGGGAGCAAGACCAGGCAACCAAATCCTACTGCCATGGAGATCAGTCCCTCCACCAAGAACAACCACCTCCAGCCTGCTAGAACGCCGTTGAGACGTGTCAGACCGTACGCTAGCAAGCCACCGAAGGCACCTGATAGTGCGGATGCAACAAAAAGGTATGAGACTCTCTGGGCCTGTTCGATCGGCTTGTAATAAGTGCTGAGGTACAGTGTCAAGCATGGGAAGAGACCAGATTCGAATGCTCCCAGCAGTAGTCGACTAGCCAGTAGCGTGGCGTAGTTCTTCATGAAAGCGCTTCCGATCACAACTGCTGACCAGCATATGATAAAAGCCGGTATCAATCGAGATGGTCGAGCTTTCTTGAGTATCAGAGAGGAGGGAATCTCAAACGCAATGTATGTGACTACCCCAAGCAAATCAGCATTCCATTTCGCCTGAAATACCTTTGTTCTAAGAGCAGTCACTAACCATAGAACACGGTTACAGCAACGTTGAGTTTGTTTCCGTCGAGACCAAGATCTTCTGTCATGCCAGCGATTGCCGCGTTGCCTATTGAAACTGGTCAGAAAGGTGTTACAGGGTCTTTAGACTCATCTTGAACCACCTATGTTGCTCCTATCCAAATAGGACACCAAGAAAACCAGGACCATCATCGGAGACAACCACATATCGAGCTTTCGTACCAGACGTCGCTCTTCTGCTGGATCGATGACATCCCCGTGCGAAGCTGGAGCAACCTTGACATCGGTACCCGCTTTGACATCATCTGCTTTGATCTCCATTGTCTTTTGGTATAGGAAATCCAGTGCGATGTCAATTGCCTGCGAGCGATGTCATGTAGTGCAGTTCGTATCATGTAGCGTTAGTGTAGATCTTCAAGGTCTTGGCATACTGGCCTATCGATATGATGCGTTTCACTATCTCTTTGGATCCACCGTAATGCACAGCGCTTGCAGAAATTTGATACCATAGCTGCCATTGGCTACTGTGGTTTGGCATGCAGAGTAGGATCCACACGATTATGATGCGCGGTCCGGCCAACTCGGCGAAAATGTAGTTGGCCGGTGCCGGCTGACATTTCCATTGCTTTCGGCGGTCAATGTTGATTGTAGGCGACAAGTCGAAATTGAAAGAATCCCCAGATTCCGTACGAGAAGCGGACTTGCCTGTCACTGCAAAGTGGTAAATTAATTCTAGGCTCCGAGATGGCGTTTCCTGTTGTGAGTGCCGTACATGCCTCCTCTACCGTCGGCTGACGTGTTCGTATAAGCAGCATTGGGACCGCATCGTTCGATTCATCGCAGAGGAAGACGGTCAAGAATATCTGGGAGAGCCTATCGATTCGGCGATTGACGGTTAGCAGCAGCATCTCAAGTTCCTGAAGATGCAAGCTGACGAATAATCAGTCGGTGCTGCCGTGGCCTCCTCAACACCAGTCCAGGTCCTCGTTTTCCACGGCTCATCGCCGCTTGACATTACCATACATCCCACAACGACTATTCTCACCATCAGATCTCTACTACCGCCCATCACTCGCAAAGAAATCGGGACGATCCGCTGCATTGGTCTCAACTACCGCCATCATGCCGCAGAGATGAAACTCACACTTCCCACACATCCTTGCGTATTCTTCAAGCCAGCGTCATGCCTGAACAGTCCCGGCCATCCGCTTCTCATTCCCTACCAAGCTTCAGACGGCCAAGCAGATTACGAGGCCGAGCTTGCCGTCGTCATAGGGCGAGAATGCCGCAATGTTGATCCTGCGAAGGCGCTGGACTACGTTTTGGGCTACATGTGCTCGAACGATGTCACCGCTCGCAAATGGCAGTTTGCGGGTGGCAACACGCAATGGGGTTATGGAAAAGGGTTCGATGGATTCGCTCCCATGGGGCCTTGCCTGGTGTCCACACGAGCAATCCCGGATCCTAGTGTGATCGAACTGAAGACGCTCCTTAACGGCAATGTGATGCAGGAAGGAAGAGCGGATGATATGATATTTTCCATCGCAGAGATTGTGTCGCACTTGAGCCAGGGTACGACGCTGGAGGCTGGCACGGTCATAATGACTGGCACACCGCACGGCATCGGCGTGAGCAAAGAGCCTCCCATCTTCTTGCAGCATGGGGATGATCTGAGGGTGGTTATGAGCCACGGGCTTGGAAGTCTGGTGAGCAATGTGGTGTATGAAGGTCAAGATCGATCTTGAGTCAATTCCTCTTGTATCAAGCATTGAAATGTCTTGTTTGTCCACTCTCGACCAGACCGCACATCGGTACAGCATCTTCTGTTGAGCATTGGAAATCCAGTAGTGTCGCTGAGCCTCTTGGAGTCCGCACTCCGTCCCAATGCAAACTTTGAAGCATGAATACCTGGATTTGAAAGGTGGTGCACCCGCAGTGGGAGGGCATCCAAAATCACATACACCTCGACTGGAAGCGAAGTGAGAGAGTCTCAAAGTGATGTTTCAGATTGCGTGGAGAATCGATACTTTTTTAGCCTGCCGCTATCGGGGAAAAACGGACCTCACTCCATCACTCCAATCAAATGMACACAACACCCCGGAGCATTTGAGCAGCGTCTATCTCCTGCATGCGCGGCGTGGGGTACTGAACAGATGACTGTTCTGTCTCGCTATCGGTGCTGGGCCTGCATGTCTTGTCTCCCAATTTCGCTGAACTCGTCAGCTAGACACACACTTACGTCCATCATCAGATCCCACGTAGTTTTGCGCGCCTACAATATTGCACATCGCATCCAGAATCCGTGACCTAAACTTTATCTCGACCGACGACTTCGACGACCGACCGACTGCGACCGACCTTGAACCCTTGACGAGGCACGCGACATGGCATGCTAAGTAAAAGACAGCCATGGGTGGCCTGCCAATGGCGGCCAGTTATGGACCACCCATCGGCCGGGCATCAGTAGGCGGCGGTGGCAGTTGGCTGGAGCAACAACTTCCGCTGCCCAGTGGCTCATGTGGATATCGCGATTTGAGTGCAGGAGGTACCGCGCCAACTTGCGGATGTCGTAGATTTTGGCTTGCGACCGGCGTGCAGCAGCAGGGCGGTGRAAGAGCATGGTGTTTTTGCGGTCACCACGCTTGCTTTCATGAAAGTGCAGCGGTCTCGCAGCTACACTGTAATCAGATCACGGACAATGGCCACATCTTTATGCAGCCAAATGCGCAGGTCGGTGGATGCGACGTGGGCCAGCAATTGAATGCGCCTACTTGGAGCCAACTGATCGGAGATAACTCCAGAAATGAACGTGGAGCGGCTGGTCCTTCTGGCTCAACAACGGGACTGGGAATCCACAATGTTTCCCAGGCGCCATCTCATTCGATTAACACACGGCTCTGGCATGCTCTCAATGGCTTTGCGCGAGAGCAGGGCAATGGTGGCATGTCTGGAGATACGTCAAAGCTACCTTCCACTGCAGTCCCCAGCGTGATCGATGAACCAGGAAGTCCCGCGCGAGAAACACCAAATCACCAACCCGGCCGCAACATCATGGGGCCGCCTTCTAACGTGCCTCCTAGTCTGGTCAATGAGGTCCGTGCAGATCAGTATAGTGCGACTGAGGTGGCAACTCCCAGTGTGCGCGGAACACCCGAGTTCAATGCCTTTGTAACCCCCGGCCTACAGCAGTCTACAGTTGGTACGCGTGGAGGACCTTCGCAGCAGAACGCAGGGCGCCAGACTCCGCGAAGGCATCTACAAAGCCAAGAGAGCAGTCAGCCAAGACCACGCCCATCAGCAGCAGGCCCATCATTATCGATACAAGAGATGTGCAACACGATTCAGAACTATGGTCGTCGCATCGATATCCTTGAGACCATGTCATTCACACATCTGCCCAGCGATGAAGTGATTGACAGATTCGACATGGTCGATGGGAGGCTGCTTGACCTCGAGCAATGGAGAACTGACCAAGACCGAGCTCAGGAGGCAGACGACATGGACGAGACGATCGATGCGCTGAAAACTCGAATGCATGAGCTCGAGCACTGGCGCGAGACAGAATCAGAGAAACCAGGACAGGCGTCCAGCAGCATGCGCCATCTGATTCCGGAGACAAGCTCGTTTGCCTCTGACGGGTCTTTTGACAGCGAAGCTGCTGCTCAAACTGAAGCAATAGTCCTTGCCACCCTCGCGGCAAACGCTGAGACGAGACCTCGCATAGACGCACTTGAGTCACGCATCATGGACCTTGAACACGCGGCCATGCCCTCTTTCGCCCGGCCGTGGACTGTGCAGGTGGTACTCCTCCCTTTTGGACGACAGCTACCCGGTATATGGTTCTCGTCGAGTCAAGCAACAGAGCACTCTCAGCGTACAGCTACGCAAGCGTCAGAAGAATGGTCTGGGCCGTTTGCGTCAAAGTTCGCAGCCAACTCTTCTTTCGGCTCTGGCACTGATGTCAAAGCTTGGACGACAGAAAGCATAGAAGCCTGGGCGATGCGCACCGAGGAAAACTGGCTCTCAGCAAAGGCCTGCGGTCCGAGTGGTACTGTTTTCCAAAGGCTCGAGTCCCGCGGGCTCGTACGTGATATCATTCTTACCTCGCCCGACGCTCGACATGTCTGTAGCGAGGTGGCGAATGCGTTTGGTAATGTTCTTGGCGAAAGAACTATCTTCGATGGCTCCCCCGGACACCAGGGCTTGCAAGAACGCTTCATCCCTTTGCGCAAAGTCCGTAAGTCCTCGCGTCTGCGATTTCTGAGCAGCGGAGAAATGATGAGCTCGGCGCTGTGGAATGCATCACTGCTCGAAAGCAGTGTTTTCATGAAAGTGAACGATGGAGAACGACGACTCTACGTAACCACTCCAGAAGCTTATACGCAGCCGCCCGGACCTGGCTGGACCTGGCGAACGCTCAGGAACCTCCCCATGTATGGCGCAGATGGAGAGTTGCAAGCCGCACAAATCGTTGGCAGCGTGAAGGAGAAGTGCTGGACTTTCAGTGATCGCCTAGACCATGCTTCAAGCCTACACTCTTCCTTTGCATCATCAGACTCACCATGGGGCATGTCAAGTGAGAGTGTAGGCAATCACGAAGAAGGCCTCGGCCAAGCCGCAACGCATGCGATGTCACAGCAGACCAAGGCCAGCGCCATCTCAATGCTCAACCCAGTCGCCGCGCACTCAATGGATATTGATGGTCCTTACAAGAGACGAGTAGCATCTTTCGAACTCGATTCCACTATGCTAGGAGGTGGAAATGTAGACGACATATCGTCCAAAAGGCGCCGTGTTTCGTCCTCGCCAGAATTKGAGCGCCGAGGTGTAAACTTCACTCCTCGGTGGAGTCGCGAGCCACCCTCTCCGTTCACTTCGGATGGCATTGGCGCGGCTCGCAGTCAAGCAGCCAGCAACCGGGCCAGGGGTACCACCCCATTCGCATATGCGACACCGCACAGCAACCTGGACTCCAGAGGCGATGATGGCTCCACAGAGGCAGACACCGAACCTCGTCCTTTGCAAAGCGAGAATGGAGATTATCCTGAATGGGAGGGTATGCAAGAAAACCACGAAGCAGAGCAGAACAATACATTTGGCAATGACGACAATTTCCGTGGACACGACTTGTTCGAAGACGATGACCAACTTTCCGTCTTTGAAGACGACGAGGCCTGATTCTTCAGACTGTTGAGGAGTGTTCTCAATCTTGCTCCTGATATGAGCACTCCTGGGACCTGGATATACGCACCGAATCACACCGCTCAGGCAATGCAGCACTCGCTGGTGATGTAAATTGAAATCTCTAATCTACGTACGTTGTACATTTGTATGCACAGGCATCTAACATAAGTAGCTCTCCAATCTAAATAAATTTAACTGCAGGTGCTTTCCGAGCATGAGGAACGAGATGTCGGTAGAGGGCAAGCAGGGAACTTTGCAACGAATTCCTTTGCGTTACCAATTCCCTCCCCGGTCGATGGGATCGATCTCTCATCCCTGAGCTTCGATGGATGAGAGCTCTGGTCAAAAAAACATCCTGCAGCGATCGGGATCAGAGGAGCAGGTCGCGGATCATGATGCGGCACAAGAGAGCTTTGGCCTTTGATTTGCGAAATGATCATGCCAACTTTATCCTCAGGAATCATTCGTGTTCAATGGTCCAGTTCTCCGCACGAGTGTCACTACCAATGCGGCCTTTGGGTGACCCGTTGGTATCCGGAGACGCAGGGTAGGTCAAGTACCTTTGTAGGTACTGTGACTTGCGTCGTCCTGAGCTTCCCCTCTTACTTAATCCAGCTGCGTTGTCAGGGAACCCATGGCGGCGCTTTCCTGGTCCGTTCTGTCACTGGGATGCAACGCTCAATGCGTTCTCCACATCAGGTCGGATTCCGGCATTGTTGTTGGTGCTTCTCAGGTACGTGCCAGGTTCCCCGCAATTGAGGTGTGGGGAAGGTTTTGGGCGGAACCAACAAAGAGTGGAATAGGGCCACGCAGCAGCCGTACTTCCGCTTCGCTCCGCGTTGCCCTTTGGATTGCCATGGCCAATGATGTTTAGGACTTCCTTGTACCGCGCGCGTCCAGAGACTTCATGGCGCCGCGCTCCTCACGGATGCAGATCCGCCTCCGCGAGCTAGCKGTTAGGACCCTTGCACTCCAAGACTTCACATGAGGTGAGCGCTGTGAGCTGGRTGCCAGTGCTAGGGCAGGAACTTTGCCAGAAGGCGGCCATGCCCATAGCGATCTCTTGGAAGTAGTGGGTTCTCATTGTAGAGATGGGTACTTGAATGGCCAAGCCGCTGCAACAATATCGATGCCCCTCACGCTGTTCGCAGCTCCACCCGGACTTCTTTATCCTTGAAAGAAAGCTCGATGCAGGAGAAGAGCTTGCAGAGAGTCAGCAAAGTGATCCTGCCCCAGTTTCAGTGCTCAATGGTGAACATGATTCGCCGTTGCTAACAGCGGCTTTGATAAACGTGGGTACCGGTCCTACAGGGTTCTCCGCATGCCATGAGCTTGCGCTAAGCAGCCTGGTACATGCATGTCGCAGCTTTCGTGTCCAACGAATTGGTGTTCGAGCTTGCGATTTCGAGACAACAACGATATCTCAACAATCATGATCGATGAGAGCGTCGGCTGGGCACGCTTCTGGGAGAATCTCAATGTCACCTCATGTCAATTGTCACCACGGATCAGAATCGAATGTAAGCTGGTCGCAGTGCCGATTGTCTGATCGAACACTGCTGAGATCACTTTCCGGGCCAATGCCCAGGATATCCTCGCCGTTGGTCTCCACCAAGCATGGAGTGAGCTCTCCCGCGGGGGTCTTGGGAGGATCGTCTCCATCAAAGCTGCCATAATGTACCATGTACATTTGAGGCACAATTCAAAAGCTCCTCTCTCCCGGACGCTGACTGTGCGGGGGTCTGGAATTGATATACAGCTCTTTCTCGCCCTCGTTTCTGTGGATCAGGATCAGGATCTTCTCCTCGATTGTCCTCTTCAAAGATTCAATMAAACCCCATTCAACCCCATTCTTCCGCAGTTGAACTACCGCCAACATGACTGTCCCCGACGAGGTTGATATCATCGTGTGTGGTGGAGGATCATGCGGGTATGCACATGGCGGCGGCGCTTTCCCTACAAACCATACTAACGCAATGAAGCTGTGTTGTTGCTGGCCGTTTGGCCAACTTGGACCACAACCTTCAGGTCTTGCTCATTGAAGCTGGAGAGAGCAACTTGAACAACCCATGGGTGTTCCGTCCCGGTATCTACCCAAGGAACATGAAGTTGGACTCCAAGACCGCTTCATTCTACTATTCCCGTCCATCAGAATGGCTTGCCGGTCGCCGCGCTGTCGTTCCCGTCGCCCACATTCTGGGTGGTGGTTCTAGTATCAACTTCATGGTAAGTGCAATACCTTTTCATGGTCAAATTGTATCCCTCTGACTGCTCGTAGATGTACACTCGTGCATCCGCTTCCGACTACGATGACTTCCAGGCCAAGGGATGGACTACCAAGGAATTGCTTCCTCTGATGAAGAAGCACGAAACATACCAGCGTGCTTGCAACAACCGTGACCTCCACGGTTTCGAGGGCCCAATCAAGGTCTCCTTCGGCAACTACACATACCCTGTCATGCAAGACTTCCTCCGCGCAGTCGAGTCTCAGGGCATTCCAGTCACCGATGATCTGCAGGATTTGACCACTGGCCACGGTGCCGAGCACTGGCTCAAGTGGATTAACCGGTCAGTCTCAAAGTCAATTGACGTCTGAGACTCTAAGCTAAACTACGCACAGTGACACTGGACGTCGTTCGGACTCTGCCCACGGATACATTCACAGCACTCGCGCCAAGCACCAGAACCTTCATCTTCAGTGCAACACCAAGGTTGACAAGATCATCTTGGAGGGCAACAGGGCCGTGGGAGTCCGAACCGTCCCAACCAAGCCATTGCACCCAAGTGAGAACGTCTCGAGAACCTTCACGGCACGCAAGCAAATCATCGTCAGTGGTGGCACTCTCAGTTCCCCGTTGATCTTGCAGCGATCCGGAATTGGTGAGCCTGCGAAGCTCCGAAGGGCTGGTGTCAAGCCTCTTATCGACCTTCCCGGTGTTGGTCTGAACTTCCAGGTAGGTCTCCACCAACACAGAAAAGTTTGAGGAAATGCTCACAAGTCTACAGGACCACTACCTGACATTCGCCACATACCGCGCCAAGCCATGGGTTGAGTCCTTCGACGACTTCGTTCGTGGTGACAAGGAGACTCAAGAGAAGGTATTCAACCAGTGGAACATCAACGGCACTGGTCCATTGGCCACCAACGGTATTGAGGCTGGTGTTAAGATCAGGCCAACTGAGGAGGAGCTCGACGAGATGGACAGCTGGCCATACCCAGAATTCCGCTCCGGCTGGGACAGCTACTTCAAGGACAAGCCCGACAAGCCCGTCATGCACTACTCGGTCATTGCTGGATGGTTCGGTGACCACATGCTCATGCCCCCCGGCAAGTTCTTCACCATGTTCCACTTCTTGGAGTATCCATTCTCCCGTGGTTTCACACATATCACCAGGTATGCCGAGAGAAACATTGCAATCATTTCGCAACAACTGACCTCTTCCAGCCCTAACCCATACGATGCTCCCGACTTCGACGCCGGTTTCATGAACGACAAGCGCGACATGGCACCAATGGTTTGGGGATACATCAAGTCTCGTGAGACTGCCCGTCGCATGGACGCTTACGCCGGTGAAGTGGTCAGTATTTTCAGAAGCAGCAAAGGTCGCGGCATTACGTTTACTAACTACAACACAGACTGGCATGCACCCATTCTACCCATACGACTCACCAGCTCGTGCCAACGACATGGACATTGACGTTACTAACGCCTACGCCGGCCCCAACCACATCACCGCCAACATCCAGCACGGTAGCTGGTCCACCAAGAAAGAGCCCGGCAAGACCCCTGTCCAGACATTCCTCAACAGCAGCCAGCAGCAAATCATGGAAGACCTCAAGTACAGCAAGGAAGACTTGCTCGCTCTTGAGGAGTGGACCAAGCGCCACGTTGAGACTACCTGGCACAGTCTTGGTAAGTTCTGTCCCGCTGTAAGCCTGTTCATCCAGCTCAAACTGACCTTTACCTAGGAACTTGCTCAATGGCTCCAAAGAACGGCAACAGCATCGTCAAGCACGGTGTGCTCGACGAGCGCCTCAACGTCCACGGAGTCAAGGGCCTCAAGGTCGCCGACTTGTCGATCTGCCCAGACAACGTTGGCTGCAACACCTACAGCACTGCACTGCTGATTGGTGAGAAGTGTGCTATGCTCACTGCGGAGGATCTTGGTTACARTGGCCGCGCTCTCGACATGAAGGTTCCAGAATACCACGCTCCTCGCGAGGTGACTGGTCTCTCCAGGTTGTAGTCGCTGGGTAGCTCGACATGCACCAAAAAACCCAAAAGGGTTGTGATGAAATAGGTACATATTGCTTAATGTGGAGTTTTTTGTGCAATCTCTTGCAGTCCATCTTCYTCTTGACTTCAACCATGTATTGCGTTTTTCACTACGCTGGGCCGCATAGTGAAACTGCGCGCGTACCACATTACGATGCAGCTAACAGGATCGATTGACTCTTGACATTCTCGACATTTTCAGCTCCCCGTTACCTGAACCAAGATTGATTTTCCTACGTATATCAATGCCATACTCTCCAGCTTATTTCCGAGTGGGCAAGAAGCCACAGGAAAAATTGTCAGAACCATTGAACGACCACGGACTGGAGAAGACTCTGCAGACTTTACCAAAGAGTAGCTTTTCAACGCAGCCACTACGTCTGGTGAYAACAGAGCCCTGCTTCTCGACATCGTTTTATCGCATACCGAAATGCCTCGAGTAAGGGACGATCCGGAGGGGACGCCAAAAACCAACAGCTGTATCCGATACTTGCTTGGCTTTCCACATCTTTGGTTGAAATACCTAGATCGATTGATCTGTAATATTGTGTTTGGGACTGCCGGATCTTGTTTGATACTAGCAAATGTGCGATGTAACCTCAGAGGTTACGAGAGTCCGTYTCGCATGAATGCCAAGACTCTGAACGTAAGTGAATCAACAATCCGTGACCTTCCGCGAGCTTCGAACTTATTTACAGACATCACCGCGCAAATTCACGTTTTTCTCGACAACAAAACTTCACTGTTGTTCAGCATCACTAACTGTGTCTTCAGTCGCTACCTCGAACGCTCAACGCTCGCTACTTCACTTTTGGAGACCGCAAGTCCTTTGCACGTATCCGACAACCGCRCCGAAGCTCATGACAACAACATCGCAGCGCGCAACCTCCGGAGTCGGATCAAATGGTCATGGCGCCGACCTTGGTTAACATGCCGGTGGAGCTCTTCGAGATGGTGTGCTACGCCGCGGCCTCCACCCGCTCACTCAAGGCTCTGCGGTCGACCAGCCATCACATGCATGAAAAGTAAGTATCACAAAGGATGAGTGCGAAATTTCCACACTGACACTTTGCAGGACAGAACGTGTCTTCGCCGACCGCACATTCACCAATATCGAGCTCTCACTTCACGAGGAGAAGCTGATGTACCTCCAGCAGGTCGCAGGGCATCCAAAATACAGCGATCTCGTGCGCTTCATCTGCCTCGTCCCGAGCTACACATTCCTCACTTCCGAACAGAACCGCTTCCGTAAGGATCGAGGCGACATCGAACTGCTGAGTGAGGCTTTGCCAATGCTCCAAAATCTGAAGGGTGTCCAGGTTGGCCGGCAACTCGAGGTGCGCGAGCGTCAGGCCACTATGCATTCCCTCATGGTGTTGGGCCACGCTAGTCGTTCTGATGGCCTGGGCGTTCTTACTACAACCGATTATGAGCACCGTTCGGGTATCAGCTTTCTCGCACATGGCTTCCATGCTCTCATAAGTGCGCTGAATATGAGCGGAAAGCAGCTCGACATCATCCGCGCCGGCTTCCAGCCTTACGACAAGAACAGCCGTAACTCGATCGATCACTTGGCTCTCCAACTTCCTTCGATCGATAAACTGCWGAACAGCCTGACCAGCTTGAAGCAGTTGGACTTGGTTGTAGAAGTCCGTGCCGGACACACCTCCGATCACTGCGAAACCTACCTGTCCGATCTTCTCGAGCAGACTCCCAACCTCCAGAGCCTCAGCTTGTCTTTTCCCGACACTGCCTGCGCTTGGTTGGCCACACTTCCCGACGTCTATCTCCCTTCCCTCACCTCCCTCACAATCAACAAAGCGCACCAAGTCTCCGCAACTGAGCTTTGGGACTTCATCGCGCGCCACAAGACTCTCAAGATTCTGAGATTGACACTCCTCCAATTCAGAGAGAGCGATCCATTCAAAGGCATGGCAGAGTGTTTGAGAGGATTGGAGCTCAATGAGATCCACCTCCAGCAGCTCACATGCCTTCACCAGTACAACAAGATCATGGTCTTCGGCTATGACCTCACCAAGTTCTGCACCACATGCTACGACGACGTGGAGGCGGCATTCCACTATGTCCAAGGACCTCGAYGCGAACATACCACTATCTCGGTGAAGGGCGAGCATGAATTGAACGCGGCGTTGGAGAATCGCTTGAGGGAGTGTCATCTGCTGACACGGCTGCATCCGGGGTGGGCTCGTTGGTCATAGAAGATGGGGTTGATTCGAAAAATCAACAACAAGATGGGCGTCCTCAGCAGCTCTCTCCATTACTTGAGGGTGACTCTGCTGAGAGAGGGGCTTCAAGATGATATGATGATACATACATCTTGTCGTTCAATCATCACATCGATTGCTCTGAAGCATAGCAGGCCTGGAGTGGACTGTTGGAAAGATGGCGGTATGCTGAAATGGAGACTAGCCGATGGCGGCACGGCATTACATGCTCTTGGGCTGAAGCACAATGATGCGTTTCCATGGCTCCATTACGAGGCCTATCTGTTTTCTGTTTTTTTCCCTTGGTTAGAAGCCAAATGAGGCAATAAACTTGTATGAATCGACCTTTCTACTCTGTTCTTACCTTCACAATCTTCTGCGCTACGTCAAATTGCTCTGAAGTTCCCAAACGCCTCATGCACCACATATTTGTTCAAAATCATTTAATGGCTCCTGCAAGGAGTTTTCTGTTGTGTAGTCGTTCCCGAACTGTATGGCTCAACTCCGGCCTATATAGTAGTACCCGGCGTTTCGGCGTCTTACYCCTTTTCGTACTCGTCTGCTCGTGTACAGCGACCACATGCCACATTTAGCGGCATGCAAAAATTATGCATCGAGATCGCGTAGGATCCGGCACATGTGGCATTAAACTGAAGTGAACCTCTTGTGATGAAAGTGAAAGGAGAAAATCATTATTGACTTCGGAATACTCTCATAAACTTCAACAAGTCTAGCGATCTACAAGACTACGATCGCCAAGCCATAGCATTTAAGATTCCAACGTCCAATTGTCCATTACTCTACCTTTTCAATTTCACCGGAGAGGTACTCCGCAGTAAAAACAAGCCCGGAACCAAGAGTTCTTCTTCACATTTTGCTTCATCATGTGCAGCCTGAGTGGAGCTCTAGATGGTTCTGCCGTGGATGAAATTACCGACGCTTCGCAAGGCTACTTCTCCTCCACGCTATCGATACCTATTGGGGAAAGCTAGTTCTAGTCTAGCAATCGGCACAGGCCAGCAAGGCGCTTTATTAGGTGATTCATCACCGAACACGGTATCGGGCTTCCACACTCGCCGTTGCGATAATGCACGCGCACATGGCACATGGGGCTCTTGACCCTTTGTGTGTGTGAGACTCATCGTCCTTCCTTCACGAGAGACGAAACTGTTCGACTGTGCTGCGTTTGTTGCATCTTCTAAGCGGGTGGGTACTATCAGGAGGGTTCATCCAATCTTCCCGGAGCTAAATTGACAGTAGGACTGTCAGTATGAAGACTTCTGTGCTGGCATGGCTTGCACTGGTGGCGGAAATCGTCGTGGCATCTGCTGTCGACATGACCAGGAGGAACACACCATTGCAAATCAAGTTGACTCCATTAAGCAACAGCAAAGTGAAGGCCTCGATGACCAACATGGGCTCTGAGGGCTTCAATCTGTTCTACACTGGCTCTTTCCTCGACAGCGAAGCCCCAATCGACAGACTCATCGTCCACGGCACTGGTAAGACTCCGTTATTCCATCAGAGTGCGGAGAATTTCGCTGACAGGATGGTCACAGCAACACGAGCGAGGTTTATGGGCCTCCTCGTTCAGGTCTCAATGAAAGATCCGATTGAGACTCAGTTCCTGCCAATCCTACCAGGCCAGACGATTGATACCATAATAGACATGGCTGAGCTTTACGACATGGAAGTCAGCGATCGCTACACCATTCAAGCCAGAGGCTCCCTTCCTTTTGCTGAGCTAGGCAGTACCAGACTCACCGGACTATCCCTTCCCTATGCCTCCAACGTCATCTCCATGGACGTAGACGGCGCCGAAGCAGCCAAAGTCCCATATGCCGTGTTGAACTTGCGCCAGAAGCGAGCTGAACTCGAGTGCTCGAGTGAGCGTAACGCAATCCTCAAGCAAGCCCGAGAAAGCTGCGCCATGCTTGCCGGCAATGCTGCCAAGGCCGCCCAGTCGGGACGTTTGATGCAGGAGTACTTCAAATCGACATCCGACTCGGTTGTCTCGCAGGTAGTCCAACGCTTCAATGCAGTGGCTGAAGAGTGTGCTTCGAATTCAGCGCCTAGCAAGAGCTCCGTTTCGGTACGCATTTCGCTGGTCCTTGGAGATTCTTACAGGCTGACTCGTGATGCTCATAGTGTACTGACGTAAATGAACTTTGCTCCAAACCGGGTTACATCGCCTACACCAACCCCAGTAGCAATGTCATCACCTACTGTGATATCTTCTATGAGGGTCTCGGGGCCCTAACCGGACAATGTGGAGTCCAGGATCAAGCGAATACCGTTGTGCACGAAACGACACATTGTCCTGATGTGTTCAGTCCGTATACTTTGGATTACGCATATGGGCCTGCAGTGACGAATTTGAACAGTGACCAGGCTGTGTTAAATGCGGATACGTATCGCATGTATGCGGGTGGTATGTTGAATGAAGAGAACGGCCATGGGACTGAACTGACTCTCAATAGCAATATTCGGCAACTGCTCTGACAGCTAGTGTGCAAACTCTGCTAATGAGATGTTGCTGGGAGTCATGGCTTTGATCAAGGACTTCGGTTGTAAATATGATTCGTTTGGGCGACATGGTTTCTGCCAGGCCAAGGTGTTATGCCGGGATGAAAGCGATTTAGCGACGMATAGAAACTGGTGGGTGTTAGCGCGCAGAGCAAGTGTACATGTGTGCAAATCTCGATAGATGGTGAGAAGAGCAGACCTGCAATGCAGTTCAGGAAAGTGCCAATTTCGATCGCATTACCAGATCTAGATCACGTGCAGCGAAGAAACCACCATGATGGCCATTGCAACATCGTCCTGTGCTTTCCGAAGTTCCTCAAAGTTCCTCCTTCCCATCTTCACACGAAGGGCCATAGCCGAAGATGGCCTTTACCATTCCCATTGCCGGTCCTTGAGACCTCGTCAGCCCATGATCCCCGATCTAAACACCGGGTTGCTTGCCCATTGGAGGGTACTGCTTGCCCTCCTTCTCCACCTTGGGCTCGCAGGTGCAGCGTGAAGCCTCAGCGACGGAGTCCATGACCGAAGGAATATGCTGCCCGCATCCCCACCAAGTGCTCTTCTCTGCAGATTGTCAGCGTCATGCGGGGCAGAGGGGGAGAAAGGCAAGGCATACGGCACGTTCCACAGACAGCGGCTTTGCACATGATGATTGAAGGGCTTGGGTGGATGTGGAAGTGGGATTGGCTGGTTCGTTGATGTTTGTTGATGAAATCGTGGCGAGGTCTTGTATTCTACGGAGGTGAGAAGATGCCGAGCGCGCAAGCTTCGCCGATTGAAGCAGCAGTCCCYGAAAATGAGGCGATCTTCACTACGTCTTCATCAGATAAGGTATCAACTGGTCTTGAAGCACGAAATCAGTTCGCTTGGCAGTTGAAGACTATCACTGGGGAGAAAGAGGTTCTGTGGTATATGTACGTCTCAGTAAACCGCGCGAGATTGGCCGATTTGAGAGAAAATGCAGGAACAACAACGCCCAGACGTCTTTTTTACCTAGTCGCAAGCAGCGTGGAACGCAAGGCATCACTTGTGGTCTCTTGAATCTGCCATAGACATGACTGACCGTTCCATAAGCAATTCTACCTCTCGACGACCTTTCTTCAGATCAAGCACTCTCGAGGGAGGCCGGATTGACAGAGCGACGTGTCACCATTGAGCGACATTCGTCCCTCACTGGCAAGGCAGCAGCGACGTGTATATGGTCTGGCTGCCTCAATGAATGCTTTCAAACGGGCTAGACGAGGCTGCAATGTGCGTCCGGAACTCCTCAGATCCAATCATCCCCATATTGCCCTCTTGTTACAATGCCATGGAATCGAGATAACGTAGCTCAAGCAGTGATGTGGTTGGCGAGTGTTTGATGCATAAGTACCAGGTTGTCATGATGTTATTCGAGATGAAGGTGTGGAAGCCCTTCCAAGGTTGTTTTCCAGCCGTTCAAAATGACCAGGCGGCAGAACGCGCTAAAACACGTCGTTGGCGTGGTGGGGCCAAAAGACGCGAAGGGCTCTGCACTTTGGAGCGAAACATCATCGCCGAACCACAACAGCATCGTCTTGACACCACCCAGCGATACCTCCACCTCACCGCCCAGCATGACGGACGCCTTCTCGGCCTTGACGACCGGTGCTCTTCGTAACATTTGCGATGGCCAGCAGGTCGACAACCCCATCGTGCAGTGCGTGCAGATTAAGCCCATGGCTGCCAACCAGCAGACGGGCCAGGAACGCTGGCGAGTCGTCTTCAACGACAGCGTCAACTTCATTCAGGGCATGATTGCCATTCGTGGGTACTGTGCAAGGGTTGTACGCTTTCTTCCCGCTGACCTCTTTCCCAGAATCCAACTACCTCATCACCGATGGCACGCTCAAAAAGGGCAGTGTTTGCCGACTTACGCAGTACCAGGCCAACTTCGTCAAGGACAAGCACATTCTGATAATCGTAGCTCTGGACGTCCTTACAGAGTATGGCGAGCCGGACAAGTTGGGGCAGCCCGTGGCGATTGAGGGCGCAAAGCCAGAAGCACAGCAGGRCGTCAAGCCTCAGCCGGGCAATATCGCAGGCAATGGATTCTACGGCAACAAACCTCAAGCACAACAACAGCAGCAGCAGCAGTCACTGAGTGCTCGTCCGAAGGGCACTCTGACACATGGAGGACACGCGAACATCACACCCATCGAAGCTGTATCCCCATACACGCACAAGTGGACCATCAAGGCGCGGTGCACACACAAGGGCGATATCAAGACATGGCACAACAAGAACGGCGAGGGCAAGCTTTTCAGTGCCAACTTCCTTGACGACTCTGGCGAGATTCGTGCGACGGGCTTCAACGACTCCGTCGATCAGTGGTACGAGTTTCTCGAAGAGGGCAACGTCTACTACATCTCCAGCCCTTGCAAGGTCCAGCTTGCCAAGAAGCAATTCTCCACTGTCAACAACGACTACGAGCTCACCTTTGAGCGGGATACGGTGGTCGAAAAGGCAGAAGATCACGAAGGAGTACCACAAGTTCGTTATAACTTCACGAGTATCGAAGCTCTTCAAAATATCGAAAAGGACTCCACGATCGACTGCATCGGTGTTTTGCAGGATGTCGGCGAAGTCAGCGAAATCGTTTCCAAGACCACAAATAAGCCGTACAGCAAGCGTGAATTGACACTGGTCGATGACTCTGGCTACAATGTTCGCTTGACTGTCTGGGGAAAGACTGCAGAGTCTTTCGAGGCCAGAGCTGAGTCCGTCGTTGCTTTCAAGGGAGTCAAAGTCTCGGATTTTGGTGGTCGGTCGCTGTCTCTGCTTGCCAGCGGCAGCATGAACGTTGACCCAGACATTGAAGAGGCTTACAAGCTCAAGGGATGGTACGAAGGTGCTGGACGCTCAGAAAACTTCGCCTCGCATGCCAATAGTATGGCAACAGCGGGCGCTGCCAGTGGCGGTCGTAACGACTTCAAGACCATCTCAGCGGTGTACGACGAAAAGATTGGCCAAACAGAGACTACGGAATGGTTTAGCGTCAAAGCCACAATTGTCTACGTCAAGCAAGACAGTTTCGCATACCCGGCTTGCCGCACTATGGATCCTCAGCCTTGCAACAAGAAGGTCTTGGAAGCTGACGAGGGCAACTGGCGGTGTGAAAAGTGTGACAAGACCTGGGATGCACCTRAATATCGCTACATCATGAGTGTCAATGTCAGCGATCACACTGGCCAGATCTGGCTGAGTTGTTTCGATGAGGTTGGCGCGGCCATCATGGGCATGCCGGCAAATGAGCTGATGGCCATGAAAGAGGAGGGTGATGACAAGCGTGTGGGAGAGGTATTCAGCGATGCCAACTGCAAGACGTTCAACTTCAAGTGCCGCGCAAAGATGGACAACTTCCAGGACCAGCAGAGGTATGTTGTTGCGTGATGCAGTGTTTGAGGGTTTACTGACATTTTTACTCAGAGTTCGCTACCAAGTACAATACGCCAACCCACTCGAMTTCTCCCGCGAGACGAAGAAGTTGACCGACATCCTCAAGCAGTACAATTTGCAAGAGAACAGCATGTTTGTTTGATGACTACGCAGGCTGATGGCGTATCGCACGTGTTTGGGGTCGCCAGTCGAAAAGAGACAGGTGTTGTTTCATGTGCATGGATTGTCGATGCGTTGCAAGTAGCAAATAAATGCTCTGTAATGAACTACACGAACAGGATATTGTCCTCTGACGTTACATATGTTGCATCTCATCGCGGCCTTTGCAAAAGAAGCTGTCGTCTTTCTTCCGCCTCTCTCAGCAACTCAGCGCAAAGCTCTATACTAGGCGCCAGCCGTCCAAGTCGCTGGACCTCGCTTACAACACTCATGATGACTGCTTCAACCTGATGTGATGCCGGCAGAAGAGCACTCAGCACACTTGAAAGCGTCGCACCCATGAGCAGCAGAGACTGGCTGGTAACAGACAACGCCCCTTGAAAGAGATAGGGAAGATGCCCATTATGATGCGCCAGGATATTCTCCAGCTGTGAGTAACAAGCATCAAGACCCTTTTCGCAAGCTGCTCTAACGCCTGGCTCATGGATGAGACTCTCATCTCCAAGGACCGCTTGGATATAAGGCCGGAAGATAATGGTACGACAGGCGAAGTAACGTAATCGCAAGACCGTCTGGACTTTATCGCGAGCAGCTATGCGTTCTCTAGGGAACTGGATCTGCTGTGGTAGATTGGCATACCATTGCTCTAATTGATATTCGAGCTCCGCGACAATGGGTTCCAGAGAGGCTATTGAGCTGCGATTTTGGGAGTAGAGGAGGTTGGAGACGCGGTTTAGGAGTCTGCGGAGAGCGATCTCTGCTAAGAAGTACCAGATGTCGTCCGTTCCGGGCGGTTCCTCAGAGCCGGCAGTTATGGCATCGTAGGGAAAGCTTCGAGGGAGACGCATGCTTTCTTCAAAGGAGACGATGCCGGAGTGGGGGAGGTCGAGTTCTGCGAGAAGGTCGCTTTCGATGAGAAGGGTATTCCAGTATACCTGTACGGAAGAAAAATCAGCTGGCCAGTCTCAAAAGTCTTCTCTCACTAACAAGATAAGCTGCATATGTTTTCAAGGATGAGCTACGATTTCAGCATTCTCTATCGGACGATCACGGCCTGTGGTTCCTGCGAACCGATCTGACTTACCCGTTCACTCAGCTCCCTCACTTGCGGATGGATAGAGTTTGGCGCGGAAAGGAGGAGTTGCATCTTGATGGATGCATTGCAAAGCAAGCTCCAGGCTTCTAACGGTCTGACGATGTATAGTAGATATGCGGCTGCCAGGATATGGCATTGTGCGCTTACCACGTCATTCCGGATCATCAGACTAGGTAGTAATGTCCAAGCAGCACCGAAATAATCCATACCAGGTATAGGCTGTCCTTGAGGAACCTGTAATATCGAGTCGCCTAAACTCGCTGCTTGGCCAAGAGCTAGGACGAGTAATACAATACAGGACTCCGGGCCAGACCGAAAGCTAAGCTTGGAGGCTGTTCGTAGTTGGGAGTGCCACAGATTCGGGTCGACAGCCGCATACCACACATTGGCATTCTCAAAATATGCTCGAGCCAGTCCCAATGTCGTTTCTGGCGCCAAGTCAAGTGTATAGGGCGTCTCCACTACAAGCGGCTCGCGTGACAGTTCCAACTGCATTAGAACCTGTGGATCACATGGCCTTGAGACTAGATCCCGTACGACGGGCCATTGTAGCAGATGAAGGGCTGGCGTTGTATGCGATTTGGGCATGGCCGAGATGTTGTTGGCTGGAGAGATGCCGAAGCCGCTCAGAGGCAACGAGCCCGCGCAAGACCCGATAGACGCACTAAAAGGCCTGCCTTCAGGCACGATGCTGCTGCTTTCTGGTAACATTGGTTCGGCTGGTCGTCCCAATAGGCTGCTCTGGAGCAGAGATTCGATATTGCTCAGGCGTTCCAATATCAACTTGTCTCCAGCATCGAGCTTCGCTCCAGGCTCTCTATAAGTACAGACAGCGCCCAGATCTGTACACAGTTTGCACTTGGGTCGTCCGCCGTCGCATTTCGACTTCCGACTTCGACAGACGGCACATGCGATGACCGCTCTTCTTCTGGGATAATCTAGCGGATCATCTTGGAAAGCTTCAATACCTCCTTGAGACATTGATTTGGCATGTGTCACTTTGGCCCTCTTTCTTACTGGCTCTCCATTATTTTGATCGGTTGGAGTGCGACCACTGTCACCTGGAGTGGTATCGAGACCGGAAGGGCTACTTTCGTCCATCTTCTCGGCTCCGTTTCATGGCATATCCGAGGGCAGAGGTAACTGAACTCTCCTCGCATTTGAGCAACGACCACGCTCGCGGACGGGAGCTTCGACTACAAGAACAAGCAGTGTTCGGAGAGCGAAGTGTCTTGTTAGACAATGTCTTCTAAACTGTGTTGTTGCTCTCGTGAAAGGACAAAGTCTTTAATCGCAGCAGGTAGGACGGCGACCTTCAATTTCGCTGGCCCTTAATCGGTCTTCCAGTACAACAGCCTCGTTTGATCGATGCATCCCGGCCCTAGGAGGTAACTTGGTCCAGCTTTCTACAACCCTCTCGAGTGTGATAAGTATATTGGATGTAAGCCCACCTCACGAAGGAAGTGAAGCCATGCCAAGGTTCCAAGCTCCGTCTGATCTAGGAAGGTGAAGCGAGCAAAAAAATCTCCCGTCCATCCCGAGACTGGATGCGCGCTGGATCGATCGATTTTTATCCATTTCAATAATCACTAACGCAATGGCGAAACGACAACGTGAAGAGGCCGAAGCCGCCGCAGAGTTGAGCGATACAAGCAACAAGAAGCAAAAGGTCAAGAAGGAAAAGAAGGACAAGAAGGAAAAGAAATCCAAGACGGTCGTCGAGGACGCCCCGATTGAGGTAGTTGAGGATGCTGGCGCCGGTGGAGAGGCCTTGTCCAAGGAAGAGCGCAAGGCATTGAAGCGCGCGAAAAAGGAAGCGGCGAAAGCAGCAGAAGCACAGGAAGCCGCCAATAGCGTCGCTGAAGGCAAAGGCGACGACGAGGCTGCAGCAAAGGCTGAGAAGAAAGCGCGAAAGCGGGCTGAGAAGGCGGCCAAGCTTGCCAATGGCGATGCTGAGGCTGTTGAGAAAGCAGTGCCTGTATCCAACGGCGGCGCAAAGGTCAAGGGTGTGAGCAAAAGCGAGGCCACAGCATACTACGCGGAGAAGCAGATCGGTGTGGAAGACCCGAAGAAGGAGGATCTTGGCCCGATCGTGTCCTTCGACTCCCTTCCGTTCGATGCGCCAACCAAGAAGGCCTATTTCTCTGCCTTCTCGGCACCTTCCCCAATCCAGGCGGCATCATGGCCATACCTTATGAACGGAAGAGATTTGATCGGCGTGGCAGAGACTGGTTCTGGAAAGACCTTTGCCTTTGGTGTGCCATGTATCAGCCGTCTACAAAAGGGCGGCAGGCAGATTCAAGTGTGCATCGTCAGCCCGACCCGAGAGCTGGCGTTGCAAATAGAAGAGCAGATGAACAAGTTGACAAAACCCGCTGGCTTGAAGGCGACTTGCATCTACGGAGGCGTGAACAAGGACGAGCAAAGACAGAAGATCAAGGGATCTAGCATCATTGTTGCGACACCCGGTAGACTGAATGACTTCATCGGAGATGGTTCTATCGATCTCTCCAATGTCAACTACCTCGTWCTAGATGAGGCCGATCGCATGTTGGACACGGGTTTCGAACAGGATATCCGCAAGATCATCCTCGCCACCAAGCCTGGTCCGGAAAGGCAGACACTCATGTTCACGGCTACATGGCCGCCCTCGATCCGTGAACTTGCAAACGAATTTTTGCGAGACCCCGTCCGTATCACCATCGGCGACAACGCTTCGGGAGAGCTTCGTGCGAACATGAGGATCGTGCAAGAGGTTGAGGTGATGGACGAATACGACAAACAGGAGCGCATGTTGCAAGTGCTGAGGAAGTACCAGTCTGGCGCCAACAAGAAAGACCGTATTCTTGTCTTCTGTTTGTACAAGAAGGAAGCTACGCGCGTTGAGGAGACTATCCGCCGGAGAGGATTCCCAGTCGCAGGTATCCACGGCGATCTCAGTCAGGAGAAGCGCACTCAAAGTCTGGAGGCTTTCAAGAGTGGCGCGGTTCCTCTCTTGGTTGCGACCGACGTTGCTGCTCGTGGTCTCGATATCCCAGCAGTGAAACTGGTGTTGAACGTCACATTCCCATTGACTGTGGAGGACTATGTGCACCGTATCGGAAGGTAAGTACAGTCATCGTTTTTTAAATGCTTGCTGTTGATGCTAACTTGTCGTACAGAACTGGACGTGCAGGCCAAGATGGACGTGCCATCACTTTCTTCACCCAAACTGAGAAGGGTCTAGCTGGCGCTTTGATCAATGTGTTGAAGAAGGCCGAGCAGCCCGTGCCCGAAGAATTATTGAAGTTTGGAACGACGGTGAAGAAGAAGGCACACGATGCGTACGGTGCATTTTACAAGGATCCGGCAGACATGAAGGCGGCAACAAAGATTACTTTTGATTGATGGACTCGGCTTGGGTAAAAGTTAAGGCACGAGTGTGGTTTATATATGTCTGTCTATTGAACTTGCGGTAGAGAGGCGTTCTGATCAGGGAAGGAGGCATATGCAACGAAAGCTTCTCTGCCCTCGTGTTGAGGATATTCGCTTGTTGTCCAGGGTTCTGCAGATGCGTGATAGCATCAATCTGGTGAAGACGTGAGGCTGGGTTACCCTGTTGTTTCAATCTACCGTGGTCTTCAGACTACGGGGCTGTATTTCATGTCCACAAAAAGGATGCGCTTTTCAAGGCCGATATCTCTCGAGCAGGATATCAGGGAGACTCTTTCACTGACAGCCCGTGGCGTTCTCCAACACACGTAAAGTCGTATTGATCCTACCTGGAGTGCTCAGAGGCCAAGGTCGCAGGTGTACGATGCAGAAGCATGAAAAGTGTACTACCCCAACCCTAGCCCTAATTTCGGTATTCCAGCATCTTCCTTTTAAACTTTCTGCCGCACTTGCCTGACTCGCAACTGAACTCTCTTGCTGCTTCACTTCCACTTCACACAACACCCACACAATCAGCGACTCGAGATGGACTACAATCAGTACGGATCGGGCTACAATGCTCAGCAGTATGCATATCCACCCGGTTATTCGGCAAATTATGCTCAACAACAGCAGCAACAGCCCCAGCAGCCGTATCAGGCGGCTCCCACACCACAAATCCGCAACCCATTCGCGCCTCCTCCTCCAACAGCAGCGTATGGCGCAAGCGCCGGCTTCGACCCCGACCATGAGCAGCAGGTAGCAATGTGGCAAGCGCAGTATGCGCCCGCCGACCAGCAGATCAAAAAGGGCGGCAAGACTGACCGCGTTGAGAACGCTAATACCGCCCCACTCGGACAGCGTGGCGCAGGTGCTGTGGCAAGCGCCGGTGAGGCGTCAACTGCCCAAGGCGCAAGCGCTGCCGCCGACAGTAAGCTCACAGTTGTGCGCAAAGGCGGCGGCGAGGTATGGGAGGACAAATCGCTGCTGGAATGGGATCCCAAGCAGTTTCGCATCATGGTCGGCAATCTGGCAGGTGAAGTGACGGACGAATCCCTCGCGAAAGCCTTCGCGGCATACGGCGTAGCAAAAGCGCGCGTGATCCGTGACAAGCGTACGACAAAGTCCAAAGGCTACGGATTTGTATCATTCTTAGAGGGCGAGACTGGCTTCAAAGCCGCGCGGGAGATGGTCGGCAAATATATCGGTAGCCATCCGGTGACAATCCAGCGCAGCAAAGCAAACGTAGCACCGGTCGTCAAGAAGGACCCTCGGCAGAACAAGGGAAGGAATAATAAGAACAACAACAAAAACAACAAGGATAAGAACAAGGAAGGCAAGAAGGAGGAGGGACCACTGAGGGCGAACACAGGGGCAGGAATTGAGAAGAAGCTGCCCGCAAAGACGGCATCTGGTCTCAAGTTGCTTGGTTGAGCTTGTGCGGCCATCAACATTTGCATTTGCATTTGGATTAGCGAGGCGTTGGGAGGGTGATTGGTCGGATTTGATGCTCATACGAAGCAAAGGGAGCCTCCTTGATTGAAAGTGATGATCCATGGGCTGACGAGTTGCGATAGCTCAGGTATTCAATTGTGTGCCAACGATCTGATCTGTACTTTGACAGGGTCAGAGACCGGCATGCAACGACTTCCTGTTCAGTGAACGCCGTGAAGCTCTCAGACCATGACAAAGGCCTTTCGAGAGCGCATTACCAGACGATTGGAATTGTCGAACTGGAGAAATGTATGGTCAGGCGAAATAGCATTCGTTCATTCATCTATACTCATTCGTCTTTCTAGCTTCCAAAGCCTACATCGCCGTCGCTATGCTCAATAATTCCAAATGCAAATGCAACGTGCTGGTACGTCCCTCCGCGAAAGATTCGTTGCACATGCAACGCCCCTTTTCCAACAACAGAACGATGCACGCTTATTTACCGGCCCGGTATTGCTGGTAGAGRGAGGTTGCTCGGGAGTTCTGGCCGCTGGTGAACTCGTACATGCACGAATCGTAAGAGTAGTCCATGTAGTTGTGGATGCTGTCAGCGCCAGCAGAGTTGGGGCAAGAATCCTGGCTAGCCGGGCAGCCGTTGGTGGCAACTCTCTGGATAGGAGTGTCCGCAACTCCATCACCGTTTCCGGAGCACGACGAGCCCTGGAAGACGTGGTAAAGGCCGAACCAATGACCGACCTCGTGCACAGCGGTCATTCCTTCGTCGTAGTTGGTCGCACTGCCACCCGGGAGAGAATCGGCGAGGTTGATACATCCATCAAGAATACGGTCCGTGCTGGAGGGGCTGGCGACTGGGAAGTAACAGAATCCGAGAAGGCCACCACCGAGATCTGAGAGGAAGTATAGGTCGAGCTGACCGTAGCTACCACGCTTGAGAGCTTGCTTCATCGCGCGTTCTGTGGTGCTGTCTTGTCCTGCGGTGGCCCAGGCGTTGTTGACCGTGAAGTCGGTGGCAAGGAGACTGTAAGAGACACCCATGGAGCTGTAGGCCTCGTTCTGTTGCAGCAGTCAGTATGAGAAAGCTGGGATAGGGATGTTGCGCAGACTTACCATGACACTGATTTGCTCATTGATCATAGACTGCGAGTAACGACCTTGCTTGGCGGAGGTCGTAACGACATGGACGTACACTCCAACGCTGACAGCAGCAGCAGCCATGGCTCTCGCATCTGAAGAGTCAACGATGGCGTCCATCTCGGCCACGTGAGTGGAGTTGGGTTGAGGAGTGCCACATCGAACGTAGTCTGCAATAGCGAAGCTCGCCGAAGCGGCAGCAAGAAAGATTTGAGAGAACTTCATGGTGTTTTCTGTTTGAGTTGCGAAGAATGTGATGAAACTGAATGCTCTTCTCGACACTTACGGAACGCCCTCACCTCTTTATACACCTCTATCAACATCACACGCGACCATCAGACGCATCACCTCCTTCCATCTTCAGCTTTTCTAATGCTCCGGTCTCAGAAAAGCCACAAAACCGCCTTTGGTACAAATCGCCGAACTCTATTGGGTGACTGCACCTCAGCCAAGAGTTGTTGGGTGAGCTTGGCACGCTTAGCACCGTGTATCTTTTGCTCTTCTAGGCAGTTCAGATTGCGCACACGACGACAGCTGCCCTTGGCGCGATAGTGGACCAAGCCAGAGGTACTTGATCATCTGCCGTCCAACCAACGACTATCACGAGCCGGGATCGTCGGAGGGCGCCTTCTACGCCGTAGAGGCGAGGTTGCAAGGGCCGTAGTGCGCACGAAGAAGGTCAAACGTTCTGGTTGGCCTTTGCTCGTCTCTGGGGTGCTGTGGTAGTGCCGCCTCGGGCCTTCGAAGGGGAAGGTGGAGTGCGTGATGTGCAGGTCCTGGTTATCTTTCTTGCAAGGCCGAGTTTCAGAAAAACGAGGTGGTGACCGAAGCTGGTGATGAGGCTGTCATGGAAGCAATTCAGAAATTGATTGATTGATATGACCTGCGGCATGGAGTTTGCTTTATATGTGAGCGATATGGCCATCAAGGTGTACTCATCGCAATCATGCAGGAGCAAAACAACCAACGTCTTTGAGACCCTGATCTGAACAAGCAGTTCCTTCAAGCCTCGTGGGCCCTCGTGGAGGCGAGTGCAGGCGCCGCTTTCGGCAAAAGGCGATCTTCTCGCCTTTGCCAAGCTTTAAGCGACCGCTTTTTGAACGAGACGGAGGAAAAGCTCAATGAGGAAGGTATCGTTGTGTGGTGGTGAGGAATGCAGCTGATACTGATAGTACCACTGCATCGGATCCGCCCATTGTGATTGTAGATGTTACGGGTAGAGTTATACGAGCTGATGTTGTCTCGAAGACGTCCCTCCCAAGCTGCAACATCAGAAGCGTTGCTCGTTCGTCATAGATAGCACCAAAGTCTCGCATATCTCTCCCTTTTAATAGCATGTGTAGCTGCGTATGGAGTTATCGAACTTCCCAGCTCGGGGCAAGACTGGCAGGTTATCCACACCTGGCCACTTGAGCTCAAGTTTGAGTCCCTCTTCAGAACTACAATGGTCGTTTCTTACGATGTTTATTAGCGCGGATCAATAGGCCGCTCAGCCTGGCAACACTCACTGGTAGAAATCACACGCAGTGGCGTTCTTATCGGGTCCTATGGAGCTCGCCTTTCCAGCGAATGTCTCGCTGAGTTTTACTACAACTTGGTTAGACTAGAGTGAACGAGGAATTACTCCCGGTTGACTTACTGCAAAGCGCAGGTCCGTTCTGTAGGTTGTCACACGTCCCTTGCCAGAAAGGCTCCGTGCAGAAGTATACCGGAAGAATGGTTGGAACGAGAATGTTGACCAGATCTCGTGATGCCAGATCAGGGGAGGCTTGCGCATGGGGAGCTGCATCGATGCAACTGAGCATGAGGGCCGATATGGCAAAGAAGAGTCCTCCGGGACTCATGGTCTTCAGTTTTGGTGGTTAAARTTGACTGATTGGCAGAATTGTATTCGTTTGTAGTTSAGTAATGCGGATGTGCAGAAGTACGCCCAGCAACCAGAGAAGTATAAATATATGTTACTTTTCTTGTGTTCAACGCCCCTTGCGTCAATACCTGAACGCAAGGTGATTTGATGGCCAAAGTACAACAGTGTGGCGTTGGCAAGTCACACTCGACTCATGCGAGATCCCGTAAACATGTGGCTTCAGAGTACACAGAGCACCGCGTGCAGAAGGACCCAGGGAGAGGGAGAAGGACCCAGGTTTATTCCTGGCAGACTTATCGTTGAACAAAAAGTTAAGATGGGAACATGAAAGCCTACTCAAGTGGCAAAGTTACGCAGGAGCACTGCTCGAGCTGGAAATGCAAGGTCGATCAGGCTAGGCAGCATTTTAATGCAAGGTACAGATCCTCCGCGGTGTCGAAACCAGGTCGTCGCCGAAAAAGGAGCCGGGCAGCGAAAAGAATGTGATTCGTTGATCGCTTGCTTGTCCGGCAAGCAAGATGTGTGCGTTGATGTTTCGCTCTCGCCCTTCGTTATGCGATTCTTCAGGATTCGCCTTTTCGTTCAGCGCTGAGATTCGCATATCTTGAGCAGGCTCCACAATGCCGTGCCTTGAAAACTGCTCCTTTGCCCCAATGGCGCTCGTCTCATCCATTTACGCACCATCGTTCAACTTTGAAGCCCGTGACCGCCTTGGGTTGCGCTCCTAGCTGCTGTTCCTATTCCCAGTCTTCCGAGATGGCAGGACCTTGGGAGTTCGTTCCACCATTCGAAATACTCTCCTTCTTGACCTCTGCCTCATCCTTGACCTCTGCTTCCTTGGATTCGGAAGTTGAATCTTCGTGAGTAGCATCCTCTGGGTCCAGTTTGACAGTGTTCGAATTGAACTCTTTGCGTGGGTTTGACCCCTTCTGCAGACCTGCTGGTAAGACACAATATGCACGTGTAATGATGCTCCTCACAACTTCGAGGATAGGTCTTGACAGTAGCATCTTGAGCAGGTTCGATGCCGCCTTTAAGCTTATTCGGTCTTGACCGCTCCCCGCGCTTGATTGTCTCCTTAACGATATCTCGCTCCTTCAGAACAGGGTAGTGTAGACCGCCATCTATAACTTTGATGGCCATCGGACAGTCACAATCTAGGCGTGGCATCTTGTCAGAGAACTCGACTTTCATGATAACCTCAGCAGACATCGACGCTGGCCTGCAGCATCTTTGTCGTGGTGTTTGCCCACCGTCTCAACGTTGATGAATGACTGAAGCTCAAATTTTCCGTGACTGTCGAGGCTGAGGGTTTCATTCCTGAGAAAAGTGTAAAGACCTCATCGATTAGCTTACATATACCGGGTAAGTGAGAAAGGCTTGACTACAAGTTCTCGTCTTGAAATTTTCACCACTCTGGTTGTGGCGTCCGCTACAAGGAAGCCCCTCCATCTATTATGATATTCTGACCTGTCATGGACTGGGAGAGTGCCAGTGCTCTCACCTGCTCCGCGCAATCCTAGGCCGGCGTCAGCACCATCGTGATCAGACTTCCTAGCGCACTCACTTCGACTGTAGCCAATCGTTTCAACTGTGTGGCTTCGCGGGCGGCCTCTCGCTTCTCCTCCGGGAACTTCATGCCCCATTCTGTGAGAAGCAAACCTGGCGAGATCGAGTTGACCCTCACTTTGGGCGAGCATATGGCTGCCAGCGCCTTTGACAGATGTATCGCTGCTGCTTTGGTCACAGCATATGGCAATGAGCTCCCAGTGGGTTTCACGCCTGCGATGCTGGCACTTGTGATAAAGGCACCCTCGCTCTTCTCCAGTTCGAATTTTGCCGCGTGCAGCAGCCAAAGATGACTTTTGACATTGTAGACTTATAACATTAGCATTGTATTAGTCGAGACAGTTGAGATACACTCACTGAAACACTTGTCCCAGTCCTACAGCTTTAGTTAGATGTGTGAAGCAGATGAGGCAGGCTGCTCAAGCAAAAAGGGGCTTTCCTACCTCATCAACCATACCCTCCTCGAGATTCTGAAAGTTTGTAATGCGTGTCCAACCTGCGTTTGATACTACTACGTCAATACGACCAAAGGTGGTCACTGTATCTTGTACGAGCTTCTGAACGGCCGGGCGATCACCAACATCTGCTCGAAAGGATTCGAAGCGTGGCGAATCCGAAGTCCCGTTAGAGCTCGGAATCTTGTTCAACTCCTCAATCAAGTTCTTAGCTCTACCCTCGTTGTTTGCGAAATTGATGGCCTGTTTGAACAAGCAATCAGCTGCCATTGCCAGGGCTGGAGCACTTGGTGGACATTTGTACAAGACGAAAACCTGATCGTGCCAGACTGTGACAAATGGCAGCCCCGAGACCTGCTGTCCCGGCAGTAACCAGAGCCACTTTCTGTATAGTGGTCATGACGATAAACAAGGCAGACCTTCAAGTTGATGTATTTGTGTTGGCCAGTTGTGAAGCCTGTCGATGCGTTCCATGTGGTGCCCCGCGATCGGCCAGTTGGGCGCCCTCGGCCAGGACAGATCCACTGTGCCGGATCCGGTAGAACATTCTAGCGTGGTATTTTAGTGTGGTGGCATCGCAGCAAGGTCACGCTCTCCCTCTCCCACACCGCGTCGAGATAGTATACCATGCAGCACTGATGAGCGGTCTGGTGAGCAGTTTAGATTGTGAGGTCTCGGAGCGAGAGCGAGACGGAGAACAGGAGAATGCAGAAAGGTAGGTAAGCCGAGATAGCTGACAAAGAAACACGTCATCCGCAAGTCGCGTCCTCCTTCCGCTGGCAGTGAGTGAAATGGCGCCAAACCGACAAAAACCACTGGATCTACCCATACCGCGGCATCATGGCGAGACCAAAACAGACAGCGTTTAAGCGTCCCTCCAAAAAGCGTGCCGCCGAAGAACAGAGCGACTCTGCAGTCGATGAACCTCAAAGCAAGAAAGTTAAGCAAGGCTTCGTCCTGAACACAGAGCCTCAGAAAGACGACGATGGAAATGCATACTGGGCCATCTCATCCAAACGACGTCTGCAAGTTAGCGAGTTTAAGGGTGTCACTATGGTATCCATTCGCGAATTCTATGAGAAAGATGGCAAGAATCTACCCGGAAAGGTTAGGACTTCACCTTTCAATATCAAATCTCAACCCGGGCAGAATTGACATTTTCAAAGGGCATATCTCTCCCCGTCGAGCAATTCAATGCATTATGCCAGCTTCTTCCACAAGTGGAATCAGTTCTCAGTGCCAAAGACCTTGAGACCGTTCGTCCTCAATACCAGGATTCATCAAAGACGTCCACCAGCACGAAGCTAGATCGCAAGGCTGAGGAGAAGAAGGTAGTTGCAAGTGAGGACGATGACGACGATGAGCCAGAGATCATCAAACCAATGGTATCGACCAAGGACAAGCTGAGCAAATTCAAGCTGAAAGCCAACCATGAGGCGACCAGTGATGAAGACGGTTGAGATGGTGACATGCCGATCATCGAGGCAGACTGTGAGTGTGTGGAGTTTATAACAGATGATTTGCTGTGTGCTTCTCGGTTTTACCCGTACTGGACGGGGAAGTTTGTAAGTATGCAATGATTTTTTGAACGCTATTCGCATATGCTGTGATTCCAGTAGTCTGGCGGCTGTCTGAATGATTTCTATAAGAACATGTAAGAACTTCGCCTATCTCTCCATTCCCTTCTAAGTACAGGACATCCTATCAATCACACTCCGTTGCGCTTAGCATTTACCGATAGTTCAGATATGTACCTCCCTGCGCCGCGCTGACTCTCACTTGTGGTGGCTGCATCTTTGGCGATAATGGAGAGCTTTCGAGCTTTTTCCTCACAGGGGAAGGAGACGAATCAACCAGCTCGGGAAGACCAAGATCAGTCCTCCTCCTACCAGATGAGTTACTGATAGACCTCGACGGCGTGAAGTCTTGCGTGGACGGCGATGTGGTGCTCAACATCGCCGCGTTGGCGATTGATGGTTGCACGGCCAAATTTGATCTTCCTTCATTGACTGCGTTGGTCGAAGGGTTGCTGAGCTGGTCATTCAACCCTCCATCCTGARACCAGTATGATGCCAGGATTGCTCGCGCTGTGGGACGTTCTCGAGGATCGGCCTTCATCACTCGCTCCAAAAACTCAATGTCCCAGCTCCCGAGGCCTCTTTTCGCCCAGTGATTGCCGCTTGATGGCCGTGGGCTTCTCGGAGGCAGCTCGCATTGTTGATAGTATTCTGCGTTGCGCAGATCGTAGTCTTTTGAGATTTGCTTCCCGACGGCATGCTCTCTTTGAGGGATGGTGGTAGAAGGCGATGTTAGGTCGTCATATATGCCGGATTTGGAAAATGCGAGTTGTGCCTCCATGAGATGGCTGTAGATGACACCAAGACCCCAGATATCTGCAGCGGGTGTAATCTCCTCCCGAAAGAAAACTTCCGGTGCGCGGTAGGCGACTGGCTGAAGCTTGCCGCTCGCAGGATACGCGACGGTCCCCAAATCTCCAATCTTCACATCTAGGGTGTTGCCGTCGCCAGGACGTTCGATGTCGAAGCCACTGATCATAACATTCTCCATCTTGAGGTCACCATACACGAGTCCCTTTGCATGGATTTCTTCTAGACCTTGAAGAATGCCCTTGACGATGGCCACAATTTCTCCTCTGGACATGGGCCGCTTCGTGCGTGCTTGCCACAGAGTCATCTCTGCGATTTCCAGAACCAACATCGGCGGGCTTGACTTGGTTGGTGCAATTCWGTCTACCTGTTTTCGAACATGTTTGCTTTCTTTGAGTAATTCATGCATGACCATCTCGTTGCAGAATAGTGGCCAGGTGSCAGGTGTGTCGGTGTCGGAAGGGGCTTTGAGCACCACAATGTTACTGAAGTTTCCCTTCTCTGCTGCTGTCCAGACATTTGATTGACCCAGAGAGCTGACCGCCAGAAATGTCTTGCCCGACTCAGACACAAGCTCTGCGCCTTCGAATAGTGTAGGAGCCATTACGCGTGATGCTGATGTTGATGCTGATGCTGATGCTGATTGCGATGCAGTCGGAGATGGGAGACCTGCGGGTGGTGCGTTGTCCAAAGGAGTTTCCAGTCCATTCAAGATGTCACGCGTATGAAGACCCTGTTTGTTTCCGACCAGTTTGTACCTGCATGAGAAGGAAACTTTCTCTTTGACTCGTTGCTCACTGGCAAGTCGTGGCAACGTTTATTTCGTCATCGGGGCCGAAAGGGACCAGACGATGGGAGAGACGCGTTCATCCCGACTCACCCCGACCAAATCTCGTCTGGTGTTACAGCCTYTGCAGCAGAGCGCTCTATTCACGGAACACGGTCACTTCCCTCGTTTGAAGCTCCGTGTATACGTCAAGACTTGGCGTCCCAGCATCGCACCACAGCGGAACACTGTCCTTCGATTTCGAATTCGACTCCAGCGAGGGACGCGCTTTCCAATTGGCTTCAACCAATAGCAGACGGGAGCGTTGTGTGCGATTCAAACCTACGGGAAGTCGCTCCGGCGCGGCCATGATGTTGTAATAATTACGTTGGTGCTCCTTATAGCAACCTCCGCGGGATGGAACAAGATCAGTTTTCCTCGCTGTCGGAGGAAAGAAAGCCACAAACAGTCGCATCGCATGACGGAATTGTGTGACACTGACACGGCGAGGCCTTAGCAACGACCTTTCAGTCACGGCGCCTTTCAACTTCACAGGCCTGTCGTGCTGCATATGGATCGAGCGTGTTTCGTTGATCGGATTAGCATATTCATTGTATCTTCCGTAGATGAAAGACAAAAGGGGACGACAGCGATGCGCATGTCGTTGAGGAGGAGAATCTTCGGGAGTGAGGGCGGGGCGGAAGCTGCTGACTGTCGCTCGTACCGTTTCGCGGTCGTCATCCTGTTTCTCCTCGCCAACAAACACCGGGCATCCCAAATACTGATATTGACTGGATCGCTTCATTCGCAACGTGATTGAAACCAGCTGTCACGTCTGACAGTAAAGTCACCTTCTACCCGCTACTCATGGAGGTTAGAGCACGGAGTGTCGCCTGACAGCACTGCGCTACTCACAACTCCCAGGCGTAGCAAGCAGTCGACTCGAAAGCAGTCTCGGCGACCAGTCCACCTGGAACCACGTTTCGAATGCCTCTCTGTCGGATCGGTATCGTGGAATGAGCCACGAACACACTTCAGCTGCACGCCCAGCATCTCTGACCAGCTTTCATTCTCGACCTGCTACTACTCCAGTGCTTCCACACGGCGACATCGCCTTGCTTAAGGTCGGGCTCCATGCCTGGAAGAAACTTCGGTCCCTAAGCCTCTTCTTCGAATGGTTGATCTCGTCTTTCCCTGTCTGAAAGTCGATCGTCGTCTGTCGGTTTTTGAAGAGATTTCCACTCCACTGTTGGTGAAGGCCGTGCAAGATTGGAATCTCAGTTGCTCGAGATGCTTTGATGAATTGGTGCATGTACGCAACTGCGCCGATCTGTCTCAAGCCATCTTCAACCATGGCATAGAGTTTGCCTTTCCTTTGGAGGAAGTCGTTGTAAGCATCGATGAGGACTATGGCTGTGACATTCAGCATCTTGTTTGTAAAGTGTCTCTGGTTTAGAACCGCAGACCAGAGCAACTTGACAGTGCTTTGTTTCACACACCATGCCAATTCATTGGAATGACATCTACCACAGTGAGCAGATGGCTGCTCAATCATCAGCCTGCAGTACGGTTACCTCGCAGAACAGTTGGGTGTGCTCTATATTGTTCAGGTCAGGAACAGTGCACACTGATATTCGGAACAGCAGTATTTGCAGAATGCTGAACGCTGACGGTATGACATCTTGATTCTGACTGCCACCACTGATATCCATTCCTCACCAGGGGCCAACGCAATCGAGCCAATATGACTGCTGTTGCAGCACGTGCATCCAGGAACTGGTTGCGACTTTCAGGCTACTGCGGGTGTGTCATCAAAGTTCATCCTTCAGGATTTAGCCAGCTCGATACTCAACGACATGGGCAAAACTTCCGGCTGGAAGAACATTCGCCGTTCGATTTTTGACCTGAACGTCTTTGTGTCGCGATGGTTCATTCCGGGATGTTTTAACTTCCTCACAATACCGCGGATGCATGCCAGGCTGACAACACATTGTGGCGAAGACATCATGCCCAGATTTCTTGCCAAGCTTGTCCACCGCAAATCTCGAAGATCAAAGGTCAAATTTGTTGAGGTTTGTAGCGAAGGAGGCCTGAAAAGACCAAACCGTGAAACCTTGCTTCTTATCGGTCTCCAAACGGGACGAATAGTGGAGCGGTAGCAAGCTTACGGAAGTTGCCTCAGGCAAAGGATCGACCATCACTGAGTGACGAACAAACCTTGTCAGATGCATGGCTGCGGCATTCGCGCGAAAGATTCGAGGATTCCCTTGCTACCTATATTGGGACTCGCGACTTCCAAAGAAGCCATGAAGTACCCTATGGCGACTTGACGATCACTGCCAATGTGCTCTTGCAACAACTCCGGACCGAGGCCATTGTCTCTGGAAGATTATATCCGCGCAGAAAACTCTACATATCCGATTGCGTTTAAACCTCGTTGATCGACAGAAGAGCTCGCGCTGGTGGTGTGAGATAGCCTGCATGAAGCAGTCGCAGTGGCCTTGGCAACGACGGCGATGATATCTAGCGTATCACGCCTGATTTCATGAGTCTATTAGAATGACGGTGAGCTCGTTGAAGGGCCTTATAATCAYATCTATCCTCTTTGACAAGCTCACAACTCACAGCTTCGGACAACATGCTCTCCCCAACGAATCTTCTGGCAAGGTTGAGGTCCAAGTGGCTAGTCCTGCCCTCAAGGAGTTCATCGATCAATCCACTTGCTGCACCTCCAACAAGCCCGGAAAGTTCCAAAGAGAAGTCCGCAGAGGAGGGCCTCGACAACAATCTCAACGGCTGGAAATTGGCTGGAGTTGTCATCTCGCTCAATGCTGCCAACGGTGTTGCGTCAGTGGATCTACTCGGGGTTACTGCTGTCCTTCCAGCGGTCAGCGACCACTTCACAAGCGGAGGCAACATCGCTTGGGCAGCAACAACACAATTGATCGGGGCTACTGTTGGGCTAGCTGTACTCGGCTACCTCAGCGACACCTGGAGTAGGCGAAAGATGCTGCTCATATCCATCAGCATCTTGATCCTAAGCTCGCTGGCATGCGCACTCAGTCGTTACCAATCGAGAACGGATCTGTTCAGTGCTTTGCGAACCTGCTCTGGGATTGCGACCGGTAGCATTAGCAACCTTGTCAACATCGCTCAAAACGACTTCTTACCCCCTGCGAGACGATTGAAATATCAAGGAGTTCAAGGTCAGTCCCTGATACTCGATCCATCGCAGCTCATACTGACGTTGTGTAGGCACTTCAGTAGCATTGGGCAGCATACTCGGCATGATGGTAGGCGCTGTTTTCGCTTCCAGTTCCCGATGGCATTTCTTCTACTACTTTGTAGCAGCGCTCGCTGCATGTTCCTGGCTTGCCATCTTTCTATACGTTCCAGCCAATCGCAAATCCCCAGAGAGAGACCAGATCCGCGCGGTCGTCGGGACGATTGATTTCTGGGGCATCCTTTCAGGTACGGCTTTCATCGTGCCCGGGCTCTTGATGCTTAGCAAGAATTCGAACCTCGAACGAGCGGTATTGATCGTGCTCGGAACAACGTCTGCAATTTCCCTCGCCCTGTTCCTCTATCTTGGATTCAAAGGAGATCGCGGGACAGTTCGGCCTATTGTGCCTTTCGAGTTGTTCAGAAATCGAACGATCGCAACGTAGGACCCCATTGCCCTTGGAATACTTCGGAACACACTAACCACTACCTGCAGGGTTATTGTCCAGAACATCTTCTTGGGCGCCGCATACTACACCTTCAACTACTACATGCCCATCAACCTTCAGGTTGTCCGTGAGCTGTCACCGATCAAGGCGTCATCATACCAGGTGCCATACTACATCACGCATGGTGAGACACGCCCGCCAATTGTCCAAGGCTGCAGACTCTGACATATTTTACAGGCGTTTGGTCCACTGCATCGGCACTTATAATCCTGCGTCTACAACGCAAAGGCGGCAGAAGCTACTCGCTGATATTCTTCGCTGGCTTCGCAACCTGGACAATCGCCATGGTAGCCTTGGCAGTCGATAGCGAGTACCCTGTATCCGGTGTTGTGATTTTCCTCATGGTACTGGTCGGCATTGGCACAGGGAGTTCCTTTCAAAACTCCGTAATGGCAATCTCTGCACAAGCCAGCATAGAGACCCGGGGCCTCGCAGTCGGCACTCGTAATGTCCTGCGTTTCTTTGGCGGCGCTCTCGGCACGGCTATCAGTTCAGCTGTAATGCGAAACCGTCTACTTGCGGAAATCCCGGAAGGTCTGGTAGATTTCCGACTGGCAGCTTCTACATTCTCGAATGCTGCGCTTGAAAGATTCAACGCCGAGCAGGCGGATGCTGTGCAGCATGCCTATAACAATGCCATCACCTGGGTGTTTGGTACTGCTGCTATCATGGTTGGTGTCTGCTTTGTTCTATGTCCGCTTATCAAGGACCAGTCGCAGAAACAGATGCAGGATGAAGAGAGCGGGGAAAAGGGTCACAACACAACACACACAGACAGCGGGCCCGGTGCTACGTCCACAGACGGAGCCGTTCTCGCCGAGCAGACATTTCCACCTCAAGAGAAAGCGTGAGCCAGAACAGAATGAAGCGCATGACCAGGTCTGCTGCGCATTACATCGATAGAGATATAGATATAGAGCAATGAATTGGGGAGATGAACGACGTCTTTGTAACAACCATATGCTGACAGTCGATAATATCCCCATCTGATTACATACTGCAATCTCTAATACCCACTCTCCGCCAAAAACTCATGCGCTCTCCTAATACTACCAGGAGTAGAATAGTGCAGCGTAGTAGCATGCGACGTATTCGGCGCCAGATAATAATCAAAATGAGCATTAGGAAAGAAAGACCTGCTCTTCGCAGGAATACTATCATCTCCCACACCACAAGTCTGTGGACCCACAGCTCTAGTACCTGTAGGTCCACAGAAAAAAGCATCCTCAGATCCAGTAAGAACCAAAACATCACCTTTATACGCATCCGCTTTCTGCAGACCGCTGAAAGCCGTGAGGATTTGGCCTAGGGTTATGGTATCCTGGTGAGCAAAATCGTATTCCGCGAGGGAAGCGCTGAAAGTACCATCTTCTGCATAGTAGGAATTTCGCTTGCCTTGGCTGGATCCGAACGCGAGATATCCAGGTGGTAAATCATTGAATTTTGCTGGGTTTTGGGTTTGAGCGGGTTCGAGTTCTGTGAGGAGGAGTCCTAGACCGGCTTCTACTAGCGCATTGCTGTATCCCGTGAGGATCATGGTGTTGAAGTCGGAGGGATATTTCGTGGCTATGCCGTTGCCTGTTACGGATGCTAGGGAGTGGCCTACGAAGATGACTTTTTCGGCCGCAGGGGCGAATTCTAATTCTCCTTTGCGGAGTTTTGTGGTGATTTCGTGGAGGATTGCTAGTTGAAGGGGTTGTTGGACTTCTGTGATTGGGTTTGCTTTGGTGGATGCTCCGGCTCCGAGGTTATCGATTGCTAGGACTGGGTACCCCTGGGTAGAGAATGTGAGTGAGTTTGTATGGGTGGAGTTATTGTGATCTTTTGCTTACTTGAGAGGTGGCATATTCTACCCAGTTGTACTTCTCCGAGCCGTCTGGATTGCCAGGAAGGCCGAACCAGTAACTCTATTTAAACTGTAAGCGTTCTGGGTCATTCGGCAGACCTGACTGGGCTTACATACCTTGTCGTACGGCACACCGTGTAGAAGCAGCTGCACATCCCTGTGACGGGATAGAGGAGACCCAGGAGCGGGCTGACAGTACTCTGCAGCAATGTCGTATGTACCGCTGACGGGAAAGAAGCCAGCGAGCTGACCAAGCAGACCAGCTCCAGAAGAGAGGAGCGACTCTACACCGGAAACGCTGGTGAGGTCCGAACCAGGGGCAAAGATAACCCGGTTGTTCGCTGTTGCCTGTACTTTGATCGTGTGAGACGTGCAAGTTGCAGCCGTCGAAAGAGTTGGCGCTGTGGCCGCCAAGGCAGCGAGAAGCACGTTTTCGGATCGCATGGTGAATGAAATTAAATTATTCTTGCGATGGAAACGGGAATGGAAAGACGTCTGGAGATGTATAGTCTTTTAACATCCTCGGCATGTTGTGATGATCGGCGACTATGAGTATTGTCCGCCAAAATTTAAGCTCGCCCGGCTAAGATTTATAGCGTTGCCGAGTGAATCATTACTTCTTTAGGAATATTGGCTGGCTGTAGGTCTGCAGCTAATAGCTACACAGCAGCGCTAACTTTTCAATGTGTTCATTCCAAGGTCACTCACGATCTGGCTGTGTTCATATGGACGGTGTTACAGAAAGACTTCCGCCATCACCGACTGCGTTCGACGGTCGTAAACATATCAAGATCGAGTTTTTCTATAGCAAAAGCAGAGACTTGCTTGCATGATTTTTGTGGTTTAGTGGTGGCAGCAGTGCAGAGCTTATATCGGGGCGTGGATGCCGAAAGATCGTTCATCGTCACCACAAAGTCTTAAGAAGGAACCGAGAAAGAGCGTGTTATTTGTACCTGGATACATCTATGCCTGCTACTAGGAACATCTTCATAGTCAGCCTTAGCAGAGCGAATGGGTGGGAGATTTTGTCTTGCAGTAGAGACCATATTGCCGCTAACAGACTGAGAACTGCACCGCACGTGTGCTTTTGAACCCTCCTTATAATGACCTTCGACGATGATGCACGCCGACAATAGCAAGAAATGGCGAAGTGCAAGCACACAACTGCTTTACCTTACATACATGTATTGCTAAAGATCGCAGTCTCGGCAATGATGCAATCCACTTGTTTGTTCCCACCTCACGCTAGAATAGCGTTCATCCATTTTGAGTTCACATTTGAGTTCTCGTTATTAAGCTTGTCATAAACATTGGATCAGAATGGAGAAGCTCAGATTCGAATGAAAAAGTACGCTCTTGTTGTTTTAGCAGAGCATTGCAATTGCTTTAAGGAGATGCTCGTGGATTCCTTCGCTACGGCGCGTTTTTAAGAACAACCCTATAACAATCCTTTTAGGCGATAGTGCGACGCTAGCATTATAGGGTATTAGAACCTCGGTAATTAAAGGTGTATTCCGTATAATAAGTAACAAGTAGCGTAATTTAATGTGCGCGTATAATGTCCTCGCTT